TACAATTTCTATTGTTGCTGTAAATATTCTAAAAGAGAAAAAAAAAATCCTGTGGTTACCTTAATTATCAGCATGGAAATGGTTAATTTTTACTGAGCACAATGTATTTTTGAATGGGCCTTCCAAAATATGTCTTTAATAAAAATGCAGATTTTGCACTAGAACCCTGGCACTGTTCAACAGCTGATCTTATTCCTGACATGTCTCTTCCAGAGCACCTCTCCATATGTTAGCTTGGCTCATGAGTGGAACGGACCAGAACCAGGACTCCTGTGCCCAGTGGGTTGCTGCCAGGTCCTGGCTGACTCCCCCATCTGAGAGGCCACCTGTATCTGTCCACAAGCCTGATGTTTCCATGGGATGTTTCCACAGGGCAACGTCTCTGAAGCACTTTGTTGCCCACATTCCTCTAGTCTCATGGCAGGATGGATTCTTCCTTTCAGGGCAAGAATGTCTGCTGTTCTCTTTTTTGAACAGTACCAACCCACCAAGCCCCTTAGCAGGCACCACCAGAAATTAAAAGGCCCTAAAAGTTTCCAGCCCACAGTCTTCACCACAGAAGAAGTGTCATGATGACATTTTGTCACTGTAACATGTAAACTGAGACACTTCTAGGCAAATGTTGAGATGTTGAGGTGTCAGCAGTAAGAATTTTACATGGCTTCCTCTTCAATGTATCCTGGCTATAAGGTTTTTTGTTACTGCGTGCAGCTTTAAAAAACTTTAAATATTTCCCTGCTAGTCTCTCGTTCTTTGGGGTAATTGTAAACAAACTGAGTAGGGACCACTTTTCCTGGGCCTCCCTTCTTTCCCTCTGAGCTCCAGCAAGACTTGCAGAAAGCCAGAACTTGCAGTCTGTGGATCCCTCTGAAACAGCTGCCTGATGGGTTGTGCAGCAACCACAGCCTTGGTGAGACCAGGCTGCTGCCAGTGGCTGCACTGAGCTGCGCCCATCACCTCCTCAAGAGAGAAACTTCCAGCCTGAGCCAATGGCTTCAACTTACACCAGGACGAGCAGCCCAGCATTTTTATATTTCCATCTAGAAATTGGGTTGAAATGCATTTCCTTGAGGTGCCCAGTGCTCTGCGGACTTGGCTTAACTCCTAAAACCTTACTTGGCTCTTACTCTTCCAACAATCTGTACTCCCTGAAGAGCCCCAGAAACTGGAGTGGTCATCTCCTTGAAGAGGCTGAGGGCCTCGATGTGGTATCTCCAGTGTAGTCAGTATTGAACCCAGATGGGATGGAGGGCAGAGTGGACATTTTTTGACATTTTTCTTTGGATGGAAGTGAAGAGATAATTCCTGCATGTTCCTGCATTCCATTAAGATAAAGGGGCTATTGACTTAAAAATGAAGTGGCTGGTCTGGAGGCCTGAGGCAGTGTCTGATCAGGGAACTTAAACTGGGTACAAACTTCTCAGCACCGTTTGTTCCCTCACTTCTCTCTATACATCCCATCCTAAAAATCCAGGTCATAAAGCTGAAAGCTGTTCTTGGTCCTACTTCCTATTTCAAACCCCTTGTGTTTTATGCAGCTGCGAAGCCATATATTGGTCTGCCTGTCTCTGCAGGTAAAGACCTGTAGGGTTGTTTAACATCTTTGTCAGTGGGATTGAGTGTGCTCTCACTATCCTATTGGGTGGTTGACACGCTGGAGGGAATGAAACCCATCCAGAGGGAGCTGAGCAGGCTTGAGAGCTGGGCCTGTGCAAACCTCATTGAAGGTCAACAAAGCCAAGTGCAAGATCCTGCATGTGGGTCAAGAAAGTCACAAGCAGAAATACAGATTGGAGGAGGAACAGATCAAGAGCACCCCTGAGGAGAAGGACTTGGGGCTGCTGGTGGATGAGAAGTTCAGCATGAGATGACAAGGTGCACCTCCAGCCCAGAAGGCCGATTGTATCCTGGAGTGTATCAAAAGCAGTGTGGGCAGCAGGGTCAGGGAGGGGATTCTCTCCCTCTGCTCTGCTCTAGTGGGACTCCACCTGGAGTGCTGTGCCCAGGTCTGGGGCTCCCAATGCAAGAAAGATGGGAACCTATTGGAGCATGTCCAGAGGAGGGTCACTAATATGTTCACAGGGCTGGCACACCTCTCCTATGAAAACAGGCTGAGAGATTTGGGCCTGGAAGAGAAGGCCCTGGTGAGACCTTACAGCACCTTCCAGTACCTACAGGAGGCTGCAATAGAGCTGGAGAGGGACTTTCTCAAGTGCATGCAGTTATAGGACAAGGGGGATTGACTCTAAGATAAAGGAGGGCAGATTTAGATTAGATATTAGGAGGAAATCCTTTACTGTGAGGGTGGTGAGGCACTGGGACAGAGTGCCCAGAGAAGCTGTGGACTCTTCATCCCTGGAGGTTTTCAAGACCAGGTTGGATGGGGCTCTGAGCAACCTGGTCTAGTGGAAGATGCTCCTGCCCATGGCAGGGAGACAGGAGCTAAATGATATTTAAAGTTCCTTCCAACCCAAACCATTCTGTGATTCCATGATTATGAGAAAAAGCTTTTGTGTTTATGCAGTTACACTTCAGCTGGTGCTGTCTCGCTTTCAAGATGGTCTCAGTCACACTGTTACTCCAACATGCTGAATTTATGCAGAAGTCAAATGCAATTCTAAAAGCATTTTAGGACCACTCAATTAATTAAGCCTCTCAGCACTCTTTATATAAGAGGCAGAGGTTAAGTGAATTTCTAGAGGTCAATTAGCAAGTGAGCTGCATAGTGAGGATCAGAACAGAAACTCCTGCTTTAGCAGGAGCCATTGCAAATCAGAAGTAAGTGCAAGTGGAGAGGTGAACTGCAGACAGAGGACAGGGCAAGGCAAGAGGCAAATGAACTGTGAAATGCACTGTGTTCCATCTTATGTATTACCATACATTTCAATCTAGGAAAAGGTCTAGTGATTTCTTTGGAGATGGGAGGCTGGAAGAGTGATAGCACAGGTCCTTTCTACCTAGAAAGTATTTTTTTCCTCCAAGGTTTTATTATATCCTCTCTGTAGGATCAGTCATGTGAAGATACATAATTTAGAGTGGTGCCTTGGTGTATAATGGTGTGTGGTCCATCCATTCAGGCTGTGCATTAAGCCTGCCAGCTCTTCCAAACCTCACAGGAGCTTCTGGCCTTTGCCATTGGGTGCATTTCCAAAACCAGACAACTGGAAAACCTTGGACTGTGCATAGGAGCTTGTCAGAGGCCAGTCACAGACAAGGCTTTACTAGCTACAGTCAAGCTTTGGGATGGTACAAATATTCACCAGCTTGTGCCCAGTTCATCCATCTGCCCCTCACAGCTACCCCTCCACTCCTCAGTCATGCAGGAAAACATCAGCCCCAGGGCTCCTTCCCCCACTACCATCCATCAGGACATGGAGCAGAGCTGCCTGTGCTGCTTTTAGGGCAGGCAGAGCTGTGTGTTAACATGTTTGCAACTGCATCCCAAGCCTGGAAATGCTTCAGCTTTCAGTGTTGGTGTTAGCAAGACAAGAGCTGTGATGGCTGCTGGGCAGCCCTTGTCTCCCTGGTGCTGGATGTGCAGTGCCTCCAGGGAGGCTCCAATACCGTGCTGGTCCCACAACCTGGCTGCTGAGGAAGTGCCTCGAGCTCAGTGGATCCTCTCAGCAGAGTTAGACTTGACTGATCAGCATTAAGGGAACCACACAGGGATTTCTTACTAAGAAAATGTGTCCCTAGACCAATTTGTGGATAGGCAAAAATCCCATCCATGGATGAGGAGGTGGGAGGGAAGCAAGAGAGTGCTGCTGTGTAGCAATTATCTCAGATGGGAATTGGTCTTTTTTTTACATCTCTGTAGACTTGGTACCTTGATACTGTTGGTTAGTGGAGCAGCTTTCAGACTTGCCAGAAGAGCTTATTTCCTTGAGACCTATTATTTATCTCTACATACAGGAATAAAACAAGGCAGAAATATCTGCTCTCACAAATGAATGTGATTAATTGCATAGCCATCCAAAAGCTTTTCTCAAGTTTTTGGTCACATCTCATTTGTTTTTAGTCATATCTGTGCTCCTGCCGTGTACACTGAGCATTCACCTCTCTGCCCACAGGGATAAGGAGAGGACAAGAGAGGCAGACAGGCTGCCTCAGTGCCACTGTCTTCATGCCTCTCCTCTCTTCCCTGAGACAATTCAGGTTCTGTTGCTGTGGGTCTTTGGGATGGATGCACAGATTGTTGGAAAATAGGGAAAAGGCCTCTGGTGCCTGCCAGGTTTGAGCTGCAGGTGTGTGGGAAAGCAAACCAAACCCTCCCTCATGTGAGCTGTGGGGGCTGCAGGTCCCACCTAGGCTGTGTTGGGCTGAGGCAGGGACAGGGACCTCAGTAACTGGGCTGTCACCTCAGGAAGATGGGTTCATTATCCACATGCCCCAAATTCCTTGGGTGCTAAACACCCACTGGAGATTGGGCCATGGAGATCAAAGTTAAGAAGAGCGAGTCCCTGTATCTGTGCCCAAACACCCACAGGGAGCAAAGTGCTGGGGTCCCCAAGATGTGCCAGTGCAAAAACAGAGAGATCAGAGAGAGGGTTTGTCCACCTGGTGCTCAAAGCACTGATGTCTGTCCCAAAAGCAGGCACAGCAGCTCAGGCCAGAGCGTTCCTGATACAGGTAAACATGAGGTGATTTGAGAGTGTGATATTCAGGTGGGGCCCTTGTACCAGGGACAGGCCAGGTGAGGCCCCAGCGCCATATCGGGGATGAGGGTGAGATGTCTGTCCTGGCATACAGCATACATCCTGAAGAGAATCCAAGCCCTGCCTGTGGGCCTCATCTGCACGTGTTCCAGTGTCCTCAGCACATTGTGATGATCATTTCCCCAAGCTGACACCCAGGGCCCAAAGCACCACACCTCAGAGGATCCAAGCCATGGCCCCGAACCTTCCTCTTCCCCAGTGCGTGTCCACAGCCCCCTCAGCTGCATCACCAGGCGTGGTGTGAAGTAACATTTTATTCAAGACAGCCCTTCCCTCGCAGGCCGCGGGAGAGGCGGCGGGGCAGGCAGACACCCACGAGCCCTCCGGGCACAGCGCTCAGCCGCACTTGCCCAGGCACTCGAGGAGCTCCATGCGGATGGCGATGCGCACGTGCCAGCCCAGCGGGATCAGGCGGATGAAGCGCGCCACGATGGGCGGCCGCAGCAGGTTCTGCACCGAGGACGAGCGGTCGGAGTTGCCATAGAAAACCTGTCGAGGGAGGGGTGGGTGGGTGGTTATGGGGCTGAAAATCCTGTCCCATGACTTTGGGGTGCCTGTGCAGAGCAGGGGAGGAGGAGGCTCCTTTCCCTCCACCCTCAGAACAAAAGACTTTAAAAATAGCCAGATTTAGGCAATTTTTGTCACACCGATTCAGTTTTCTTAGCAGGCCATTTCCCCCTATCAGTCCTGCACTTTTTATAGTTAGGCCAGAAAATCTCACCCCATTCTTTCTCATTTGCCTTCCTGTACCAAGGCACTGCTTGTTTGAAATGAGCATGATTGACTTTGGCTCTTTGAAGTTCATGAGCCAGGCTCCTACACAAGCCATTATAGATGAAAAAAAAAAATATGAGGGCCCTTTCCCCATTCCTTGGCCTGGATGTCACATCTGCTGCCATGACCTGTTTTTTTGCTGCCAGCCCCAGGGCTCCAGGAACTTCAGCAAAGCCAGCAGAGCCTCCTATGCTAGGACAGGGCCATTCCCATGGATGGGCATTGAGAATAGCTGGGAGGCAGCAGCTGTGGCATCCCCCAACCCAGCTGGACTGCACAGGCATCAGAGGCAACTCTGTAATATCTCCCCAGTACAATTTCTTGTTTCAAGTCAACCAGTAAGAAGTACAGCATGACAATGGTTTGGTGGGTTATGACTTAACTAGTTGCAGATTTTGTCTGAGGGGTTTTTCTGCACCACGATCACACACTATCCCTGGACATGGCAGTAAAAGAAATCCCTGTGCAGTGCCAAAGCATGGCTGGGGCTGTGTGGCCACAGCTGAGAAAGGGGTTTTATCATGGAGTTGCTGCCTCCTCTGCAATGCCAGTTAATGCCTCTGAGCTTAATCTGGACTCCAGTATGACCATTAGAAAACACAAATAATGTTTTTTGTCCTTCTGCACTGGTCACCATGACACACTCTCACCTCAGGGGGAACGGCCCCTCTGTGCTGCTCCCTGATGCAGAGTAAGCACCAAGACCCACCCTGCTGCTCCCACGGGATCCCCCTTTTGATGCACCTTTGTCTGGGACCTGTTGTCACCAAGCATGCCACCCTTCCACCAGTGGCCAAAGAGCAAATGTCACTGACCCGGTTGTTGCCGGTCTGGTCCTTGTAGTACACCCAGTTGAGGTTTTCGTCGGTGCGGTACTGCACGCTGTACTTGGTCATCCACTCGTCAGCGTCACAGCGCCCTTGTGTGAGGATCCCCGAAATCACCTTCACCTCCTTCAGGTCGATCTGCAGCCACTGTGCAGTGTCCTGGTACTTGGAGAGCCACGCACACCTGGGGGGACACCACCAGCCCCGCTCTGTCCTCCACCGTGCTCCCCCAGGCAGACCCTCCTGCTCCACACAGCCAGGGCTCCCCAGCCCCACACCCACAGCCCCAGGACCCCTCAGGGGGCATTTTTGAACTCACCCGAAGCCTTGGCCGTTGAGGCGGGCCTTGTTGGCTGTCCAGGAGGAGTACCAGCCCGTGTACTGCTCAGGGTTGGAGCAGCTGATCTGGTCTGGGGTGACGGCACCAGACTCAAAGCCCAGGGGCTTGTGGTAGGGACACTCTGCAGAACAAGGGGAAAAACACTTCAGGGACAAAAGTGGCTCTGTTTTCTAGGTGTGTTTGCACACATATTGTGAACACTTCCTGGGGTTTCATTGCTCTCTCTTCTCCCTCATTAGAATGCTGGGAATGCTCTTATCCCAGACCAGAACCTGCCCTGGGGCCACAGGGTCTTCATTTCTAACCTTCACTTGTGTTAACTTCTAACTCTTCTTTCTCTCCCAAACTTACTAAACTTGTTCTGACTGCAACATTTTGGGGGAAAGGTTTTATTCACATGTTGCAATCTGAATCTCCCTCTTGTAAGCATGTGGAAGAAGAGCCTGACTGGTTGCATCAACCTGGATCCAGCCTCCAGGCTGTCATATTTTTGCCTTGTGTAATGCTGGGCACTTATTTTCTTGCTGGGCTTTGCCTCCTTCTGGCCCTCCAATGACTGTCTTGATTTACAGCTCTACTTGCATGGCAAAATTGCTGAGCCAGCTCAGGTCATCCTTCCACAAGCACCCTCAGATCTGCATTTCTTTGCATCTGGAGGTGGCCTTGCCTTGTGGAAAACTTGCAGGTGCTCTGGTGCCAGTGAGGTGTCATGCTCAGCCCTGCTGAGGGATCATCCCTGGCTCAGGGATTTCCATCTCAGTTTTTGACTGCAGATCTTCAGGGTAACAATCCTGCCCCCACAACTGTCTTCTGCAATAGTGAGAAATTCAACATGACTACCACTGACTGCAAAACTACTGGAGAAAGAACTACTCCTCATTAAAACTTGCTGTGGTGGGTCACCACACAGTGCTCTGGAAGGCAAGACTTCAGTGAGGCTGAGCACCTGCATGCTCCCTGGACCTAGCTGCAGGGGTTTTTTTTGTTATCATCTTTTTTTTTAATGTGATCAGGTTATTATTGGGTATCAAGATACATAAAATGAAGGCACTCAAGTGTCATATAGGGATTGCCTAGGCAAACATCTATATCATGGGCAGCATTTTCTGATTTTGCAGCCTATGGAGCCTCTGGAGTCCCCAGAGGTAGTTCTGTCCCTTTCTCCAGTTTAGCATAGTCTGTTTCAGGGGTCTCAGCAAAAAAAGGAGCAAGCAAAGCTCTGTGCAGTTCACTTGTGGGTGAGAGGTTTCCTTGCCTTATCCATATCTGAACAACCACCATGGTGCCTCGTGTCACAACAAATTAACATGTGGGGAGCAGCAGTGGGTGCCCAGAGCCCAGCACGACTGTGGCCTCCCCAGTGCAACATCCCAGCACTGCAGCATGCAGTCGATGTCTCATTAGCAAGCTCTACTAGGTCAATATTGCACGCATCAATAGCTCATTAACATATCTTGCTCAGTTGGAACCTCATTAACATGTTTTTCCCCATGAAAACATATAGCCACTGTCCCACCTTCCTCCAGGCATGGAAACATCATGCTTTTCCACCACGTTAAAAGCCTTGCTCCCTTTGTGCAAGAGGGTGGCCCGTGTGTTTACAACTCGTCAGGCTTATCTCGAACACCACCCAACTTTACTTTTAGCAACACTAATCCACAGACCACACAACCGTAATGCAATTAGCAGGTCACCTTCTGGTGAGTCCATTTGTGCCATGCACAGGGACCTGCCAAAACAGATGCCTGGTGCCTGCCCAGCCAAAGCAGCTGAACCATTGAGCACAGTTACTGCCAAGCCAGAGAAAAGCCATGCAGTGTTTGTGAGGCTGGCTGCTCCCTTTGGCCGTGCCAGAGGCAGCTCTGCATGGCTGCTCTGCAAACTGTCCCTGGGCAGCAGGGAGTGCCAGGCCACACCACCCTGGCTGGGCTGGGCAAGGGGAATGCAAAGCCCCTCTCTGTGGACAGCAACAGCTGGAAGTTACAGTGGAAACATTCCTTATTCAGAAAAGCAAGGGAAATACTTTCACTACTCAGCTACATAATGCTAATGTGAGAAACACCCCCTCACACCTGGCCTGGCCAGGAAACCCAGCTCAGCTCCTTGCCCACATGTTCCTTGGCCATGAACAGATCAACAAAACCTGCCCCCTTCCCTTCCCTTCCCTTCCCTTCCCTTCCCTTCCCTTCCCTTCCCTTCCCTTCCCTTCCCTTCCCTTCCCTTCCCTTCCCTTCCCTTCCCTTCCCTTCCCTTCCCTTCCCTTCCCTTCCCTTCCCTTCCCTTCCCTTCCCTTCTTTAAAAACATGCTGCAAAGAAGGAATAAACTGTTTTTCTTGGTCCCTGGAGAGTCTAGAAGATTTCACAGGCTAAGCTGCAGCAAGGGAGAACGAGCCTACATGGTACAAAAGGTTTCCTACAGCAAATCCTACACATGGCAGTAGCTGCCCCAGCCAGTCTGGGGAAGCACCAGCACCAAGGGCTCCAGAGGAAGAAAGACAAATGCCCAGTGTCACTGGTCAGCATGGGCCAGCCCAGGTGACCTCCCAAGGCCCAGGCATGGGGGCTGCCTCTGCCTGATGGTGCAGGGTCATCCCTTCACCTCACAGTGGTTCAGCTCCACCAACCCCATCAGCAGCTGGATTTGGAATGTGCCAGCTCTGCAATGCCAGGAGCAAAGGGGAAGCTGCTGAAGGGCACCAGACAAACACAGCTGAAGGGTCCCTCTGTACCTGGCATGCACTCTAAGCCATTAGTCCCGCTGGACCACACCGAGTTAGGGCCTCCCTGGCAATCGCATTTGCAAGCCTTGCTGTGCCACAGCTCCAGTCTCTCATCCTAAAGGAAAGGTAAAAAAAAATAATTAATCTACATAGTCATCAACAATAGTGTCACGAGGCCAAATCTGAATTCTGAACCTTAGACAAATGCTTGTGCCTGTCTGGACTGCTGCACCTTGTCTGAGACCCTTTCCTGTTGCCAGCTCAACGTGCAGCACAGAACGACTTGGATTCCCTTGGCTTCAGAGGTCAGAGCATGTGCCTGAGCTTGAAGGCCCAGGTGCCAACCCTCCTTCTGTCCCAAAGCACCAGGGCTGGGCAGTGTCAGACCCCCAGCATTTACCTGGCAGCTGAACTATCCAGAGAGACTTACCTCTCCTGGGGAGAGGGCCATCACAGCTGGGGAGTGGGCATGGAGGGAAGAAGAGAGAGACAGAGAGAGAAATATCAGAAACAAAGATGCTGTAAGCAAACATCAGGAAATACAATCAGCATTTACTCCTGAGATAGAGACAAATAAATAGAGGAAGGACTGATTAATCTACCACATTTTCCCAAGCTGATTGCCAGGAGCAGGCAAGAGAACATGGGCAGGAGCAGGGCACTGCGTGTGCTCATGTCTGTGCCACTCCTCCATAGGGTTTTCCTTCAGATGCCTTTGGCATCTCCTCTTCCTGATCAGATACACCTGAATCACCCTGAGGCAAACACATGCTGGACCTCTCAGTCTCTGCTCCATAGGGTTTTCCTTCAGATGCCTTTGGCATCTCTTCTTCCTGATCAGATACACCTGAGGCAAACACATGCTGGACTCGGTTTTACAGCTAGTTTTGCTCATATGCATTTTTCTGTCTTTCTGCTCCACACTTTTCCTGTCACATTTTCCCCTTTAAATGTTTAAGCTGATGAGCTTGAAGGGTCAAATCCTAGCCTGGTGCCACTGCAGATCCCAAACATCTTTGGAGGACACAGGGTATCTCACAAGGTGCTTGGTCTGAGATCATTCCCTCTGGATGTGATGGAGAAAAAAGAAATGTAAATAAGCCTTCCTAATCTGTTTTACAGACAAGACTATACCTTTTTTCCTTTCTTAGGGAAAACCAGTAATTGTGGCTGTGGAGGAAGAGACTGCTATTTTTGCAACACCTGACCTGTTTTATCTCCTGCCTCTTACTGAGCAATGGCTTTTTTATGAGGCTTTTTCCTTACTGAAAAGGCTCTTCTTGCTTCACAGTGAAGTCCAAAGTAGAGTATGTTAACAGCTTTTAGACTGGTGGAATATTTCTCAAAGAGCTATGAAAAAAAAAATTTAAAACAATAATCCCATGACTGCTGATAACTCATCAACACAAGTCAAATGTCAAATATCAGGTTTTCAGAGATGTAGGGAATCTACAAGCTAGTAAGGAAAAAGTGGTTGAGCAGGTAAAAGCTTGCATGCAGTAGCTGTGAGAAACCTGCCATCTCCAGAAGTACTGTGAATACGAAAAGACTATTTTTTTTCACCAAATGAATTAGACTCTGAATTATTCACTGAAATCTAGTTATGATTTATTCATTCATACACTGTCACTTTGCTGAGCCTAGGAAGCTGCAGCTAATGCTGGGAATTTACATTCTACATGACTTTACCAAGTTTCATCTCAAAAGACTCACAAACACAGAGCAATTATAATCAGCTGAAATATAAACTATATACAAAGCTCTGTTTATTACTGAAATGCAACTGCTCCTTGGGTGTGAAAATGAGTCTAAATGTATCAAGAGTCTAAAAGAAAGACCTTCAAAAGCAAAATGATAAATTTTTAAAGATTCCTTTCTCTAACACAGAGATGGTGTCCTGTGCTTCAGTGTCCCAGAGTAGCATTTCTGGCATCAGGAACTTACCACATTAACCCACAGCACTGGCCCTGGCAGAAGAAGTGAATGCCAGTCTACAATAAAAAGTTGTGACTTCTAGTCAGGCTGAAGAGGGAGGCAGGGATCACCCAGAGCCCAGCATGCTCAGGAGGAAAACACGCTTGGACATCTCCAGACATCTTGGAAAGCACAGGCTGGGGACCCCACACAGCAGTGCACTACACCTGTCCCAGCACCAATGTTACCAAGCCAACCCTGGGATCCACTGAGCAATCAGAAAACCAAGGCAGAGGGCAAACTCAGAGCCAGCCCTGTGCTGTGACACATGGGGCAAAGAGGTCTGACTTAAACCTGTGTGAAGGTGATTTAAGTTAATGCTGTCTGTCAATACAAGAGAAACCAGGATTTTATCACTTACCAAAACTGGACATATTTGCCAATAAAAGTAATGCAGTGCCTGCCTCTACTGCCTGCCCTGTGCTGTTTGATGCCAGTGCAGGAGAGGCATTGGTACCTGGAGCAGGAGATCCAGGCTGGCAGGTGTCTCTCCTGCCCCCCTGGCCCACAGAGTGGTGTCCTTCCCAAGCAGGACAGGTGCCCTGCTCCAGGAGCACCAGCTGCAAGGGCTTCCTTACCCTGACATCTGGGGTGGCTTCCCAGCCATCACAGCCTGCTGTGTGTTCCCATTGCCCAGCAATTCCTGGCTTTCAGGGCTACAGGCTTGGCTCCTTCCATCTGCTAAACTACTTGATTTTCATCTTTAAGAAGATTTATTTTTGCAGAAAAAAACTTTTGTGGGTTTTTTGGTTTTTTTTTTTTTGGTTTTTTTTTTTTTTTTTTTTTTGTTTTTGGGGGTTTTTTTTTTTTTTTTTTTTTTGTTTGGTTTGGTTTGGTTTGGTTTTGGTTTTGTTTTCTCTTACGGTGGTTTAATGCACTTTAGTCTGGAAAAGGGGTTGGAAAAGGCTTCTTCTGGATCATGGAGTCCAGCCATTAACCTAAGGAAGTTATGTTCCATGACTGCAATGTGGTGAGGCGTGTTCTTAAGCACTGCATGCCTGGGGTGGGGAAGGGGGATATGAGTTACCAGGATGTAGTAGGATATTGCTTTGTGACCATGCTGAGCCCTTCAACAGGCCTCCTGAGTCCCTCCATTTTGAGAGCCAAGATCAAAATTGAATCTGCCATTGACACATGCAGCTGGAAACTCAACAGGGTGAGTGAAACAACAGGCAAAAAAGGAATAGATTGCAGGTGGGTGGGTGGGTGTATGGTAGCAACAATTCAAGCACCCAGAATAAATCCTCCTGCCCAGGTGACCCAGCATTTTGTGGGTGGCTGCACTCAGCCAGTGGTGCCTGCTCCTGAGCTGCGAGAGTGGCTTTGAGGGGTTTTAGCCTCATCTGCTAGGGGACACCACTGAAAATCAAGCAAGGGTGTGAATTTCAAGCGGGAAGGCCCTTTTTAAAATGCAATGTTTTATTGGGTCAGTCCCACAGCACACAGCAGTGCAAAGGCAGTGCCAAGGCACAGGTGCTGGCATGCTGCCCCTGTGGCTGTCCAAGCCTCCTCCACTCCTCACTGCATAACTTGCTGATTTAAACCCCTCAAACAGGAGTTCAGCTTCCTCTTTTTCAGCTTGGAGAGGTGAACTGCTAAGGGCTCACTCCCAAAGGGGCTCAGCCACCCAACCACGGTACAGGGGAGCAGCAGGCTTGGTGTGGGGTGAGCGTAGCAGTGGATGGCCAAATGCCCTGCCTGGGCAGTGCAGCCTGATAACCCCTGGCCATGGGAGAGGAAAGCAAATGAAAGATGCCCTTGTGCCTGCAGCTGGCCACAAAACATAGTAATTGATATATTGGTGTGTTTGCAGCTGTGACAGGCCCTGTCCTACAAAGGAAATGAAGAGGAAAGCTGGCTGCCAATAGTCTAAAAATGTGATGGGCAGTATGCTTTTATAGCAAGCGTGTTTGCCTTCAAGGAAGGTTACAAAGATAATTGGTAATTGTAGGTCAGACAGAACCAATTGCTGCAATTCAAGGGAGAGTCATAAGGCCTGCACAGCTGCCAGGGGCTGTTGTTTTAAAAGCACAGGACTGACAAAAACCCCAAAACATTAAAAAGGAAAGAGCTCTATTTACTGCCCCCCAGGACCTTCAGCAAACCATGAGTTCAGTGAAATAAATTATTATCTGTGTTTGTGGAAGGCAGAGAGATAAGGCATGTGCATTTCCTGTCCCTTCATCCCACCCTGCAGTGCTGTGTGTCCAGAGCACTGCCATGCACAAATGCTGTCCCATAGCACGGGATTTAGGGACCAGGGCTTGGGACAAGATCCAGGGCATGATTTTGTGCCAGGGAACCTGTGCTGGTGAGGCTGGGCTGGAGCCCAGGTCCTGAGATGTCTCCACTTGGCACCTGCTGCTCAGCAGGATGAAGGGCAGTGGTACTCCAGGAACTGGTCCAGGTTTGGGGCAGAGACAAAAGAGCTGGCAGAGGTAGCCCTGGGGTGCCAGGATGGGGTTTCCTGAGGTGGAAGTTGGATAAAGCAGCAGCCACAGCTTAGGGCTAATTTGGCAAAATGGGAAATCAATAGCAAGGAAACCCAGCTGCTGGCATTTCAATGACAGGAACAGGTAACTGTGCTTCTCAGAAAAATTGTAATCATTAGGAATGTGGTTAAACAAGAGAAAGAAAGGAAGATAAGTGTGGGCAGAAGTAACACTGCCAAGGGCTGTGTTCAATACAGTAACTCTGAGGAATCATATTCACTATCCTGACCATAAAGTCAAAAAGCAAGTCATCTTTTAGTGTAGGAATTAAAGACAGGTATACAAGCATGAGACAGTACATGATAAATATGAAAAAAGGAAATAAAATATAACACAGAATAAATGTCAGTCACTCAATTTACTGGAATAAGTTCACACAAACTTATTACAGGAAAAGTATGTGGAAAATATTAATCTCTTTATTTATTTACTTTATTATATAGGTGTCCTAGAAGTTTCAGCTGGAAAATAGTTGATTTTTTGTCTCATCTCTGTAAGCAACGCCTCAGTTTAATGGTGCTCAGAGAGGTAAAGTTATTTTCTCTCCTCCCAGAGGAGAGCAATGCCCCCATGATGCAGCAGTGCTTTCTGGGCACAGTGGCTCCTTTTGCACACACAGTCACCTTTTCCCTTCTGCACCTGTGGGTTATGGGGTAGAGGAAAGAAAAATATCTTAACCCCCGCAGAAAAATAAGGGCTGGAGCTCCAGAATAGCCCCAAAAAGTCACAAAAATTAAAGACATGGCTGGAATGGGTAGCACTGGTTTTATCATGCTTTCTGAAAGTCCCTCTTTTCCCTGAGCACCGCATCAGCCAGCATCAGGAAGCAGAGTTAGGTAACAGCCTGTAAGCAATAGAGGGTCAAAACACTGAAAAAAGCATTGCAGCGCCTCTGTGCCCATTGGGTGCTCGTTTGTACCTCGCTGTATTATTAACTTCGGCTATTTTTACCTGCCAGCCCCGAAAATCGTGCCAGGCAGCTGAGGTGACTCACATCAGGTTGCGCCAGCCTCTGTAAGAAGGTGGATTTCGGGAAGCTGCCACTCTGGTGGTGCTCTCCCCATCTCTCCTTGCCCTGTGCCAGAGGCAGCGGTGCCAGGGCCCTGTGGCCGGTCCCCAGGTCCCCTTGGCAGGCACAGCCCCCCTGCCCAACCCTTCCTGATGGCTTTTGTCGATTTTCCCCCGGGCCTTTTTCCATGGCCACGCTCGGCAGGCTCCACGGGAGCCGGTGTTGTGCAAAGGGCATTTTCATCTCTAAAAATCGGGGGTTGTGCCAGCAGGCAGGGACCTCCGGGACACCCGCAGGTCTGTGCCCACCCAAAGACAGCCCAGCCAGGCTGGCCTGGGCACGGCACGGTGCCCACCCAGGGACTGCAGCCCTGAAGCCGCCGGGCGGAATGCTCAGCCTGTTCTCCTGCAGGTGACACTGCGGCCCCAGCAGCACCGACACATTTTCTTTATCTGAATGATTTTCATCAGGTTTTCCTTTTCATTAATTTTTATTGTGGTTCATTTACTATTTACTGGTATTTGTTTGAAGGCAATAAAAAAAAACATATTTAAGTAATCACAATTGCACCTATTTAAAATTTATATTAATTTCCCTTTTTCCATAATGTTTCCACCAAATTTTATGTTGTGACGATATTTGAAAAAACCTAAATTAATTTTTAAAATAATCCACCTTTCCTCCCTTTTTTCTTAAGAAATATATAATTAATTATCTTTTTTCCCCAAAGCGCTCCTTAGAAATGTTCAGCATTTTCTGACCTTATTGACATGTTTATTCCTTCCTGCTTGAAACTACGCCGAACATCGCCTGCATAGTAATTTCATTACACAAATTGATTACGCCAAAGGGCAGCTGTACTAAAAATGTTATTTACTGTGATGCAAAAAGCATGTTTGAGCCCTTAATTTTTTTTTTTTTTGGGGGGGGGGGCGGGGGGGGGGGCAGGTGGGGAAGATTCTTGTTTTAAGGGGTTTTTTGTGTGTGTGTGCTTTGTTTTATTGGGTTTTTTGTTTTGTTTTTGTTTTTGTTTTTGTTTTTGTTTTTGTTTTTTTGTGGTGGTGTTGTTGTTGTTGTTGTTGTTGTCGTTGTTGTTTTTGGGGGCTTTTTTTGGTTTTTTTCAGTGAAGCTGCAAAAACCAGAGGTGAAAAAAGAGAAATGCGCAGCTGCCGCAGGAGCCCTCCTGCTGCACTGTTTTATTGGGTTTTTTGTTTTGTTTTTGTTTTTGTTGGGTTTTTTTTTTTGTGGTGGTGTGTTGTTGTTGTTGTTGTCGTTGTTGTTTTTGGGGGCTTTTTTTGGTTTTTTTCAGTGAAGCTGCAAAAACCAGAGGTGAAAAAAGAGAAATGCGCAGCTGCCGCAGGAGCCCTCCTGCTGCACCATATGCTGCCCTGCCCTGCCCTGCCCTGTCCCCAGCCAGCACAAGGCCACAAGGCCAGCCGAGGCTCCTCTAAGCCCCTCGCTCTGCCAGGGAAAATCAGCTAAGCAGCTTACGGTGGCATCAGCGCACGTAGCTGCGAGCGCTGACCCAGCGGAGAGGGGACAGGCAGAGTGTGAGGGGCACCGGGGCTGCCCTTTGTACCCACGACAGGACACTTAGACCGCGAAGCAGGGAAAACCAGTAAATTTAAAAATACAATAAATTAAGAAAATAAATTAAATACCAAAGGAGTGATGCCTGGAAAGTGATCTTGCAACTTATTTTTCACTGCAGGCTCTCCAAAAATATCCTGATGTGTGGGTGTCTATTAAAAGCAAGCTGTGTCTGGAATTCAGAGCAAGGTATATGAACTTATTCCAAGGACTAATTGCAGTTATGCCACCCATAAGGAAAAAAATGCTGGAGTCTGTAAAAAATCACTCTTCCTAGGCGCTCAGGCACCAGTAGCCTTCCCAAGTGAAACAAAGGAGAGGAAGATAAGGTATGAGGAGAATGTACAAATATTTGCTGGGAGATTAGCAGAAAGACCTATTAATTAGGCAGAGCTGGGTACGGCCAAACATAACAAGATGAAATTAAGGTATGGCTAGTTGAGGAGCACTTCTTTTCCTACCCATGAAATTTGGTAGAGTAAAACATTCAACAGAAACACAGAAAGAGAGAAAAAAGACATACCAAAGCACTGGGAATTCAACACCCACATGAGAAAAGTTGGGCTGTCTGATTAATCTGTTCCTCACCCTGACAGATCATACTTGATTCACACATTCATGTCGGTAGACACTGCCCACCTCTTACCAAGAGCAACCCTCAGCCTCATTTAAGAAAAAAGTAGCTTTGCCATTGGCTTTGATGAAGCCAGAAATTTAAATATGAACCAGGAAATGATCTCCTTGTTCTCCACAACTGGGTGAATTAAAATGGAAGGAGTTGTCACACTAAATTTTCTGTCTCCTTCTAGCTTACCTACTTTTGTTGAACATGAGGAAGCCTCAAAATTGATAAATACCTTTCCCATTTTCTAGACTTATGAATTGCTTTTTGTTCTAAAAGTATCTTTGGAAGTCTTTTCCAGGCCAAAATACCTTGAAAGGCCTTAAAAAAAGGGCAATCTTCATCAGCAATGTCTTGCTGCTAAGAAAATGATCAGTTTTTGATTAATCAAGAGTTTTGATTAATGAAGGACCAGTCTTTCATGTTATACTGCACCTCATTTTTCAAATCAGCATTATTATTTACACACTGGCTCAGCTGCACTACAATTTTCTTTGCAAATTCATATTTTGACAAATTATATGGCAAATTTTTTACACTGCAATTATTTTTTTGAAACAGAGTTTTACTACTGAATATTCATAGAGCTGTAAGAATGCTGCTCACTCATGTACATAAATTACACATCTCCTCCACATTTTGCCTTTCCCCGAATTATTATGTTTCCATGAGAATGTAGAGAAGAGCTTGCTCTGTACCCCACAGCCCCTGGCAGAAGAAAGCATGGCTGAAACAGGAAACACAAAGAGGAATATTTGAAAGTGCCTCTCAGGAGGCAAAGTGCATACCTTTGTACCAGAAAAGAAGAGACAGCAGGACGCGCCCCATCTTGTACTCCATCTTTTCCTTCCTCTGTTGTGAGCAGCTCCTCAGTGCACTGCTTGGCTTGATGGGAAGGCATGAGATTAACTTAAGCGTTGCCTAAGCACCTTACTCTCCTCCATTCCCATGATTTTATCAAGCACCATCAAGCCAACCACACACTTGTTACTGTCAAACTCCATCCTAGAGGCTGTGCCATCTGTAATGGTTTTTAAAAGGCAACAAGTACTGAGGTACTGACACTCTGCGTGTGAATCTGATTGTACATGCAGACATATGTCCAAATAAACCAGGATATACCTATGTATAAACCACATACACACCCTACAGAGATGCAGATGCCTAATGCTCATAGAAGATGTATAGTATATATTGTATGTTGTATATAGCATGTATTCATTATCTTCCACCCCAATTATTTACCTCTACACTAGCAATGTCTTTCCTAGCAATAGTCATGTGTAGAAATCTGCCCTGGCCTTACTGCTCTTCCAGTCACCTAATTGCACAGGGCTGAAAACTGCAATTAGCAGATCAAACCAAAATAGTGTTTTTCAGTTGTTTACTTGCTAGGCTGCAAAAATCTCTAACCAAAAATGTAAACCTCTCTTTGCTACTTTTCTACTTAAGTATTCTCTCAACCAGCCTACACCAAAGATTTGATTTTAGAATGATTGATTCAAGATAAAAATAGACTGCTAGTGATCCCAGTGGATCTTGCACCTGTTCCTCCAATCTCTGTTGATTATATGAAATTAGCAGTGAATTTTTAATGGAGGTTTTTGAAAGCAATTGCTTCAGAAGCAGCTTGCTTTGTTGCAAGAGATCTCAGATTGTATGCACTGGGAATAGATTAAGGCACTGCTTTGATCACATAAGCTGAAGTTGAGTTAAGCCAGCCGTGTCTCTACTCTTCTGGTTTATATTCATTTTAAAATGCTGTGCAAAGAAGGATGCTGGGTTTTCAAAAACAGTCCCTTGGGTAGGATTCATTTCACTTGCCTTTGGACACCCACAAATTTGGAATGCCCTGTAAAATTTGATGTCAGGTACAGCATCCCACTGCAGTCTCACCTCCAGCATCAGCACACCCCAGACTCACCAGCGTATGTGACATGGACGGGAGGAGTCTCCCACCAAGGATCTCACTGCTCTGCTCAGCCTGAAGGAGTTTAACCTCCTCAGCCCAACACTTTTCCCGCTTTACCCCACCTCCATGGAGAGGGGGTTGTCACACCTTGGCCACTCTGCTTCGTGGACCTGGGACAGCTCATCCCAGGCCCCAGGAAGGAGATAATTTTTCTAAGGGCACAGGGCTGCTCCTAATTTTTTTGCCAGAGGCCTCATGCACATATGCTGTTCCTGTCCTGGGGCAGGGGAACCCACCAGAAGGTCCAGCCAGGAATTAAAGAAATATGAGGCTCACTGAGGGTACAAGGGCAGCTCTGGGCATCTGAGGCAGTGCAGCATCTCACTTTAGGCTCTACACATATCCTCTTTATATTGTTCAGTCTAAAATGGGCTGCCACAGAGACAGAGATTTTCAGAGCTGCTGAAGACACTCAGATATCTATTCCATCTCTGCATTGCTGAGCAGTTGGTGTCTAAATCTCGTGGGTTTGAAAATCCCAGCTTAAAAATCCCTAAATACCTTCATCCACATATCTCTTGGAAAACCAGATCTGAGCTTCAGCCTCTCACCTTATGGTCTCATAAGGACAGGTCACATGGAAGGAGAGCTACTCACACAAAGAGAAATTACCTACCATGTTTTAAAGAAAAGCCAAGCCAAATTCTCTCCCATCATCACATGCAGTTTTAAATCAGCTTGGTTTATGGTCAACCCCACCCTTCAAATACATTTTGATTTTGTGTAAGAAATACACAGTAGCTCAGGGAACGTGTTCAGAAACAGCACAGCTCTTATCAAAGAACATTCCGTCCAAAGGGATACTCTTCAGACTGGTGGCTGCCCAGTTGTAAAACTCCCTCCACACAGAAGGAAAGGCAGCCTTTGTTTTAAAAAATGGTCTATAGCATTCAAAAAACCAAACTGTTTCACATGAAGATTAGAAGAGCATTTAAATTAAAGTCTCTATATAAATAGTATGGCAGTTCAGACAGTCTATGTCTAATGGTGTTGATAGTCCATCATTTTAATAACTATAAACAGCAAAACCATGCTGCCACTGCAGAAAAGCATTACCAAATGAATAATGTGATTAATTCCTAGCAAGCACAGAAGTATTTTCAGGTACAGAAGGCAGAAAAAGTTTAATGGCCAGTACATAACACAGCACCAGAAATGGCTACATTTGCCCTGTATAAAAAAGAAAAATACAGTTTCAAAAAGGATAAAGATTAGTCTAGCACTGATTACAAAACAAAACTGAGACTAGTACAAATGGCCCAAATTAAGACAGTTTGGTAACATTCCAACTGCTATGTAAAACAGGAATTGTCTGGGCAGGTTCACTCTTTTGTCCATACATAGACATGTAGCTCATGTCCCATTGGCCCTAAGACATTTTGCAATGTTTTCATAGCCCTCAGAAGTCTTGGTGTGTTTTTTTCTGCCAGATTTTGGGAAAAAACATAGAGATCACCCTGCACCATGGAGATGCTTTTAGTCTGACTGGCAGCACGTGTGTGTGACCTCAGAGGGGAACCAGGAGGCAAAAGCACTCCTGTGTGAGAGAGAAGTGGAACTCCACGTAGCAGTGGCACGTTTCTCCCCAAGCCAGAGTGCCAGACGGCTCAGTCGGAGCAGCACGCTCGGATCCATGTGTCTGGGGATGCACACGACGAGCAGTGTCTCAGCAAAAAGTGTGTGACTGGCACACTTTTGTTTTAGCACAGTAAGGGAACGTACAAAGCACACATACATGTGTGTGTGAACCACGGACATCTCTCAGAAGCAGATACTGATGTGTGGAGAGGGCAAGACTGTCGATGCTTTTAGAGCATGAGTCAGGAGCTGGATCCCCTTCAAATGGATGGAGCTGCAGTGGTCTACACACACTCAAGACAGGCTCTCAGAATAAAACATTCCTTTTACAAGTCTGAAGTGTGAGCTTAAGTCATCTTCTGAAAAGGAGACTTTTTCCTAAATGTAAGAAAACATGAGGCAGATAATTACCCAGTGCTGACCACCAGGCCCAGGCCCTGTAACTCATGCACTTAGGGGTGCTGTGGCTGCCAGCAGCAGGGTAGGCACCATGGAATCATCATTCCTGTCAGATGGGATGTACCTACACCAAAGGTTTACATATCCTACATCAGCTTTGAGCCTGTATTCTGGAAGCAGCCAGTCTGTGGATAATAGTTTACCCCTGAGGGGGACCACATTGCTTTGGCTCCACCTCCTGTGGGCTGTGCACACACTGCTAAACAAATAGGCAGAGAAAAGCCAGACCTGAGTACTTCTGCACTTTCAGGTTGTGGGATGCACAGGCTCTTAGCATCAGTATGGTGTTAATGTCACAACTTTAGCATGCCAGGTCTCACTATGGGAAAAAAGCTCTTGCAACCTGGCCCAGTTATCCCTGCACTGGTCTGCAATCTCTAACTGCAGCTTGCCCATACCCCAGAGTGTTTGTTTAGTGAGAACAAGCACTAACAAAGGTTAATAGTTTTCTCCATATGACGATGATTAAGGTACGTTTCTTAATAAGTCTCTGATTAAAGTAAGTTAAGCCAATTTTTTCTCTTTAATCTTTAAGATAGGTAAATCACACCCTCCCACTCTGATCCTTGAAAGATACTCAAGAGCTGATTCCAGGTCAGTGGAGCTCAGGGACTCTTCTCCTCCTCCTGCAGAGAAGTCTTAGCCCCAGCACTCGACAGGGCTCCCACGCACAGACAGATGCAGTGCCAGCACCCATGCCCAGAGGTTACCCTTTTCTAAAGCCTCGCACGTGCAAAATGAGACAACATGTTATAATTTTAAAATTAAATTGCTCCGAGGCACGTTGAGATGGCTCTTTCTTTCCCAGTTAATAAAAACGACAGGCACAGCACAGGGGAAAACAAGCATGGAGTTAACTGTGCTTGCTAGATGTGCGCTGTGAAAACCGCCGGCCTTTCCCAGGGCCCGAACACCTCTCCGAACAGAGAGATGAAAGGACCCGTGTCCCAGGGTGTCCCGGTGAGAAGCCTTGGGGACACATGGGGCTGCAGAGTCCGCACTGCCTTTGTTCCTCGCGGATTGGGAGCAGGCACAGGCTGCTGCTGCTGCTTCCCCGCACTGCCTCTGCTCCCTGCGGTCCCCTGGGTGCCCCTCTGAGGGACCATGGTCAGCTGTGGGGGTTCCTCTCCGCGCCGGCAGGGAAAGCTCCTCTGGCAGGCGGGCATTCCCTGCCCAGGCTGCAGCCTGTGGAAGTGACCCCGTGTGACAGGGTTTCTCTTGAGGCGCCTTTCTGCTCCCCTGCAAACTGCTCCGCCTCTGCCGCACGCAGGGCCCGCGCCCTCTTTAACTGCTTACGAGGTTCCCCATCTTTTGGAGGAAACAGCTAAACCGAAACTCACCGCGTTAAAAGAAATTAGGAAAAAATCAGCGCTAGGCAAGAAAAAAAAAAAAAAGAGTCATGCTTTGGCGCTGGTTCCACTGGGGCTCGAACCCAGGACCTTCTGCGTGTAAAGCAGACGTGATAACCACTACACTATGGAACCGCCGCGTACACTGCCTCTTACAGCAGTACCCCTATCGACGACATTCTGGCCACACCTCTGCAGGACTGATGACGGAAGCCTGGTATTTTCTCTTTAATTGCTGGTTGATTAAAAACAAATGTAGTAGTTCAAAATTACCCTAATGCGTTTTCTGCCCTTCTGATCGCTACAGAGCGGCAGTGACGCGGGTAAATCAGCTCCCGGTGAGGCTCCTGTGCCGCTGCGTGCTGCGGACAGCGGCGGGCCCCGCTCTGCCCGGCCGCACAGGAGCAGGTAACGACCCTGGGGCGTGCGGGCCGTGCTGCAGGGAGCGCTCCCTAGCTCGGCATGTATTCGGCACACGCATACCAAACGTGTTCGCTAATGTTTGCCTTCGGCCCGTGTGCTCCCAAGGCCCCGCTTCGGGAAAGGCCGGCAGCCTTCCTGCGCATCCCGCTGCTCCTGGCAAATGCTTGGCTGCTCTGTTCGCCCCGAGCTGGGCTGGAATGTCACGTCAGGTTGGCCCAAGTGCGGGAAGGGCGGCCTGAGCTCAGGGAGAGCTGCAGCAGCACCGAGGGAGCCGCGCGGATTCCCTCTAAACTGGCCACGGGAAGCGCCTCGCTGCTTACTGCAGGGCACTCCAGCTCTCTTCTCAGCGCGGGAGGGACGTGTGGGAGATTTCCTCGGCACATGAGGCTGTTTAAAACACAAAAGGCAGCGAGAGGCAGGAGCGCCCGGCTCTTTCCAAACCCGGGAGAGGACGGAGAGCTCTCCTGCCGTGTGTGGCCGCCCGGGGCCGGCTCTTTCCAATGCCCGGGAGAGGACGGAGAGCTCTCCTGGGCCGGCTCTTTCCAATGCCCGGGAGAGGACGGAGAGCTCTCCTGGGCCGGCTCTTTCCAATCCCGGGAGAGGACGGAGAGCTCTCCTGCCGTGTGTGGCCGCCCGGGGCCGGCTCCCGCCGGCAGGGGGCGCCCCGCGCTCGCCCACCGCCTCAGGCCCCGCTCGGCTCTGGGGCCTGTGCGGGGAACGCCTCCGTGAGTGGTGCTTTGGGTGTCCATCCATCCATCTATCCATCCATTCATGGACCTTCTTGTCACCCCTTACACCCCACAATAATCGCCGTCTTGTCTCTGTTATGTTTTACCCGCTTTTTTACACTGCTTCCACTACCTGAACCCTCACCACACTGTGCCTCGCCTCACGTCTCAAAGGGTGTGGCTTGTAGGAGCACAAATTAAAGCACCTGTATTGTGTTTACAGGTCAAAAGTCACAAATAGAAATTATTATTTGGAATATAAAAGGTAAGTTTGGGAGTTTTCAGAAGTGTGGTGCTTGTAAGCAAAACAGGTATTATTTGTGGCTAAATAGCATAGTTGACATGACTTTTGCAATTATTAATATTTTGCTGAAGCAGCAGATTTAACAAAGCAGATTTAACAGCAGATTTAACAAAGTAGAAAATATTTCATTAAAAGCAGTTTAATAAGCATGAGATGAAAATAGAGATGAAGACAATTATTTCCATAGACTTGATGACCCCTTACCCTGTATGTGTTGCATTTATTAGTTGGCAGATTCCATTCTTTAAAAAACAATTTAAAATATTTTTCAAATCCTTTTACGTACTGATCGTTAGTGTGGGAGTCAAATCTGTGTGCTGTCCTGACCTGGAGAGCCTGATTTGACCTGGAGAGCCTGATTTAAAGGCTTTACCCCTTTGGCAAAGAGACAGCCTGATAGGCCTGAGGCACCAGGATGTAGGGTTTGCACAGCTTCTGGTTCACCAGACCAACAAAATGCACATCAGGCTTTTGTTAGGCAATTCTTTTGCCCATTTCTTTTTTCCTCATGCTGCTTTACTGAGATCTGTCAAACCCTGAGTGCTGTAGATAGATAGCTATCATTTCTATAAGCTCTAAGTGGAGGTTGAAGCAAACGTCAGGGAGGTAGAGCTGTGCAAATTAGGTCATTAGTCATTGCTTCCCAGAATAATCTGCATTCATCTGATAATTTGGGAAACTTTCTTTAAAAAAAAATTGTTCCCATTTTTTTGCAGAGGGTATCCTGATGGTTTCATAGTGTTCTGGTCTAGTTTCTCAGTCTTCAGGAGCTTTGAGGCGTACTACTGCCTTTCTTTCCCATTTCTGATTTGGTGTGCTTTTTGCCAAGGATGCTAGTTTTGATGTCTTTTATTCACCTTCTCACCCAGAATTGTCAGTGGAGGAACATTTCTTTTTGTGTTCACACAAATTAACCTACTTTTTCTAATGTGTGAGCACAGATTTCTGTCATCTCACTGACTGAGTCAGAGTTTAAATTTGTTCTGGACATTAATTTCTCCAATTTTTTCTATTTTTTTTTTCTTTCTGTCTCCAGGCATCCAAGTTTCTGTCATCTCACTGACTGAGTCAGAGTTTAAATTTGTTCTGGACATTAATTTTTCCATTTTTTCTATTTTTTTTCCTTTCTGTCTCCAGGCATCTGAGTTTTTCAGTCAGGGACTTTTTCCCTGGCTGGTACTTTAAAATACTTTGCTAGGTCATATAAAAATACTTTAAGCTTGGTAGGGCAAGAGGAGGGAAACCATGGTCAGAGCTTAGAAGGAGCACATTCCCTTCGACTATGATTACCTTCATCCTTTTTGAAAAATATCGGTTACATCACTTTGTAGTGGGTGCTTCTGAGAAATAAGCCTGAAGCAGAATTTGAATTATGCATGTGGAATGCCTGCATGAAGACTTCTCAGGAGGTTAATGTTTCTAAAGTATTTGGAAAACAGAATATAGTGCTATTACATCAAGAAGGGCTGCTTTTAGAGGGATGCCCTGATTTCTACACTAGCACCATGACTGGGCTTTTTCTTATCATGCTAGACTGCTCCATCATATATTGTCAGAGGTTTTGGCCTACTTTCTCTTGCAGCTGTTGATGCTAAAAGTCTATTCAGCATATTAAGTGTGTGTGTGATACAGGACTGCGGAGCAAAAAAGCAGTAGTATGTGTGACCTTGTTGATGGGACTGGTATGTTCTCTTTGCCCTTTGTAGAGAGGAAAATGGTGTTGTCTCCTTGGACTTGAACGGGAAAGGTTAATTTGGAAAGGACATTTGTGTTTCCTCAAGTTGCATGTTATTGTGATCCCCACAAGTAACTGGAGAGGTGGCTCAGTCCAGCAACACTGACTCTTTATCAGGTTGCTTGGTCATGTCAGATCACTGAGGCAGAGGACAAGAAGAGAAACAAAAGAAAACATGTCCTAAAGAACCTAACTGCTAAGGTTATCCCTCTCCCACTGCTCTTGGATGAAATGTTTCTGATGGATTTATTGGCAATTGGAGCAAACCTCTCATTATGCAGAGAACTTGGTAAATGCCAATAGAGATGAACTTATCAGGTACAGTAAATGTTTATAAATAATGTGTATCCCAAGAGTACAGTGGAAAGAGGTTGTGATGTATTTTTGCTTGCATGCATTTTGGCAGAGCAGCGTGATCATACATAAAAGATTAGCTGCTGTAACTCAGATCAGGGAAAGTGCATCCTGCCAGAAAAAACAAACATCAAAACTGTTCTGGGTCATGCAGAATTACTGCGCTTGGTATGCTTTCCATTTACTGTCGTGTCTCACAGGAGAGGAGCAGCTTTGAAAGTGGAAGCTTGTGTCTGGGACTCCAGAACCTCAGAGGACTAGCTCAGTCAATCAAATGGCTTCTGCTTTGCTGGTTTGGCATTTTAAAAATCTTTTGCACCTTAATAAAAGTCCGTTTCAAAAGGGGATTTGATCACTCTGTCCTTCAGAGTGGTGGTTGATACTTTTAAAATTGTCACCACACTGATGACAAAAAATTTCTGAAAATAGCATGTTATGGTATTATTAGACCTTTGGGGAGGGGCAGAAGGATGAAGATATTACTTTGCCTCTATTCTCAGAAATCTTTTGTTTCTATCCAAGCCTGGTGGGGCTCCATCTGAAGAGGCTTCAGAGCAAGGGCACAGTGGTCTTCATCTTGTGCCTGTGCACACGGAGCTTTCTCCCACCACAGCACGCTTTATGACCTGTGGTCCTCTTTGGACCCACAGGCCCTGCCCTGAGCCCACAGAAACAGCTTCTGTGCCCTGTTCCATCACTGCACAGCAGCAAACAACCCCTCCCTGGCTTCTGGAGTGGGGCACTGGTGTCCTGATGAACATAAATGCTGATGAGGACTGGGCCCAGGATGGTAGTGGTGACATTACACTGTCATGCTTCTACAGACATCTCCTAGTTTTGAGTGGTGTGGCGGGGTATGTGTTCAAAATCACAGTGTCCCCTGCTATCCATGCACTGCCAGTGGAGCAGATTCCTCAGGGGCTGTTATGTGAGCAGTGGGCAGTAGCAAATCACCATGATGGCTCTGTCCTTCCCTAGGGATCCTGTGCAGTGACTGGGAGTCAGGGGTCAGTGTGGCCAGGAGCTGGGTCAGAGATGTGGGACGTGCTGCCAGGGGTCAGGGCTGGGTTTCAAATCGTGGCTTTCTGACCAGAGCAAGGCTGCGGTGTTCTCGGCTTCTCAGCAGTCACTCAAGGAGAAGACAAGCCAAAACATGAACTGAGACCACAGAATTTCAGTCAGGTGTTTCTGGTGAGAACATGTGCATGCATGAAGAAATGAACTGAAGGCACTAGCACAGTGGTTCCCAACACAAGATGTGAGTGCTTCATACTTGTGCATTACCTGGGTACGAGTGGGTGATTTGGAGAACACTTCTCTATATCACTGGCACGCAGATGCAATGCCTTGTGGTAAATGCAGTATTTCTTTCCTTCAGGGCTTTCATAACCATGCCAGTCACATCAGATAACCAAATAACCTGGACAGCCTTATGTTTTATTCTGGTGTGCTAGATCTGCTAAAATGCAAATCATTGCCTCAACACAGCAGAAAGGCCGAGAGAGATCATGTGACTTCAGATGCGAGGCAGATAACTTCAGCCCATCCCTTTCTCTGCCTGAGATTCAGGAGGCATGGAGACAAAACAGCTTTTCAACACGGAAACAGCACAGCTGGAGGGCTGCAGCCATGAGCTTTCACATCAGGCTGGACGATGAAAACAACATTTTCCCCTGACTGTTTCTGAAGAGCAGCATTCAAGAAATTTCCTCTCGGGAAGCTGTGTAAATAGGTGGAGAGCAAGTGCATTGCAGCTCCTGAGCTCCAGAGTCCCAGAGAGAATTGGAGCACCTGTTCTGCAGAGCTACACCCCTCAGGGGTTGCTTTCTCTTAAAAAAAAAGAATCTTCTAAAGGTACTCTAGTACAAAAATTCTCGGTATTGCTGAAGCAGAAAGGAAAAAAAGGTAATATCTTTGGGCGGGGTAAGGTATATATAGATATATATTTAGCTCACTTTTAAAGAGCAATTTAACAAATTAGAGATGTATCTGGCATTATTTATGATTTTACCATAAGAAAAATCACAGTGCTTCAAACTATAGTTTGACCTGGACTGAATCAGTTACCCAGAACTTCTGAGTACAGATCAAATCAAATAGCTTAGAGACTACTGTATTTCATGTAATTTTTGTTTTAGGAAAAATAATTTTTATTGTATTTTCAACCTTGTTCTTATACTTAAATTTTATGAAAACCATGCTGAAGCATTAATTTATTTTTTAAACTGGCTCAGATTTCAACACATGTTTATTCCAAAGATTTGCTTTTTCAGGATTCATTAAGACCCTGCTCATTGAGTGCAGGACAGTATGTGATGCAGCTTTTTGCTTAAAGGGTGTTAACTTTTATGCTTCAGTTGGGTTCAGTTTACTAGAACCAAAGTTGCTTCAGGATTTTCAGTTTTCTCCTTGTTGCCTAAAGGAATCTCCCCCTAGAGGCATTTAACATTTCTGGAATGTGATGTGATGGGTTTGCTTATTCTTCAAAGAAGAATGTGTACCCCGTTTGTCCACTTGTATTTGCTATTCTTCCTCTTTTTAAAACAAAATCTTTCTAAAGTCTCGCTATACAAAAAAATCAGGATGCTTGCTTTGTTTATTTTCTGCCCCCCCAAAAAACAAAACAAAAACCAAAAATAAATGTACTCCTTATTGATGATAAGTAACATTAACTGGTATTCTCCCACCATTTTTTCTACATATTCTTTTTGGGTTTGCATGCAGTTCCTGAGCTCAGGGATTGATTGAATTATCTACATGTTCACACCTTTGCTACTCTTGCTTTTATTTCTTTTTGCAGTGTATTTTTTGGCTCAGGAATGTGAGTCCACCTTAAAACTTCAATTTATTCTTCATCCTATTCTCTTTCAGGCTTTGCTGGCTTTCTGGTATCTTACTAACATTTGGCCAGGGCTCAAGCCACCACATGCATCCCATTCCCTATTGATTCCTGGCCCCAACACTGAGGTCTGTCAACACGACCACTTACAGCAATCATTCCATCAGCTCTATATGGAGCCTAGCCTTGCTTCTCTGAGCAGGCAAAAGAAATTATCTGTTAACAAAAAGCCTTTCTCATCTGTGTCTTTCACATCTTTATAATCACTGAAGATCGCTTATTAGAAATGTTAGTTTGTTCCATGGATGTAAAATGATGGAGACCTAATCACATATTGATTTGTCTATGTTTGATGTTCTCATATCAACCCCTTGGCAGTTCAAATTCGGTGTTGGTGTCAAAATTACTGCTCCTGTGCCATAGCCAGGTTCCATTTCACTCTGCTAGTTGACTGTGACTGCTTCATCCCACTTTCTGCAGTGGGTCTTTTAGCTAATGAGATCTTCAACTCATCTCTGGATTCTTATTCTTGACAATCCCAACAAGACAGTTTTGGAGACCTGTTCTTCTGCAGGTTCTGATCTGAGTATTGTGACTAATGTCTGGGTTCCCTTCTCTAGGGTGTTTTAGTCTTTCCAGCTTCTTTCCCTCAGCAATGCACAGAAGCAAATCCATCACAAAAGCATATTGTGGCATTTCTACACTCTCCGCAGTCCTAGTTTCCAAAGGTAAACAATTCTAAAGGAAATCTGTGAGTCACAGTAAAATAATTATACAAGATAGCATTAGTGGAAAGCCTCTGTCATTAGAAGCATCCATCCATCCATCTGATCTTTATGCAGAAAATTCTATCTTATCACCTCTCCTAAGACGTGTTATGGGAGGAGATCTTTAGCTACCTGTTCAGAAATATGATTGAGAAAAAGGGTGAGTAGTGAAAGGAGGCATATTGCTGGAGAGAACTGTTGAAACAACTTCTACAGGAAGTAGCATAATTATAGAAACCCCATCCCAACAAAAATAAAAGAAGCCTTTCATTTTTGTTTATCAAAGGTAAGAAACAAATGAAAAGACAGAGAGAGGAGTAAGAACTTAAATCCTAGTGGCTCTTATTTGTATGGCTCCCATATCCTCACTTTTAATCTAGTTTACACCTGTCTGCCAGTAGCACAGCTCAAATTATTTTAAAGGATAAGGTGTGCTTTAAAGGATGGCTCTCTGCCCAAAGACCCTGCTGTCTGATTTCATTGAAAGTCTGCTATAAATTTTTACAGGATTTTCATTTTCCTTGAGGCTGAGGCAGCCTGGTCTTTATGTGACTGACAAACTGGAGGCAAGATTGATTTGGGGCAGCGCCTATTACATCCAGACCAAATGATGCTGAGCCATATTCTCTGTAAATCAGGCTCGCAACAGCTCGGGTTCTCAACCCCAAATTTTGGAGCACTTGCTGTGTGTAGCCTTCAGCAACTCCTGTCCAGGAAAGAGCAGCATGTGCCACTCTGGCTTAGCTTTGTGCATGTCCATTGACATGATTGCAAAGACATTTTATTTTGCTTCAGTGGATGGGTTGTGCTTTTAGTGCCTGTCTATCACAAAACTGGCTTTTTTGCTAAACTGAGAGAAATCTGGCAATTTTTTGAATTATGTCTAAAAGTGGGGCAGATTACTGACTTGTAGAAATTGAATGTGTGCTTTTCAGTCAGTGTGACAGATTCTCTCCCAAAGGTAAATCAGTGGTATAATATCCAGGATATTTGCACAGTGTTATATTTCAAATTCTCATCTAGCTGCCTTGTGTCTCTTGCAATACCTTGGTAAAAAGCCCAGCTTTCCATTTTATCAGCCAGAATTTGGGGGGAATTTTGTAATGGCAAATGATTCTTCACCAGACACTGCTACACTGTGTAGTAACTAGCTCATGGAAGTTACTCTCCTGGCCTGGAGTCTGAGTGTGCAGGTTGACAGTGAGGATGGCTCCATAGCCACTTGAGCAGTTGTCATGAAAAGGTAGTTGAATGTTCACCCTGTCCATTTTAGAATGCAGATATTTGGAACTGAAGGTGGTGATTATTCCCCTGGACTAGCCCTTTGGTGGCCAGACTTGGCCTTTTTAGGAGGTTTAATGATAGGATTTATCTGCACAAGTTTTCCTCCAAGCTCTGAGTGTATGTTTGAGTCTTCATTTACTGCTGTCACAATAAATTTTGTGTCCCTATGCCTCTCTCTTTTAATTTCTTTGCTCAAGGATGTTCTAGAAGTCCATGAGTTTAGATGTACGTGGAGGAAACTGGTGATAACTGGGAGGAAAGCTGAAGTCATTGAAAGCAGGTTATGATCACAATTCAGTCCCCCATTTCTTGGGTCAGCCCTTTGCTTGCTGTGGTTTGGATAGAGTTCTGAGAGGTGTGATGGTTCTTTTTAGGACTCCCATTGCCCACTTGTTGGGCACAGGCTGACCTGCCCTTTAATCAAGAGTCTAAGTAGAACTTAGATTGTACAGTCTATTTTGTCCTTAGTGCCAGTCTTCAGATCACAATTCAAGTCATGGCTGGCATGTTTGAGATGGAGTAATGAAGGCTGGAGATTCTCTTAAGAGGATAAGTGAGGAGATGGTAACCAGGAGAGCAAGAATTGTTTGGAGAGAAGACAAATTTGAGCTATTAGCAATATCAATGCTGTATTTGATGCTGCCAAAGCCATTGATGGGCTCAAAATTAATGTAAGAGCACTTTTTTTTTTTAAATTTCATGATAGCTCCAGAGGAAAGTAAAGCAGTCCATTGTGTGGGAAAAAGACCCTTAAAATTCTTCTTTCCTGAATTAATTACTGTCTCATAAGGAGTCAGACCCAGCTCAAGTGTAAGATACCCTTGTTTTGTGGGACCCTGAATAAAAGCCCCAGAACTACAAAGAGTTGTTTTATATTAACATGACAGTTCAGGATATCATATATAATAATAAATGTAGAAATCTGCACATACAGACACACAACTATAAGTGTTTTCTAATTATTGAAATTGAAAATCATCTAGTTATGCATTTATGTTTTTTTCTTTTGTATCCTTTTATTTTGATTTCTGCTAGTAAAGCCAAAGGAATATAGTAGCTAAGCATTCATTTTATGCTGATGAATTTCTTCTTTGTTTTAAAACTCAAGTTAAAAGAAAAGGAATATCAATGAAACCAATAAAATAATTTAGATGTCTGGTGTATCCCTGGAGACAGAGAGAGTGGGGTCAGTGTGATCGTATAAGAGATCTTTAGCTAAAACAAAGTTCAGTGTCTAAGAGCATCAGTGAATTTCTTGTTGCTTAGAAATTGATCCATTTTGTATCTCAGAGGAATTGTATTCATTTGAATTTGTTGATTAGAGAGTGTATTGCATTAGCGAGTTTTACTATTTAGTGAAGAACTGAGCAAGTGCCAGGAGAAAAACCCGAAAGACTTCACTTCAAAATGTATTTTGTTCATCTATTTAATGAAACAAAATCTTTTCCTTGGATTGTTTTCAGTAGAAATGCAACAGAAAATTGGATATTTTATTTAAATGACATCTGATAATGAAGTGATTTGCTATGGTACTGGCTGTCCTGGTAAATTCGGTGGTGGTAACACTGAGCAATGAAATAATAAATGAGGTGGTAAGGCAACTTTTCAAATCAATGTGTTAGGAGGATTGGGGTGTTGAGCAGTACTAACACATGTAATTTAAAATCTTTAAAATTCTGCAGTTCCAATTTTCAAATCATAAGAATGAAGAGTAATGTCTCCATAGTCCCTTGTCCCTAGCAGTAAGGTTTTAAATAGCTATTCTTCATATAAGAAACCAGTGCTGCACATTAACATTAAGCTAACGTGTAAGGAGTAAACTGTATTAATTACTAAGTTAATTTCTCTTGACTGCAAGTTGACAGTAATCAGATGTGGAAAAAAAAAAACCCTGGTGTGGTCCAGTTTAGGATGTGCTGTACAATAATTTGTTATGGGCTGAAGGTACTTCAGATTCTGTCTTGTCAAGCACCATTATTTTTTCTCCCTATCTCTCCTTCCCAACCTCATGCCTGTTAGGAGCACTAGGAAGAGCCCAGGAGCCCAAAGGAGTATAGCCCTCATCACTGGAGGAGCAACACAGGAAATGTGTATAATGCTAACAGCTGAGAGAAACATGCTTCGTATCAGCAGCAGTTAAAACGGATGGGCAGCATCGTTGGAACCATGGGGTGCAGCAGTTCTGTTGCTGACAGAAGGTCAGAGAATGGTGAGTGTTGCCTTTGTCTTCAGGGCAGGTGATTGTTCTCCCTCTAACACCAGTAGAGGATTGAAAGATAATGTTCCTCTTCCCCACAACTCCCGCCCAGTCCTGTTGTCAAAATATTTGTTCAGGGAAAATTATTTTCTAATTATTTTCTTTTTAAAACTGTGCATAGCTTTTACATGCTGGCTGAGGTCAGCAGCTTTAGGCCACCTCTAACACTGACAGATTGGGTTGTAAAAGATTCACAGCATCTGGGACAGAAGCTAAATTTCAGAGGTGTCTGTGCTCGCTCTGTCACTGGCAAAGCTTAGGGGGTAAGGTATTGAGTGGAACCTTTTATGGCTTTTCACACCACAGGATTCCTGGGCAAACCACCCCAATTTCCCTGCTGTTGTGTGACCCCAATTATGAAACAAGTGTAATAAAGCAGGGCTGTTACAATGACTTCAAAATCAGTTTTCTGGCCTACCAAGTGCCTGACCTGACATTCTCCCTGACAATTACTGAGGTTGTCAGCTGAAAGTCTCCACAGGACCTGGTTAAATGTTTAATTAAACTAATGGATCATCACCCTCTTTTTAATCATACTCCACCTATGAACTCAGCAGTCTTTGCACAGGCGGGTGGGTTCCAGAATTCACTCAGACCTTTGTTCAGACCCTCTGTGTTCTCTTTCAAGATTTTTCATTAAAGCACAATTTATTGGTCAGCAGAGAGCCATGTTACATGGTACTGTGCATAGCCTTAAGACATTATTATGCTGAACAGCCGTGGCTGAAAAGGAAGGCTCTTTTTGGCTACCAGGCCAGGATACCAGTCACAGGAAGCTGGTGACTAAGAAACAGGAGCACTTAGTCATGGCTACAGGGATCCCAGCTGACTGGTTTGAGAGCAGCCCTCAGCTTTGTGTATGCCACTGCAAAGCAGCATCTGTGCTGTATCACAGTAGTGAAAGTAGAATGGAATCATCCGGAGTCCCAGACCTACCTGTAACTGAGAGGCAGCTCTTCCTCTTTGGGTTTGCATGCTGTGCCTACATGTGCCTTGCAAGACCTTAGGGATGTGCTACTTGAGAATATTTCTGAGTGTGTAAAAGCTTGAAATGGGCATGAGGAGTTGTACTCTTTCCTGATGAACAACCATCAACACACATTGATGTGGGGCTTAGGATTTTGTGTGCTTCCTGGATTGTGTTTTGTCTTCTGGAGCTGCTGGATGGTTTCCTTTCTGCTCTTCTTCTGTAGTCAAGTGATGCTGAACCATCATTTTATCTGCAGCCTGAGGCTGTACATTTCTCTAATGCATAAATAACATGAATTTAACAGATATTTGTTGGTGTAGAGACCTTCTGCAACTGATAACAATTTCATTTAGAGATGCAGTTTAGCTTAGTGTGAAAATCATGTTCTGGTTCAGTCCTGAGAGTAACAGTGCTGTAATAAGTACAATTAAAAAAAAAAAAAAAGAAAGACAGGAAACATTCTGTTAGATTTGCAACATTAACCACAGTGATTGATATGTATCTGTCTTATGTGATAGCAATGGAACTGTGCCATGTTAAGTGCTCGGGACCATTAAGCAACCCAGGGGGCTTTAATGGGAAGTTTAATGGCTCTGATGCTGGAAATCTGTTTCTGTGCTGGTGATTGTGCTTTGCCCCTTAGGTACTCTTCTAAACAGAAATGTTGGTGACAGCCTTGCTGTAATGTGTCAGACTTTCAGGTCTGAAGTGTTGGGGACTTCCAGAAAGGACAGAAAATAAAAGAGATCTCAGAGTTTATGTAGGGTCAGAAGGATGCTCTTAGTCATATAAGGATCATATTTCCTTCAGGCAGGAGAATTTTTCTAGGATGTATGCAGAGTCTTTCTGGATTTTGCTCTTGTCTAGACTAGAAAATTTTACCATTTTAACTACACTGTATACTCGTTAATGGTAAAGTAAGCAAACAACATGTTGTTATAGCATCTGTAAGCATTTTTATAAAAATATTTCGTTTTTGTTAGACTCTCTTAATAGAATCACTTTCCCATTAATATTTGTCCTTACCTTTTCAGTAAGAAAAAAATAATTCTCACTCAGGTTCCACTCATCCTAGTATAAAACTTTCTGGTATTTGTGATCAGTTACAATAATTGAGTAGTGTAAACTGTTGTCCTTATAGTACAGAGCTTTTCTTTACTGTTTTGCAGTGCAGGGCAGTGCCCACCCCAGGACCTCTTTCTGCCACCAGATATTTCTCTGCTTAATAAATTTTTATCTGAGCAGTTAATGGAACGTGATCTCTTTGTGGCATGAATGAGGCCTGAAGGCAGCAGGCTCTTTCTTCCAGGCTGCAGTCTTGATGATTGTCCTTCAGCAAAGTTTCCAGCAGTTTTCCAGACTGAGACCATAGTAGACACAACTTCTTAAAGTGCTGAGTGGAATACATATTTAGCACGTAGTCAAAAATGGTCTTCTGGCATGTTCCATTGACATTTTGGGGCAAGTGTTCTTTTGGTAACCAATCTAGCTAAAACTATACCTCATTGCCTTTTGGCTTGTCTATTTAAGCAACATATTCTACCCTTCAATACCATTTGTTAACTTTTTATCTTAGGATTTGAATTTTGCTGGCTTGCTGATACAGTTGTGCAGGCAAAAACTTTCTGGTAGAAGAGGCTGCTGCAAATACTGACATTACATTGTTGTTCATGTCACAGCTTGCAAAATCAAAGCTTTTTACTGCAGCTTGATAAAGAAATACACTGTTGATAGGGCAAACTGTTCTTCCTTCACCTTCCCAAAACCCATATAGTGCCCATCAGATGGACATGACTGACTTCTTACCTGGGTACTGTCTTCAAGACAATTAAATGGGGAAGGTTACTAACTACTTAGGCCTGAGCCAGTCAGATAGCTTGGGATCTGTGTTGGAAGACAGAAACAGTAAAGGCATCATGTATTTTTTCAGTCTCACTTTTACTGGGTTTCATCTTATTGTTGACTATGCACAATGGACAGAATTCCTCCTCTGACTGCAAAATTCTGCAAAGGCAGTATGCATACTTTCCTTGTAGATTGCCCTGCATCCATGTGTACTCCAGTGCTTTCTGTTTTGACAGTCATTAGAGCTGCAATCCTCATCCAGAAGTGGTACCGCTTCACCATGGCCCGCCTGGAGATGAGGCGCCGCTACTCTCTCAGCATCTTTCAGTCAATCGAATATGCTGATGAGCAGGATCAGCTGCAGGTTTGTGATCTTCCATTCTTCCTATACAAGCAGTTATGTTATCCCCAGGATTGTGGCTGCACAAACAAGATGCATGTGTGGTGATTCCTTGTACAAAGCTGGGTCTTGATTAATAAAACTGTTTCCCTGCCTGACACATGAATTAAGTTGTGTGCATTCATACACAGACAAAGAGATGAATGTAACTACACAGGCATCAGGACACCATTCTGCCATACAGCATATCTAGGGTATAAGTTCCTGTTAACAGCAGCTCTATTAACCAGGGATTGCAGGTCATTTATGGATCAGTATGGGTGATCTTAACTGTCTGTGAGGCAATATATGTGCAACAGAGATATCAGTGTTTCAGCCCAGTGTCAGTATCAGTGTCAGCCTGGCTTCCTTTAGGGTCAGTATAGGAAATTTGGAACTTACTTTGTGTTCGTCCTAGCATCTGGTCTAAAGTCAGTTCACTGCATTGTAGCAGCTGTCTCTATTGACTATGAAGGAAGTCTAGGCAAATAGTCTGGGTGGTGGGCAAGATGAATTATACCTAGAAACAGTGCTGCTGTTTCAGCAGCACTAAAAAAATAGCCCTGAAACATTTTATGTATTCATGAAGTGTCAGTGGTGAATTCATAGCAAAAAAGGAAAGGGAGCTGTTTTTGTAGTAGGACACAAATTGTGTTATTGTTGCAGGCTGATACTATGGGAATATACAGTAGTGACTTATATCCTCCTAAATGGGAAATTGCAAGTAATAGAGTAAGAAAGATATTAATGTTTGTTCGATCACATAAACTGATCAGTGTGTTCTTTTCTTTTTCATACTCAGCTATCCAACTTTTTTACATTCATGCTGGATCATTGTACTCATCCTGATTCAGGTAACAATAACAATAAAAGTAATGTGAAGATTGTATTTGAAAAACTTGATGTGAGGAAAATTAATTTTCAATATGATATTTACAGCCTATGGCATGTGCTGGGGTTGAGGTTTGATTTCCTAAATACTGTAAAATGAATTTGATCCTCTAAGTGTTGACACTGCTTACTATTTGTGAGTCAGAGCAGTCAGTAAGTCAGAACAGGTGTCTGTTGTCCTTATGAGAATATTCAGAGGTATTCAGAGTGCTTTCTTATGTGTTACTACCCCTCCTACAGAATCCAATTTTCACAGCTTTCAGTTGATATTTTCTTAAACTATAAGATGTGATTGTTCAGAAAGATTGTGTTCAGTTGGTTTAAAGCAGGTATAATCAAAGAGGTTGCTCTTTCTCCCCCACCACCCACCACCTCTGGCAGTTCTGGACCCCGTTTTAATTTAATTTATTCTAGATTTTACTGCAACGTATATCAATATGTGAATGATAAAAAAAGAAGTACATTTAAACTGTTGGAGATAAATCTTTAGAAACCATCTCAATTAAGCTTCAGTTATTCAAGGAATAACCTTTAATTTTTGAAGTATTTTGGGATCCTTGGACATAACTTACTTTTGAGGTCAAGCTCAACAGAAGGACAGACTGAAAGTGATTGCTAAGTCCAGAAAACAAACATGGCTTCTCTGAACAAATTCAGAATAGATCGAATCCCAGCGGAGTTAAAAATGAGGCTGTCCCCCTCTTACTGCATTACAAGAGAATGCCCTTTCTCTTTAATCTGGTCTAGCCACGGGTTATTCCAATTAAAATTTGCACAAGATACTTTGATAGCAGGATAAAACCATCATCAAAACCTTAAGTGGTTCAGTGTTCTAATGACAACCGGTAGAAATTGCAATTTTTCTCTCTTAAATACATTAGAGTGCCTAATGCTCTCTGTGCTCTGCAGAAAAATAAATTACATTTGAGCCTTGCTCCAAAGGCAAGGCAGATGATTCAACAGTCCTCCCTTTGATTTTTTTCCCATTACTGCCATATTCTGTAAAAAAAAAATCTGCTTTAGTCATTTAACTTCCTGGGAAGGAATTGACAAACTTAAAGAAAAACAAATACTGCTCACTTCATCTGCTTCTTCATGCTGATGGTGCACCTCTGTTCAGCTTTTCCACCTGAATGGGAAAGAAAACAGTAGTACTAGGTCTGAGTTATGGCAAAATATTGTTAATCTCTATTTTTATTATAATATTAAAATGGAATCTTACAGCTGCTTGTTGTAGATATGATTTATCCACCTTTATTAACTGCGTATACTGACAGAATGAATAAAGGTGAAGTGTCTCAGATGACTTGCTGGGGCTCAGCACATTGCAGAACACACTGCTGTATGCATAGGATGTTTGTGTGCTGGAGATCCGAGCCTCACCTGTGCACAGGGAGGGAGATGGAAGGTCCTGTGGGCTGCTGCTCATCATCACTGCACAGGTGACCTGTTTTCTGGTCTTGTAGATATTAGGAATTGCAGATGTGGTTGAGGCTGAAACACATGATAAAGCATATATGATTTAAGCTAAAGCATCCCTTTGTCTTGCTGACTTAAAACTTCCATCTTTTAGGACTGACATTGTTAAGATTTGATAACTGCTCCAAAGGCTTTATTTTTGTCTTGGTTTGTTCCCCCTTTCTAACACCATGTGTTACAGATAGCAGAACCCTAAACAAAACAGAAAAATTTTTCTGTATGTTTAATAAAGAGATGGCCAAGGCTGCCTATGCAAAGTAGCTTAGATTTTTTAAATTATTTTTATGAATTGCATATCAAATGTGTACTGCGTGGGTTGTGGTTATTTTTTTCCAACTGCTGGCTGTGTGCATTCTTTGCTTTAAGCTTTTGATTGCTTGCCCCTGGAAGTGACCTTTGCAGCACCCATGCCAGCCCCACTCATGTAAGCAAAATCAGTGCTGAATAGAGGGATTCTAAAAGAACTGCTTCCACTTCTGCTGAATCACCATCTTAAGATGTGAACCAGAGTGAGTGTAAACATAACAACCAGAGAGGCTTCAAATTGCCTTTTCTATTCTCAAGCATTTTCTGAAACCTGCAGTTCTCTGGCTTTTTATCTTTTTCATCAGTGTGTGCTCACTTAAATTAGAGTGATAGCAAATGGTTCAAAAGCTATCTCCAGGAAGACAATATATAATATTCTTACCAAAGAATAGGTTGCCTGTTCTTCTCAGTATGTGATAAGAAAGTTACTTGAAAATATGTGATCTGTGGTTTTCCTTACGTTATAAACTACTCAGCCTCCACCATTAATCTTGTTACTTTCCTCTTTTTAATCTGTTTTTTTCGGATTATGTTTTTCAAAGAAAGAAAGCAGCTGCCATCTCATTAACACAGTAGTGCTTTTGATGTGATTGTTTATCTGTTATACCCTAAAGCTTTTTTCATCCTCTCATTCTCCTTAAGATGTCAGTGTAGTTTGTGATTGGGATATTATACAGCTGAGTGTCTTGTTCTGCTTCTAATTAAAGGCTATTTTGCAAGGGTTTGTGGAAAATAAGAAGAAAACCCTTTTCTAACTTATACTTTACTCCCTCATTTCCTGAAAAAAAATCTTTCTACCTTCTCAGCTTTCAATGGAAAGCTCTCTGATCAGACAAAGCTGGAAACTGCCTTTCCAGCAAAAGATGACCCATTTACTCACTCTTTTATGGGCACATTGAGGGTGAGAAGACTGCAGATGTGTCCTGAGAAAAATAGTGGGACTGGGAATCTAAACCTGTTCCTCTCAAAGTCACCAGGGCACCTCCAGGAGCCTTCCTTCAAAGGGGAACAAAAAAAAAGTGTTGTTTTCTGCAGTTTCACTCCCCGTGATGCCTCCCTTGCAGCTTTAACACCCTTCCAAGATGTTTTACACAGAGTGATTCTTGCAGTGGGGAATAAGTTATAGCTGCTTGCAGTTTGTAGCACCAGGAATAGCGTGAAGGAAGAAATGTTTGAAGCATTTTAGAAATCTCCTTCCTCTTTGTAGGCTCGGTGTCCATTTGGCTTTGACCTGAGGGCTGTGGATCAGTATCTGGCTTATGTAAGAGCACTTCTCAGGAGACAGAGGTACTCTCAGGTGCTCCAATAGTCAGGCTGAAGGCACACAGATGGTGGGAGAACAGAGAAGTGATTTCAGATTTGCAGAAGTATCTGATTCCTGGTTACCCTGATAGTGAGTACATCCTTGGAAATGGCAGCTTTGGCTTGCCTCGAAAAACTCCCATGGCAGGGTGATCTGGTCAGGAGAATCAGGTATTTGGGCTTTCTGTGGCCAAATTGACTCCACTTAGCTCTGGGCATTTGTGTTTAACATGGAATATGGCTGTAGTTGTTTGTGTTTTGTTAATAGTGAAGGCTCAACTCTCTGAGCCTGGCCTAGACCTCTGATGTCAGAGTACAAAGCAGGTCATTGCCTGTTCTCCCTCTAGTCAGTAGAGAGATGCAGATGCTGGTAGAGAATGTTTCATTATGTCTTAACATGTGCACCTGAACCAGGCATGCCAAGACTTTTCATCCCTGTCTTTCAGTATAACTGAAAGAGCCTTGACAGCTTTGACTAGAACAGCAAAATGTGAGGGGTGCTGAGTCCTTCAGAATTAGTCCTACATGGGGCATGTGGTGAGCTGGGGTACTTGCTGGACAGCATGGTGATTCCCCAGGCTGCATTAGGTCATCCTTTACTGACTGTTCAGAGACAGGACTGTCATGCTGTGCAGGAAGAAGCCTTAAAATCCAGCTGAAAGACAGCCTGAGGAGTCATAAGCACACTCTAAGGGTAATGACCATGACTGGCTTTTGACAACTCATCCAGAAGTGGAAAATTGGGTATACTTTGCAGAAATATGCCCTACAGGGAAGGATTGGGTTTCCCAGCCCGAGCATGTGCCAAAAGAGAAGGGAGTCTGTGAGGAAGGCAGGTTCATGTTCAGAGGTAAAGTGAAGGATGGATGGCCTGCTGTGTGCTGGAAGGGGAGGCAAGAGTAGGAGCAGGCATGGGCAGTGTCTGCCTGGCATGAAATGCTGAGAAGATCACTGACTCTGAAGGAGTCAAGTCAGATGAGGACAGCTGGTTAGAACAGGCAAGAAATGAGGCATTTGGGTGGTCTGAGGAGCTGGTTCTGTAGTCCCCCACTTCTTGGGAAGTGGGGTGCAGAGGGAGATACTGTCCAGAGACCTGCTCCTAGAGCTGGAGCAAGAATTGGTGCAAATGTGTTTGGCTGATCACTGTGTGAGAATCAGCAATTTCAGCCCATGGTGACATTCTGGTATCCAGCCAGACAAAGCTGTAACTGTGGTGGAGGACTGCAAATCAAACTGCACTTGGTGAAAATGGTGAACCCTGAGCACCTTGATGTTACTTGATGCCTTAATCCATTTAAATGGCTCAGTATAACATTGCATTAGCACTGAAAGTGCTAATCAGCTCACAGCTGAAGTGCTGATAGTAAAAGGGGACTTTTAAAAATCCAGATTGCCTTTTTATCTATTTCTTTAATATTGATTTTATCCAGTTGCAAGACAAGTTGGCCTTTATGAATCTCATAATTTATAAGGCTGCATGCTGGTTTTGGCCACTGTGAGTTTTGAGTCACAGCTACAGGTCAGCTGTAAATCAGCAATAAATAATACAGCTACACAGCTATAAATAATACATTTTTATTTGCAGTTGCAGGAAATCAGGGTTACAGAAAAACTTAACTGTAGCCCAGTAAAAAGTGTTTACAGCAATCATCTCACAAGAGCAACTCTGCAACAGCATCTGCTTGAACACTTTCATCTAGGGACTGGTTCTTTCTTTTAGAATAGAATATGACGAAGACAATCTGCAAGAAAAAAACCTCTGAAACCTGCTGATCAGTCAGTTACATTTCAAGGTTATGTCAAGAAAAATATTGGATTGAAGCAATTAGCAGCGTTCCTGCTTCCTTTATGTTCCAGGAAAATTAGAAGCTATGGTCTACTTTCTCCACTCTGTTTTTGTTTACTTTGTTTCATCCAATAGTTTTATGGCAGTCAACCAAAAGCTGGCATTGTTTCCTAGCTGTATCAGAAAGGAGTGATTTGCAATCTCCTGTGAATAAATATAATTTTGTTGGTGACTTTTAAAATAATCACTGTGACCTGCTGGTATTTAGCCTAAAAATTTTAAGTATAAAATAAAAGCAATAGAAGGGAATCTTCAAAACCTGTATTAAAAGTGTAATGTTGAACTTTAAACAGATGATGGTCATTAAATGATCAGCCATGACTTCTGCGTCTCCTTGCATCAGGGCGAAGGAGGAGGAAGGTTTGTACCAGGTGATGGTTCTCATTACCTGTGAGCAGACTGCTCCACAACTTCAATGCAAAATGTTTTGCACCCTGACCACAGTTAGTAGCAGTTGGAAAAGAGTTTTTGCTTGTTTTTTAACTTTGGTTTGGTCTTTTTTCCCTTGTTGTGGTTGATTGGTTGGTTGGTTTTAGTACTGTGAAACAATCTGGGGAGACCTGGAGCTCTTCCACTACAGGAGGCAGGAGTCAGCCACTGTAATACTGCAGCAGTTAAAGCTGTTCTGTTCAACCAGTTCTGGCCATGCTGTTACAGCTCTATGGGGGCCTGGTGGAGTTTATACATTTTTGTTTTCCTTCTGTCTTGTTCCAGTTTCTCAAATTTTCACCAGCCCTAGTGCTCCTCAGGTGGTGGATGAAGACTTATGTTTAAAAGAATTTGAAAAGAAGATTGATGTTCCAGACTCCTATTGTGGACCACGACTCTCATTCCCCCTTACTGTTGAAGATGCCAATGCTCTCCTTCATGCTTTCAGGAATGAACAGGTAATTTGCAACTAGCTTGTTTTCTTTTTTTAACTTATTTTACATCTGTGTTCCACAATCCAATGTAAAGCTAAACTGGTGCCCAAAGAGATATTTCACCCTTCTTTTACATCTCATTACTTTTTCCTCTTAGCCCAATGTGATCATAAATGTGCCTGGTAAGCTGTCCTGGGACGTTGATCTGGCTGTAAGCTAACACAATAAAATCAAAAGCAGGCAGTTCTCAGGCAGACCAGTTCCCACATTTGAGTCACTACTTGGCTGCATGACCACGAGGCCTGGCCCTGGGGAGGAGGCAGGGACTAGTGAAATGAAATGGGAATCCTTAGCAGCTGCATGGCAGGGCTTCTCAGTGAGAGTGCAGGACTGGGGAAAGTGTCCTAAGCTAAAATATAAACTAATTATCATCTTTTTATGGGTTAAAAGTGTTCATTGTTTGGTCCTCTGTTTTGTCCCCCACCTCATTCCTTTAGAGGAATTGAGGTGTAAGGGTTAATCACCTCATTGCAGGGTGCAAGACTCCACCATAACAGTGGAGTGACTATAAAGCATTGCTAATGTAGCAGAACAGAGTGATAGCACAAATCTCTGGAGTTCAGGCTGCAGCTTTCAAGGCACTGAGGAGGCTGTTTCCCATTCTCTATATTCCTGAGCAAGCCCTTTTGTTGCCCACAAGATGAAGTTGGAGCAGGGAGGCATTAAACGGGACAGCTTTCTTTGAACTTGTAATGATTTGTGCTTAACAATGTGCTGTATTAAAGGTGCAAGGGTCTATAATGCTTTTTAATTTACTAAATAAAAATATTTTTCTCTAGTCATTTTCTGTGGAGGCTGATTGTAAAAATATCAAATATAAAGCACATGATAAATGAGCCAACCCAGACTTCACCTTACTGTCCACTCTCCCTTCTCTTATTATGGCTGGCATTTTATTAAGGAAATGGTCATATGTAATTGGTCTTTTTGATTGCTTAAAGACATGAATCTTGAAAAGTCATTCTGTAGCTCATCTATCTCCTCTACTAAAATTCCTCAGATCTCTGTTGAAATTAAAAGCTTTAAAAAACACCAACCAACAAAATTTTCATAAAAAACATCAGGAGAGAAGACCAGAAGCTTCAATGTTGCACTGTTATAACTTCTTCACTGTGAACAAGAAGATAACCCTTGCCAAGGCAGCCCTTACTGGAGTTTTCTTGTGATTGTTTTTGCAATTTGCTGAAATATCATTTAGGGCCATTGTATTTTTTTGTTGTTGTTGTCTTGTGTTTTGGAGGAGTTTTCTTGTGATTGTTTTTGCAATTTGCTGAAATATCATTTAGGGCCTTTGGATTTTTTGTTGTTGTCGTCTTGTGTTTTGGAGGTTGTGAGGTTTTGTTTGTTTGTTTGTTTTTTACTTTTGTTGTCTTGTGTTTTGGAGGTTGTGAGGTTTTTTTTGTTTGTTTGTTTTTTACTCGCACCTAGAATAACATCCTTTTCATTTTTTCCCCAGTTACTTTAAACAGGTGGCCTTATGCAGTGATTTTGAGTGCTCTATAAGTCTTATCTCTTCTGAAAAATAGGAAGAATAGAAACAGTACAGTATAAAAAAGTGTGAAAATGTGTAAAACCTCCATATCCACTCACCGGGAAGCAAATGCAAAGCTATGAACACTATTAATTCCAGCACCAGGCCATGCAGCCTGTACTCATGTCTGGAGGTCTGCACTATAAATAACCCTGGCAGTACATGTCTGATATTAATAAAGCAGACAGGCCTATTGCTAATTCAAATAAGTCTTCCTTTTCTACCTGCTTTTTATTCTCACAGCTGCTTCATGCCCGCTATGTACTGCAGCTGCTAAGTGAAACTAGGAGGGTTCTCAAGGAGATGCCAAATATTACCCATCTTTCAACTTCCTACTCCAAGGAGATAACTGTCTGTGGTAAGGTGCCAGAGAAGATAACTGCTTTGGGCTATGGGTTGATATTCTAATTGGTTAGAGAATGATACTGACATTTCCAAATTTTGCCATTAGAAGAAAGTTCTCAATGCCCTAAACAATTATTTCTTTTTATTTATTTTCCCCCACAAATGCATAAATTGGAGCAAACAAGCAAGAAAATACAGTTCCTGAGTCATAAAGTATATTTTAGGAAATTCCCTCACCTCCTCTTTCCTGTTCAACATTTCTGAATGAGTCAGTATTAATTCAGCTAACACTGCAGTGCAGCTTAAATACTCCTGCACTTCCACCTCTAAAATGCCACCAAGTATTTTGATCACTGGCTGTAAGTCTCACCTCTTTCTCCTCTCACTGAGAAAAAATCTTACTCAGTAATGATTTTAATGATTTTAATAATAATTTACTCGGTAATGATTTTAATGAAGGTTTAATACGGGTGGCAAGAAAGACCTTTCATTGACAGCATGACTATCTAGAATAAATTGAAATTATAATAACCCCTCATTTCTAAGGAGACCCAAGAGGATGGATAAGTCTTTATACAACCAACAATTTAGTCTCACAGAATGATGTGTCACACAATAAGGAACTAAGAGCTCTTTGCCCATCTATTTTGTTACACTTTTGTAAATTATGGATAATGGGATGCAGTATCCTGATTTTATACAGAATGCAGTAGCTGCAAAACAGAACAATAATGGTGACATAACTCTTGACATCTATCAGAGTGTGCTGTGTGTAATAGTAAAGTGGTATAAGGGAGGTACTGTGGGACATGCAAAATAAATAATGTTTTAAAAGATGTGATTATGGGCCTATTTTGATTGTCAGGAAAGGGTTTGTTTAAATGAGGTTTTTTATAAACAATAATTTATTGACCAAGCCAACAAGACCCCTTTCCAAACCAAGGAAACACAGATTCATGCTTGTTCACAGCACATAAACATTCCTCTTCATGTTTGTATTGCATTTGCACTATATAAGCAGCATTAAAAGGGACACATCTCCTGTACTGAAACTAAAAGTTTTTGTAACTAGAAGGAGCCTCTGCGGAAGACAAATAACCCATTTTTAAACATAATTGGTCCAAAATGTTGATTTCCTTAAGGTATCACTCTCCATTTCTTATAATTTCAAATTAATAATGCAGATTAAATATATATCTGAAATGTTTGCATCCACTTATGTGATGAATATCTAACATAGCTTGAAAGATCCCTTAGAACAAATTCAGCAGGCTCATATTTAATCAAAGGCACAGAAAATGTATACACATAAAAATGTCACTTCTCTTTTCCTAATTATTGGTGGTAAAAGCATATTATCAAAGATACATTTTGAAACTGTTCTGCAGCTTTGTGGTGGTGAGTCACAGACATGGGAAGGTTGGCTCTGTGAGCATGAAATGCAGTCAGATGCACAGGGGATCTGTGCTGCAGTGATGCTTTGTGCTGGGGTGAAATGCTCCTGCCTGTTCCAAACAAACCTCTCAAAAAGGGCCCATCCATCATTCCTGTGGCCTCAGCACTGAGGCACACAGGCATGGACAGTTCTTGACACTCTCCATCACTTCCTGCTGGTAGTAATCAAAACCTGTGCCTGAAACACGTTCAGTTGTGCAGAATAAAAAGGGCTACTTTGGTAAATTTAAACCCATTAGTATATAAGAGTCTGTTATATTTCCAAATGTCTTTTAGTGGCATTTTCTGGGTTTATATACATAAGAAAAATATAGGGAAAATCTTATTAAGTCCCACTTATTCCAGTTTTATAATTCCAGTTTCTTCCTCTGTGAGAAAATTTTTTTAAAAAGTTTTTGTTTCCTGTAGGAGATTTGCATGGAAACCTGGATGATCTTTTGCTGATATTCTATAAGGTAAGTAGCTACTCTGAGATGTAGCATTTTCACTTTAATTTGTTATTAATTTGTTAATTTGTAATTTTTCTTAATTTGTTATTAAGAACACATATTTATATGTGACAGATTTAGCACCATTAGAACTGCTCATGTGGTGTCCATACACCACACACACAAATCCTGGAACAATTTGGTGTCCTTGTCAGAGCTTTCCCTTCTTTATGTCCTCCTGCTCACTGTGAAGGAGATCAAGGAGATTATTATTTTCCTGAATGTTGAACTGCAGCATGAGCCAAAACATAAGAGGACTCCTTGCAAAGTCTCCAAAGTTCTGCCACTGTTTTAAATTCCATATTGACTTAAGTCTGCTAAAATCAGGAGCTGAGTTCCTGATGTAACACTACACCATGGATAATTTTAACATTCAAGAAAAAATGCAGAAGCTTTCATTTAGGCCTTCCACTGATACCTGCAGGGTTTTTTGTTTGCTTTTGGGTTGGTTTCGAGGTTTTTGTTGTTTGGTTGGGTATTTTTTCTGTTTTGGTTTGGTTTTTTGGGTTAGTTGGTTTTTTATTGTTGTTGGGGTTTTTTTGGGAGGGAGGTGGTTTTGTTTTTATCAGATAACAAGAAAGAGTAGTGTTTAAAACTTTTTAAGCCTTGGAAGCAATCACATGGTCTGCACAAAATAGAAGTACTTTGTGCATCCTTTTAATATCCTTTTTTATCGTGCCAAAAAAGTGTAGCTTTTTACTATGTTTTACTCGTGTGTAAAGCAAATTAAGCTCCAGGCTAGCTTTTCCACAATTGTATGTTTAACTGAAGATGCAGAAAACGTTGTGTATTTAGTTTCACATCCATCTTCAGGATGAATCACCGCCTTTGATTGAGCAGGTACTCTCTTTGATTTGAGCTTTCCGGGGCAGGGGAAAAGGGTTTGTGTGAGATCCTTACACGTCCCTCTGCACTGAATGCAGACTGAAGTGAGCTAAACCAGGTGTTTAAATGATGTCATTCTCCCCCTGATTCCACCTTTGTTATACTTCATCTGAGACTTGTTCAGGGTAAATGTGGCTGTTTTGCCCAAGTGCACACCTGAAGTCTGTTGAAGTATAGTTAAAATATAATCAGACCTTTTTACAGAGTCCTGCTTTTCTTACTAATCAACCATCTTTAGCTGGTCCTTGGCTTGCAGTCTTTTGGTTGTTTAGCTCTCTTATTAAAACTAGAATAAGTATGATGCATATTGGTTTCATACACAGAAGCTGGAATGGGAAATATAACTATTTTGAAGATAAATTCTCAGAAAGAATTATATTTATAACTGCATTCAGCCTGCATTTTATTTTTTTGAGTAAACAGATGCCGATTTTTTCCCCCCTCTAATGGATGCTATAAAGAGAAAAAAATAAGCAACTCTCATCCCGACTTCAGTAAATTCAGAGCCAAAACTCTCATTGACTTCAGACTAGAGATAACACCCAGCTGTTCTCTGTTAAATTTCCAGGGAAGTCCCTTCCATCAAACCAAATAAAATGGGCAAATGTTTTGTCATTTCAAAGTAGTTGAAAATGTAGAGAACATATGATAGAGCTGATTAGTTATTTAGAAGCAAATTAAATCACACTATTTTCTGTCCCTTCTGAGCAGTTTACTCAGATGAGCAGTGAACCCAGTTGGCTTCTGGGATCCATTTTTTTTTTCTCCTTCCTAAACTCTGTTTCAGTTGGAATGAATTTCATCCTCAGGGTTGGTACCTTGGAGTACTACCTTGAACAAGAGGGTGCAATCCTAAGCAATGCCATGGGAGTGATCTCGGTCTGCACAGGGCTGTGCAGAGCTGAAATGGATTCTGGAGGCCTGCATGCAGACCAGGCTTGTCACTTCCACAGTCCACCCCCAGCAAACACACAGAGCTGGCAATCTACAGCATATTGATACAATGCTGCAGATGGTGTAGAATCCTTACACCTGGTTTGGCTGAACCCAAGACTTTTTTTTCCTCAATAACCAGTTTGTAAGGTTCATTCAGACCTAGCATTAATCTTCATTAAATTACAGCGTTTCCTGATATTCCTTGAAACACTTGAATTTTAAATTATGTATTGCTAAGTTAGATTGTTAAAGGGATGCTATAGATAGAAATGGCCTGAAGCAGTAGAAAATGCCAACAACAAACGGAAGTTAATTAATCACTAACCCAGGAGATACAGTAATGATGCCCAGCAGCAAGTTACTAACCATTAGAGGGCCTTGTTTGACTCTCTGACATGTCAGAGGCTGCAACAGCCTTTAATTTAGTTTTGCTCTCTTTGTTGGTTGAAACCACAGAGAAGGAAAGTGCATGAGTGTGGAACAAAACTAAAATGTCACATTTAAGTTGGAAGTCCAAACCAAACTTGTTTAAAACTCAAATTGTGTTTAATCTTTTCCAAAAGAAGGGTGATAGTGTCTGGAGAGTGCTCCAGTAAATGTGTCTTTCCACGAGGACTGCAGTTAGAGTGGTTGTGTGTATACTCACAATCTGCTGGTGGATTCACATGCCTATTGGTTTTAAGGCAAAGCTTTTATTTATTTTTTATTTATCTATTTTTCTAGAAACAGCTGCTGAGTTTCTGCTGTCTGTTCCACTCCTGAAATCCATCCTCTCCTTTTTAAAATCACTTCAACCCACTGCATTAGAAGAGCCTCATCCATTGCCACACCTGTGAGCACAGAGCAAGCACAAGCCTTCTAAGTTAACTTGGAAAGGGCTCAGGACAGGCTGTAGCAAAATCCAAGGAGGCTGAAATTTACAGCAGCCAAGATGGAGAGACCAGGGTTCACTACTGCAACCTAACATGAAAGCACAGAACAGTGATTGGGACAAAAAAATATATTCTCATAAGGATTCAAATTACACACTACATTGAGTCCCTGGCCACTTTATACATCCTGCAATAAACCCACTAAGGCAGAATACCAGTAATGCCATAGGAACACAAGAAAGGCTTGACACTGATACTGTAGATATATTCAAGAAGTGGGATGTCTTGCAATGCTGCCAGAACTTTTAAGAGTGGCTTCGACAGTTATAATGCAATTTTATACATGTTCTCTTGGTATTTCTTGTGCATATCAATTGAGAAAACAGAGGTTTCCCTCTTCTGGCAAATCATAGCTGAAATACTATTTCTGGTACTGATGACTGGAAATGATGAAGCTACATATAGGTGGTGCTATATTTTCTGTAAGCTGTTGGCACCCATTCATGTACTGGCAATTAATCTAATAAAACAAACCATCAGTTCAAAATACTAGTATTTACTAAGTCACCATTTATAATAAAACATTTCTCTGTATCTTCAGAAAAAAAAATAAGGTAAGATATACCTGTATTTAAAACCTCTCAGGTTTGTGAGCTTTCAAGTGTATCTTGGCTCTCATGTGTAAAATTCAAGCAGTACTTTCAGGATTAAAGCAACTGAAATCAAACTCTTCAACTCTTAAGTTCTATTTTAAGATTTTATATCCTCTGGACTATAGTCCTCGGGAGTTTTGGAAGTATACACTGCAAACAATGTAAATATATTAAATCCATTCAAACTTAAATCAGAAGATAATTTTTCATGTATATCTTATCTTCCATTCAAACTGAATGACTCCCTTCTGTTTGCAAGTGCGTAATTTCCTGGCAACAGTTACATTAACAAAAATGTATATTTTACTACAAGGCTGATGTTCCTTTGGTCCCTTTCAATTTAATTTAATAGGCAGAGGAAAGGATTAGAGATGACATTGTAAGAACAGCCAGAGAGGTCCCCTCTTCTCTAATGGCTCAGGTTGTCTGATAGGAAGGTTTTTATTCTAAACAGTGGAGATAAAGAAATGCTGCTTTTTAGATCTCTGTATTATGCAGAATTTTTTTTTCAGAATTTCTAGCAATGGGATCTCATTTAAATGCTATGTCCTCTATTGCAGTAGCATAGCAGCCTCTCTAAATGCCTCCTTTTTTTCTTTCTGCAGAATGGTCTGCCTTCAGAACAAAACCGCTATGTCTTTAATGGTGATTTTGTCGACAGAGGGAAAAATTCTATGGAAATACTTATAATCCTATTTGCATTTCTTCTGATCTATCCCAATGATTTACACTTGAATAGAGGAAACCATGAAGACTACATCATGAACCTGAGGTAGATTTTGGGGGTGGGGCAGGTAATATCTGGCCTATCACTAGAAATATTTGAGCTTTTGAATGCTACTTTAGCCACTGTGACACACTTAAATGAAATAGTGTTTTGTTAAGTAGTCAGGTGGAGCTTTGCCTTTTCAGCATGTGTGCGGGAAAAGAGCATCCTCACTACACACAGACATTTGAATGGCAGTCATGTCCTGTCTTTGAGCTGATCATAGTTCGTTGAAGTCAGAGGGCTTAGTGCAGCTTCCAGAGTATCAAAATTGGGGAAGGATGGATGGAAGGATGATGTTTTAGCTAAAGCACGTATTTAGCGAAATCTGATATTTTAGTTAACTTTGAACTAAGATTTCACTTCTGTAACACAAGGGGCAGGTAAATATCTTACCCTCTCCTCAGAGGAGCTTTATCAGTTGGAGGTGTCAGTGCAGGAAAGCTGACACCCTGTTTTCTAACACAGACATTTGCACTCAGCTGTGCAGTGCAGCCAAGGGAGTGAGCACAGGCAATGGCTCTGGCTGTAGTCAAAGTGTGACTTGGAGACAAAAAGTATCTTAGAGATGTGAGAACTCCTCAGTCCTACTCCCTACAATTCTAAACTGCCCCAGAAAGCCTTTGGGTGACTGACTGGTGGGTAACTTGCTGTACCCCTTAGATCATTTGATGTAGCACACAGAATGTATTACTGTTTTAACACAGACCCAGCACCTGGGTCAGAGGCCCATAGGCAAGTCCTACTAATGATCCACAAAAGAGAATCAGTTTCACGTGATAGTTAATTTTTCAGCACTTAATTGAAAATACCCCAAAAAACAACAAACATAAACCAAGATCAGTTACTTAATCTACAAGGTAGGAAAATTCTTCCCCAAAACAGCAGAAAATATTAGCTAAGTCTGTGATGGTATGGAATGCACAGATGCATTTCTGTCTATCACTCTTTGCTATGCGTTTTGATTAGCAGTGCTGCGCATTGGTAAATTTGAAAGCTGAGTGTTGTGAAAATGCCCCTCTTAGAAAGATATCTTGGTGTTAAAAGAATTGGGTGTCAAAATCCTTGTCCCTTGTGGGGGAAAAGACATGACAGTTGGATGAAGCTCTGAGCAATCTGATCTAGTGGAAGGTGTCCCTGCCCATGTCAGGGGTTTGGAATGAGATGACCTTTAAGGCCCCTTCCAACCCAAACCATTCTATGATATGATTATATGGTATTTAAGAATGTCAGGGGTTTGGAATGAGATGACCTTTAAGGCCCCTTCCAACCCAAACCACTCTATGATATGATTATATGGTATTTAAGACAAAAACTCTCTAAAGATTTTGTGGGAATTTTTGCCCATCATCAGGTTCCTTTGGAATTTCTCTCTGGTGTCTAAAAGGTAGAGCTGGCAAAAAGGCCTCTTAATAAATACTAGGCTGGATTCTGTTCCCAACCTCCATTATGCACAAGAAACCAGTTTAAGTCAAACTTAAAATTCTCAAGTCAGATTGGAGGAAAGCACATTTCAACTGAGGTGAGATGGAATGGCAGATAAAAGAGGGAGCTAGAAAACTCCAGTAAAATAGCATAGCACAGGAAACCATGCAGGAGAGGCATACTAAAAATCAGTTCATGATGCTGTCCTGTTTTCAGATATGGATTCACAAAAGAAGTTTCAAAGAAGTACAAGGTAAGATTCCTCCTTCTTCCCCTATATTTTTTTTGTAGTCTTGCACATGTAAAATAAAACCTGTGTAAACAAGAAAAAGTCAAACCAATTTATTTAGGTGTAGCAGAGCATTACTTTAGTTATGTAGGTGAAATTATTTTGGCCTATCAGTGGAATAACTGACAAAACAATTTTAAGTGCTATTCTCTTATGCCCAGAGATCTATGGGATGAAATAAGTAACATCCATAAGAACACTCAAGAACACAAAAAGAGGTGAACATGAAAGAAAAAACTAAACACTACAGAGAAAATCAAATGGCCCCAAAGTAAATGTTGGAACATGTTTATCAGGGTTGCAGTTCAGGATATCATCTGAACAAAACTGTTCATATAAATTGTGTACAAATTGTAGCAGACACTTCAGCAAAATCTTGAATTTATAAGCAACAGAATCTGCCAGAAATAGGATTTAATGTAAGGGTATATTTTACAGGAACATTGGAAACAGATTTTGTGTCTTCTGCGAGATGTTTTTAGCTGGCTTCCCCTTGCCACTATAATTGATAGCAAAGTTCTTATACTACATGGAGGGATTTCAGACACGACAGATTTGGATTTCCTGAATGCACTTGAGAGAAATAAGGTAAGAGATCATATTCATGTGAGGGCAGTTTTGTTTTCTTTTAAAATTTTTGCAGTACAAATGCTAGGATCAGGTCACTTGCATTAGGAAAGTAAATGGCAGCAGTATAAGGCATATAAGAAAAATTATAGTCCAATTTTTCTTCAAATTCAGGGCTTAGGAAGCAAGGATGCAGTAGGTGTTGAGACCCAGTTGTCTGGCTCTCCACATTACATGGGTCTTTTGACCTTAAAATAGTTAAAGCTCCTTTAGATGCCTCCTCCTGCAGTGATGACCATTAGCCAGAAAGTATGAAAATGACTTGATTATTGGGCATTTCCTTTAAACACTTTAGAAATCAATTTAGCCACTTATTTCCAGCACTGCCTTTTTTCCTGGGGCTGTGCTTCTGCCATCTGTTGTGTGGGGGAAGTTCTCCACCTGTGAGGCGCTCCCTTGGCAGCAGCTGAGCGTTGTACACGTGGGAGAGCCTTTCCAGAAGGATCAAAATTCAAGAACTGGCCTTGATAAAACAGAATCCACTGCTTTTCAGGGATTTAAAAGACAAAAATGTTCATGTTTTTTTCTGAAATGATGAGCAAACACAGACCTTAAAAATGGTGAGGGATTTGTCTCAATTTGAACAACTAAATCAAGATGTCTGCTTGTGATCAGGGTGCTGAGACTCCTCATAGCCAATGGAGATCCAGGGGATCTGGTGGAGATCATTACGTAGGCACACGTCTCCAGTGCTGTTCAGGGAAGTGCCCCGTTGGCTAGGGATGTCCCCTCTGGCCTTAGCCTGCCTCTGAAGAAAGTCTTCTCTGTAGGTCCCCTCCACCAGTCCCCTTTAGGCCGGAGTTGTGTCTTCCCCCCTCACACTAGTTCACAGCCATAGTGGAGCATCTCAGATGGCATAGGAGACCAATGTTTGAGCAACTTAGTGTACCCTGTCATCAATGTCTGTGGAATCTTGAGCTATTTTTGTCATTCTCATATTTTCTAAAGCAGAAATAAATGCTTTGCAGGACAGTCAGTTGTGTCTCTTTTTTAAAGATATGAAAAAGGGCACAAATACTTCTGATCATTGGAGTCTAGGCTCCGTTGGTTGCACCAGTGTGCACTAAAACTGGGTCCTAACCATGAGCTGAGTTCTGCCCATGCTTTCACCAGGGCTCAGCTCTGCATGTTTCTGTGAAATGCAGTGTCTGTGAAATGCAGAGTCTGTGAAATGCAGTGTCTGTGAAATGCAGAATTAACTGGTCAAAGTACCTGCCACAGGAGAGCATTGCTAATGAGACATGTGTGGGCCACAACCCAGGGCAGTGTCACTCAAGGCCAAGTGATGTATTTTAATTGTTACAGCTGGCAGCTGACAGGTTTCAAATACTGGCTAATGCACTGTGTTGTGCATTTGTTTTGAATTAGTAATTTTCTTTGTTAAAGAGTAAAATCTGGGGCGTCTGCTCACTGTGTATGTTTTATTGGTGAGTGGGTTTTGGTTTTTTTTGTGGTTTTTTTTTTGTTTTGTTGGGGTTTTTTTTGGTTTTTTTTTTTGTTGAGTGATGTATTTTAATTGTTACAGCTGGCAGCTGACAGGTTTCAAATACTGGCCAATGCACTGGTGAATAACCCTGTGTTGTGCATTTGTTTTGAATTAGTAATTTTCTTTGTTAAAGAGTAAAATCTAGGGCGTCTGCTCACTGTGTATGTTTTGTTGGTGAGTGGGTTTTGTTTGTTGTTTTGGGGGTTTTTTTTATTTGTTTGTTTTGTTGGGGTTTTTTTGGGTTTTTGTTGTTGTTTTTTGTTTTTGTTTGGTATCTTTTATTTTGCTTTGGTTTTTTTGGGTTAGTTGATTGGTTTGGTTTGGTTTGGGGGGTTTATTTTGGCTTTGTTATAGAAATAAGCTAGTATGAGAGAATTTCAAATGAGAAGACATTCCCTGGAGCAGAATCCATGTTAACGGTCATTCATGGAACCATAGTGCACCACTCCAGAAAATCAAATGCCCATGCATGTTTGTGGAGTTTGATTTAACAGTATAAGGCCTGGTGAAATATTCCATCAGTTTCACTACTGTCTTCCATTTAATTTAGCCAAATTAGTCTAACAGCATGGTACTGTGTCAGAGCAGAAGTGAATGGAGTTTTACCTTATGTGCAATATGAATGTATATTTTGTTTCCAGGGAAGCTGGGCACTGACGTGTCTTCCCTGAGCCCAGGCCCTACTTGCTGTATAGCAAGACCTTAAGGTCTACTGTGTTTGGAATGAGTGTGTGTTTGGATAAGAATATGAAAGCAGCTCTGAAGAAACTGGTTATTGATAGGTATAAAGCAAAATTTCTGCAAGTGCCAAATACCTGCAGCTTCTCCCAAACCTGTGAAATCAGGACATTATGGGAGTTAACATTAGTTGAACTCAAGGAGTTCTCCTGAGTACAGGAAACATGAGCTGATGTGCCTTTCAGCCAAGATCTCTGTATCAACTTTTGTTGTTGTGATGGTAACTTTTTTTTTTTTAGTTGAAATCTTTGATGCGACCACCAAAGTCAGTGAGAAACAGACAGGACCAAGTGAAGAAGAGAATTCCCACGACCAAACCCAGTAAACACATTGCCAACCAGCATGTTGCAGGGAAGACACAACACATCTCCTCATCGGGCTTCACTGAGCCTTCAGGTTCAAATTTGCCTCCAGACCCCGCCCTGAAGGAATGGAAACAAGTAGGTGAAACCAAAGACTCAGTGATACCAAACCCCTCCCGCACAAACTCAGCCGGTGTTCTGTTCCGGCAGTGTGCTCATGAGTCTGAGTGAACTGTCTCTTAATAGGAAAAGAGTCATTCTAAGGAGTATATTAGATACCTATTAATTTTTTTGGATGCTTTTTGTAGACCTGATAATAAAAGCTTGGGGTTTTATACCTTACAAGTAAAATTCACCCAGTATTTTGTTTTCATAGCCGTTAAGAGGAGGAAACTGCTCAGTAGGAAATGGGTTTGCCTGCCCTCGTGTGGTTGGATGTGTTGGTACATAAATGGTTGTTGGTTTAAACAGGTCAGACTGCAATTGTTGGTGAGATAAAGCACCTTTTTTTTGGCTGTGCTTTTGGCAGCTGAATGCTGATATAGCCCAAAAAAAGCCACCCAGCTCCTGAGATACACAGGCAGATTACTCAGAAGTGGAAATTTTTTGTCCTCTGGCTGTTCATTTAATCTTGAATATCAGAGCAAATACAGAGCTTTTGTTATACTGTAATTTAATAAATTGTGACAATTTGGAAAGCTTAATTTCCCTGAAAATCTGACTTCCCAAGATACCTATCTGACCTACAAACTAACATAATGAGCACAAGCAAGACTCCCCTTTCCCCACCAAATCTGACACTCCCCCAGCTAATCAAGCATCCAGTAAGCCATGCTCACACACATGAAGTGGAACCTTGCCCAGAAAAGTTTAAACAAACACATTTTGAGTAATGTTTGCTACTGACTAGAATTAAACCATGATAATTCATAGTCGTGTCTGAACCCTACTAAAATGCTAATATGTAAAATGTTGGTTTGAAACATGAGCTAACTGAAGGCAATAAAGCCAAAGGCAACTCTTGGCATGTTTAGAGCAGGTACTCCCAAGCTTAGATAAAACCACTGACCAATGTGGTTGTCCAGTCTGTGCTGGGAAATAGAAATTGCCTCTCCTACTAACATGTGAAGAAGGCAGTTTTTTTCTCTTTGAATTAGCCCAGGTAATGTTTCTGGTGCACCTGCCCAAGTCTGAAAACCTCATCTGTGAAAGGAGGTACATTGCTGAAATTATATTTCTTCTGAAACAAAAAAGTTAATCTAAAATCTAGATAATGTTTCTTAAAAAGCAGAACAAAAGTCCAAGCCCAAAAGAATATGTTCCTGAAAGGAAGGAAAAACCTCAAGACCTATGTGGTTTTTTTCTCCCTGTACTGTGGGGCTTTTGCTGTGCCCACGACTTTAGACAGCCATACCTTGTTAGTCTTCCCCTACTATCAATCTTCACTTGCTTGAATTTGCTCTTTCTAGATCCTTGACATTCTGTGGAGTGATCCAAGAAGCCAAAATGGCTGCACACCAAACAAGTGTCGAGGAGGAGGCTGTTACTTTGGTCCTGATGTCACTGCCAAGCTGTTTGAGAGATATAATCTGAAGATGCTCATCAGGTCTCATGAATTTAAGCCAGAAGGTTATGAGATCAGTCATGATGGGAAGGTAAGATATTTCCATGTAAAGTAGAATTCTCCTGTGAATTTCACAGGAACATCCACAGTAATTTTTTCTGCAAAATTTATTTTAAAAAGAGAGTCACTTTGTTAAACTGGGTTTTGGGGAACTTTGTCCTAGATAGATGTTATAACAAATTACTGAGTTCTTGAGTAACAAAATTTTTACATCTTTAGGGAGTGAAGACCAATTTATTACTTACATGAAAACAAATGGACATCAACAAAATCCCCAACAAGAGTTGTGTGTAAATACAGTTCAGGACATGTTCTAAGGCTCTAGAAGCCTTTAACTTACTGATTTCTCTTCTGGCCCTTTCTGCTGTCTAACATGCTGTATTGAGAGGCCAACAAGAATCCTGAAAATCAAGTCTCTCTTAGAAAGAGGTTTCTCTTAAACAGCATGTTATATCTCACTGCTCTCTGAAGTCTGACAGGTCAAAAATAAAAGCCCAGAGCTCTGACTCAAAAGGCAAGAGCAATTTGGTGAATCACACAGGCTTATATGTAGACACATAATTTTGTAACCTGGAATTTTTTCTCAGATCAGTTTCAGAAATAAGTGTCAAGAAGAGCTGTTGTGGCCAATCCAGTTTCTCTGTTTCCTGTGTCAGGTTATCACCATATTCTCTGCCTCTAACTATTACGAGGAGGGCAGCAACCGGGGCGCTTACATCAAGCTGAATCCCGAGCTGAGCCCTCGCTTTGTGCAGTACCAGGTCAGCAAGCTCACGCGCAGGCAGAATCTCCGGGAGAGGTAAAGCTGTGTGTTGCATGCAGTGAGCATGGACTCACCTCACAGTGAGTGTACCTGCCACAAATCTAGAGCTTTACTGAATAACTACACAGGCATCATTTTCCTTGATTCTCACTGGTTTTCTATTTTACAATTTAAAAATTAATACAGCAGACAAAACATGTTCTGGGTGCTTAACTTGGTTTTCTGAGAAACACCCAAAGGTAATTAGCTGAGGTAAGAAGTCAGAGCCGACAATTGTCAGGGAGTCATAAATGGCCTGCACCTGTCTGCTTTAGGGCTGCAGTGTTAATGTGGACAAACCCTGTTATGAATTGAGTCTCAAAAGTTTATCATGACAGCTTTGCCATGTCTAGTAGTGTGGTCAGATTACTAAAGGAAAGCAGCTTATAATTACCTGCATGAACTCAATTATCTCATAAACTCAGTTTATTCTTATGGAGCATTGTTGGTTTTGTTTGGTTTGGGGTTTTCCCCTGCTGAATGTTGTGTGTTTTGGGTCATTCTACTTAAACACACTAGACCCTAAACATACTGCATGTTAACGGATATAAGAATTTTATAATGAGTGTTAAAAAGCATAACATGCAAGAGGATTTTAATCCTTTAATAATCTGCTGATTTTTTTCTTCCTAGGGTAGGTACAATTGAATCATCTGCCCTAAAGTCCTTACGAGAGAAGATTTATGCACACAGGTCTGAACTCATCAGTGCTTTTGCACAATACGACGTCAATGGCACAGGTACTCCTTCCTCTGTCCCATTGCCACCATGGGGAAAACAGCTTCCATGTGTGTGGGAGGCAGGGGCGACAAGCCCCACGGAGAGGAGTCCTGCCTGCCTGCCAGTGACAGGCTGAGGGCAGCAGAGGCTGGCTGACCTTGTTTTTCATGACCACAGAGGAGGATAGGCATTGGGAAGGGCTTAGCCCAAACCGTTTGAGGGGATGAAGCTTGAAGTAGGAAAAAGAAAACTGAAAGACATGGGCAAATAAATAAATAATGTTTGCCGTTGGGTAGAGAGTTTGGGCAGGCAAATCTAGTTACAGAACCTCAAAAGTCACCACTACCGTCATGTAAGACTGCCTTCAAAATATGTCAGACAGGGAACTAGGTCTCATGTGGGGGGATGTGGAATGGGTCTCTTTCTGAGTCTGGGAGGTATCTGAGGAAGGTTGCCTGCCTATGCCTCCAGCAGACACACAGCCTGCCTCTGCCTCTAGCAGCCACACACTCACCTCAACTGAAGAAAATCAGTGCTAAGTTAATAGATGAACCTTTTATGTAGAAGGAAGTTGATTTCTGCCACAAATACAACTTTTCCTTGTGGTGGCTTCTCACTTGACTGTATTCTTACAAGGGCACTCAATAACCTGATGTTGTTTCTTTGGCCACTGAACAGCTGTTTCACATATTTCTGTGTGGTTGAGTTTTCAGCCATGTCACTCTAATTGCAGCTGAGCTGAAACCTGAAGTACTCTTCCTGGCATAATTTGGCTTTCTCAAAAGGTGTTAAAACATGCTGAACATAACAGCATCACAACTTTGTGGCTGGAAGGGACCTGTGTAAATGCCTAGTCCAACTCCACTGCTCCTTTGTTATGAGGGGTTTTACCCCAGGGTGCAGAGAGAATCCTTGTGTTTGTAACCCTTTGTGCTGGTGACTGATGTGTGCTGTGTCCCGTGCTTTTAACCATGGCCTGACCCCTTCTGGCAGGCAGGATTTCTGTCAACGACTGGGCTGCAGCGATGGAGTCTGTCCTACAGCTGGAACTGCCCTGGAGGATGCTGCGGTCTCAGTTGGCACAGATGAACCCAGATGGAGAAGTTGACTTCATGTCATGCTTTTATGATTTGAAAATGGGTCAACCTATAAAAGAGGTAAAGAGGAAAACACCTCCTTGCAATTCTTGGAGGAACAACTTTTGGTGCAAATTGAAGCACAAGGCAGTGGTTTGGCCCAACAAGTAGACATCTACAGCTGAACTAGTTGCTGAGCTTCCTTTTATAGTCACTGGAGGAAAATGAGCACTGCTAGGGTACGAATCATCATTCCCTGCTAAGGTAGATGCTGAAAATAGGTTGGATGAATCACATGCTGGAACTGCTTCTTACTTTCTCTTGGCTCTCGAGGGCGTTTAGATAACGGAGCTGAGGAGATGTGACAAATCCTGCCCAGAGCACTCAACCCTTACTCTTTGAAATGAGCTTTTCAAACAAGCTCCAGAGGCAGTTCAGCCCCCTGTGGGAGGAAGTCACATTTATAGATGCACTTTTAGATATTTATAATGGTATCTGAGGTCACTTCTGCAGAGCCCAGTTGTTACCAAATGCTGCACAGTGCTTTGGAAGAGAGGTATCACCATAATTTTCCTAAACAGCAGGATCCATTCACATCTGTACAGTGAGTGCTTTGTATGAGTGCATGGTCTACACCATCTTCTGTAGATTATCCAAGATTATTTCCACAAATAATTACTGAAGGTAGGAGGTGTGAAGGGCTCCTCTCCCCCTTGCCCTGCCACCTGAAAGTGACAGGTTTTATCTGATTATTCCTCAGGGTAAGACACAGAAGTGTCATTCCAGAGAACTCAAGCATAAAGATTTGTTTTTTTCACTATGACAAGCTAAACTGGAAAAATGGAAATTGGATAGTAGATATTCTGTTGGTTAAATTAATTCAAACCAAGATCTGAATAACTTCTTGTATGTGATTTCAAAACCAGGCTCAGCCAGCTTTGGCAGAAACACTGTGCAGATACAGAAAAGATCTGGAGATCATCTTTAACATCATTGACAAAGATCACTCAGGTAAGTCCAGGTAACTTCACTGTGTCAGCTCTAGGGAGCCCATGACAGTTATCTTTTCCCCACTGTGTTTCCTCCTTAAGGCTTCTAAATATAGAGGAACCAGAGGTGAAATAATTTCTCCAGTTTAGTGGAAACTACTTTAAGCAGTCAGGCTGCAATCACATAAGGGACAGTGCATAGAGTCTAACAAGAAAAGATCCTCACATACCCTAGCTCCAGTATTGGCTTCACTTTTTGGGGGCTTTTTCTCCTTTCCACTCTAGTGTTTTTACTGCTTTCTCAATTCCACTGTCAAAAGAATTCAATCATTACCTGAAGTAAAATGTGCTTCAATAATGGAAGCACTAACCCCAGCATGGTAGGCACTTTCTGGCAGTGAAGGAGAGTGCATGTGTGTTTATGCAGGAAGGAGAAACAACACTGCCAAAAGCAACCTATTGTCTGTCTCCTTTAGGTTTGATTTCTCTTGAGGAATTCAGCCAGACATGGAGACTGTTCACTTCTCACCTGGGCATTGATATCCAGGATGACTCCATTGACAAGTTAGTCCTCAGCATAGACTACAACAAAGATGGCCACATTGACTTCAATGAATTTTTAGAGGCATTTCACGTTGTTCACAGACTTGAAAAAAAGGCAACCTCATGAAAAGGCAGAACTTCTTGTGGGTTGTCTTGGAAGCTCAGCTTGCCGTCATTAATCATAAAAGGGTCACAGTGCAAGCCTTTATTTAGCCCTTCCTGGATGATCTGTACCTGCTAATAATGGGATAGAGGAGGTGAAAAACCACACTTACAGTATTACTGTGTCACTGCTACACACTGCCAGGACCTTACAATTCCTACCCTCCTCTCCCCCATCAATCCAATCTCTGAACATTGCCAAGGTCATGCCTACAGCTGTGTAGGGAGGGAGACTTTGGTATGTGCCTGCCAGCAATCCTTAGTGACAGCTGAGAGCATTGATAACCACAAGGGACATATCAGACCCAGCCTGGTGATGGAACAGGCACTAGTGAGGCTGCCTGGGGGGTGTCCATTGCAGGAGAGGAAAACAGCATATGGTTAAAATGGACAGTTCTGCATTTAATCTTACTCTTTGCATGATGCAGAGGAATTAAATTATTCCAGGTCAGTCTCTTATCCTTCTAAATATTACATGCACAGCTTAGAGGATCTTAGTTGAAAGGTGTTTACACTTGCTCTAGATTTCCTCTTGCCTCTAGTTACTTTTCCCTCCATTTGTTGGGATTTGGAGCTATGAAACAATCATAACTGTTTTTGAGATGGAGCCAGGCTCTTCACAGTGGTGCCAAGCAATAGGGCAAGAGGCAAGGGGCAGAAACTGATGCACAGGAAGTTCCACCTGAACATGAGCAAGAACTTCTTTATGCAGTGACTGAGCACTGGAACAGACTGCCCAGAGAGGGTGTGGAGTCTCCCTCACTGGAGATATTCAAGAACCATCTGGATGTAGTCCTGTGCTATGTGTTATGGGATGATCCTCTCTGAGGGAGGTTGGGCCAGATGATTCATCGTGGTCTCTTCCAACATGACCCATTCTGGGATTTGGTGATTCCGTGATAACTCATGACCTTGATGAAGGCTAAATCCACAGCATGTTAATGCAACACATGGTAGATCACAGAATAAAGCTTTAGCTTTCTGGGCAATGCCTAAGGGGGAGTCTCTTTGCCTGTGTTTTGTACCCTGCCCCATTCAACACAGAATACTCTTCCTGAAGATGAACTGGGTTTCTTAAAAATAGAAATGAGTAAGAACACAAGAGTACCAATCTAAATATTCTTGCACATAGTTCAACATAAATTCTTTACCAAGCAAAGGAAACTGAGAAATTCTGAAATTGAGTTTTTAGAAGGCAGCAAGATTGAAGACTCTTGCACTCACTTTCCTGTCTCCTTTCCCTGACTGCAAGTCAATATTCCCATTCCTGTCAGTACCACCCTATCAATTCCCAAGGGGGAGAAGTCAGGAGATCTGGACCTAATTCTCTTCCATCTTACACTCTGAAAGCAACATCAGGTCAGGAGCTTTTTGGTAACTGTATTACCTCATTCAGCCCAGAAAATCCAATGCACATAAAGTGCTTTTTGGGTAGGAAAAAGTTCCAACCTAGTCCCTCTTTAAATTTTAATATCTAAAGATGAAATAAGTAAAGCAGCTCCATTTCATTTAATAGAAGTGTTGAAAGTACAAAAAAAGCATCCAAGTTTATCATCCCAGAATGTAACAGCAGCCCAAGCTTGAGGGTCTGCTGTCTCTCTTGAATCTTATTTTCTACTATTAAATACAGAACACTTTTCCAGAAGTATTTTGTAACTTGACAGATGAACGAACATGCACACACTTATTTCTACTGCCTTGGGGGAGGGGAAAGAAAAATCTTTAATAGTACAAACAAAATTTACAGTGAAACTTTAATGGCATTGCTAATACATAATGTATATTTTTAGCATGCAGTTATTCTGATCTATGCACTGTGATGATCAGTCCCACCTTATTCCAGTGGAGTTGCAAAAAGGCTCCACTTAGACTAGGCAAACACCTCTGTCTGTGGTGGGATCTTGCTTCCCACTGCTGGCTTCCATGCAGTGGGTGTGAAGTGACAAGGTGGAACTGGACACTGCAGCTCTGGAGTCCCCCTTTGCCACCTGCCCCAGTAAAGAGGACAAAGCCAGGATGCACAGTGAGACACAGGAGCTCTGAAGGATGGCTGGCAGCCTCCAGTGTGGATGTCCCCCACTAAGGACACATTCCTGAACCTGGCATGAAGGGGACTGGCCTCGAGGGATCACTTCCTGAGAGGAGATGCCAAGGTACAGTCGCAGCACAGCTTCACTCGGCAGGCACTGAGAGCCTTTGGGGATGCAGGACTGAGGTATGAGAGGAGCTGAATCACTGAGCCAAAGCAGAAAGCCTGTCCTGTCAGCTGCTGGTGGCACAAAGGGCCCCCTGCCCCTGGCAGAAGGGAGGTGGCAGGGGGAGTAACAGTGAAACACCTAACCCTGGGAATAAATGCCACTTGAGACCGAAACAGGGAGTGGGAAAAAGCCCTGCTGCTTGTACTTAAATCCAAACTGTTTGAGCAGAAGCTCTTCTATAACCCACATGCTCAATCCCTTCCATGCAGCAGCTACTTAATATTCCAGATGTGAGTGGTCCTTTAAGCAGCACCTGAATCAGCCTGCAGACGAGTGCCAAGCTCTCACCCTACAGCTACAGCTGCCACCACGGCAGCATCTCTCTCCTGCTTTCTGGGCAACTCTGCTCCTACCTGCCAACCACTCCAAAAGTGCCCAAGGTTAGACTTGGACTAACTCAAGCTCCGACTTCACTCAAGGCCCTGGCTGCTGCCAGAGGGGTGACACATTCCTGCAGTGTCCCATGCCCACACGGGGCACGCCAGGTGTTTCACTACCCCACAGAAAGTGGGGCAGGGCAGGGCAGCCAAGAACTGTGTGGCTCACCTGCACTTTCCAGGAACAAGCAGGACTCTTTCCCTGAGAAAGGAGACTACAATTAGCAGAAAGAAGCCAGACAAACTTTGTACTCCACCCATTCAGTTTTCACAGTTCCCTGTGGGACCAGCAGCTGAGGGAGATCAACGGTGCTTTTGTTTAGTGTGACAAACCCACGTCCCTGTCAGCAGCAAGGACAAACTTTGTACTCCACCCATTCAGTTTTCACAGTTCCCTGTGGGACATCAATGGTGCTTTTGTCTAGTTTGACAAACCCACGTCCCTGTCAGCAGCAAAGGGAAGGCAACAGCGTGAGCAGGGGGGGACACCTGCCTGGGGAGCAGGGTATGAGCTCTGAGCCATACGTGGTATGAGCTGGACACAGATCCAAATTCTGCCAGCTCCTCCCCCAGCCCCGGGGCTGTCTCCAGGCTCACCCAGCTGCCCCCAGCACTGTTGGTGCTCCTGATGCCACAGCTGCAAACTGCTCGGGGCAGCAGGGCCCACCAAGCTGGCACGAGCAGCTCTCGGGTGAATCCTTTTTAGTTCACTAATGCCCATGTTTCTGAGGCACAGGACAGGTCTGTTCACCTTTGCCTTCTTTCCATAAATGAGTTTCCAGGGACTGGGAGCTGGCAGTGTCATCCTCTGCTGGATCTCCAGGGAGGCTGCACAGCCAAGGAGAGCCTCTGCCAGCTAGCCCAGCCCTGCACAAACTGCAGTCATCCTGTATTTTATCTGGGAGCACACCCTGGTCACCCCCAGTGCCAGCTCTGCTTTGCAGCAGCCTCACACACACAGGGACTCCTCAGCAAAGCAGGGGGTCAGTGTAAAACTCTATTTGTGTAACTGGGATTGCACTGCAAGGTCCCTCTCCAGTTACAACTGTTCTTTGCTCTGAGCAGTAACACAGCAGCAAGGCGCAGCTGTGCCTGACCCTGCAAGTAACATAAGTTTGCCTTCCACTGGCCTTGTGTTTGAGTACCACCCTTCACTACCAGATACCCAAACTCTTCAAATTACCACATAAATACTTTCCAACTGCCTGCATTCCACGTGGTAATTCATTGTGATCATCATGAATATACCATAACCTAGGTCATACTGTGAATTTGACAGTAAAGACACCAATGACACTCCCATTTAAAAACAAGGAAGTGTTAAGGGGTGTCCAGGCATGTTAGCCCATACATTTCATTGCTTTAGTCTTCAGAGCAGCTGCATGGAAAACCAACATCAGCCTTCTTGTTTCTGAAAACAAGAAAGTCACACAGTAGATTAAAAAAAAATAAAATTAGAAGTCTAAGTAAAAATTAATTTTGCATCTCTCTCAACCTAGGATAAGAAGAAAAGCAAAAATAACTGCTACTACTTTTTGTATGATACCAGGTAGAAAAAAAACTATCACCTTGCTCTTGTTGTGCTTATACTCTGCACTGTCACATCTGCTTAAACTAGACAAAGGATTTTACTTCCTTTTACTGGGAAACAAGCCAATGAGCTCTCACAATACATATGAAAAGTTAAAAAACCCACACCAAATAATAACAAAGGCAAACCCTTACAAAACAGGCACCACGCCAATAAAATAACTTCCACACCCAAGTGCTAATTGTACCTGAACTGTCACTTTATACTGGCCCCTGCACAGGCCCATGGTTCCCATGGTGGTTAACACAGGGCTCCTGGTCCTTGGACTACTAAACTCCTCTGGTCTCTGAAAAAACATTAAATCACCTCACACTAAGGCCTCCTGCACCTACACTCTCTTGATCCAGTTCCCAGATACTGCTACAGCAGCAGTGACTGTGCAGAGGGACAGCAGGCAGGCTGTCAGGCTTATATAGCTCAGAAAGTTCTTATTTTTACATGCCTGTCTGCTCTTTTCACTTCTACCTGGCAAGACAGAATTGCTCTGATCCTTTCTGCTCACATGGCAGCAGTGCTACTGAGGGAGCCTGTCTGTGGCCATGGGATGCTGCAGCTACTGCCACTTTCCTAAGCTGTTAGCCAGATGCTGACATGTGGCTGGTGGCAAAGCCAGCAGCACAGGCACAAGGAAAACCACAGCCAGTGCCTGGGGTAAGGCAGGGTTTCCCTCTCCAGAGGCTACCAAACTGTTTTCAGTTTAAATGGCCATGGAGGAATTTCCATGCAGATGCACCTACTCCCTGCAGCTCCTCAGAGCTTCCAACTGCCAGCATTAACCTGGGAACTGTCTGCAGAGAGACTTCCAGGCAGCCCAACCCCTAATTACATGAGACCAGTGTGACCTCAAACTAAAAAGAAGAAAAAATGGCAAAGGAAATAAAAAGAAAAGGAAAAAAAAAACATCAAAGCCTTCCATAAACTCATGCTACAGTGGAAAAGCCACAATTATGCCATTCTTAACTCTGAGGCTGTTTGCAAGGGAAATGATCAGGAGACTTGGAAAGGGTGCCCAAGTGGATGAGGTTTATCTTCCTCCATTCAGAGGAAAGGATTACAGGCATAAAACTGTCTGTCACACTGGAGAAGCTGGAGTCTTGAGATTTTGCCTCCAAAGTCCTGGGGATGCAGGGAAGGGAGCTATTCAGATTAAAGACAGATGCAGCTTCCTGACAGAGGCTATCCTCCCAAATTAGTGGATATTGTAGGATGTTTGTCCCTACTGGCATTAGCCCTGCACTGACTAGGTGCAAATGAGAAGAGAATCAGGATAAAAGTGTATTAGAAATATCACCACGTTATTTCAAGTTATTCTTACTCCACTAATTTACATTTCCCTGGATGTTTCACACTGTGCATTAGTGATTCACAACAATGTACATTTACACACAGCTGGAGAAAAATTAATGAATTCCATCACTTCCCTTATTTGTGAGACTCTATGCCTGAGATGCAGCTCCCTTGTTTTATTATGCCTTTTGATCTCCACAGAGTAATCTGTTTTCCTCTTGGCAGAACTGTATAATTCTTGCTAATTTAATACGAATTACATTTATGCACTTTGGGCAGAATAAGCCTCATTATTTGTTATTTCTCACACTCTCTCCTAAAACCAGGCCAAATTCCAGCTCCCTGTGCCCAGCAGTAGGTGTGCACAGAGCATCCCCAGCAGTGCCAAATGCTGAGTGAGTGCATGGCACACACACAGACAGCAGCCAAGGGGTTTGTGACAGGGAACTGGGGAGGAAGAGCCTCTGAGCCTTTCCTCCCATGTGAGGCATCACTTACTGCATTGCACAGCCTGTGCTGGGCAGGAAATCATGTAAATAAATAATTATGGCTTTTGTTAGGTAAGTCATGGTGCCATAGGCTCCGCTGGGAGCACTGTCATAAAAAAAGTGGCAAATTCCTGTGGCTGTGTCTTTCTCCAAGATACTACCAGTAGCTCCAAATGATTTCTGTAAAGACACAAGCAAAAAAGTAGAGCAAGTTAGGCATTCATGCTTATTTATTGGAAAAAACCCCACCACATTACGATTTTTTATTTGTGCTGAATCCTGAAAGCAATTCTCTTTCCCCTCATGAAAACCTTAATCAGGATTACAATAGGGCCCACATGACTTAGCTGGATCAGTGCAAGTAAATGAAAAACATATAACTTCATGGGTTTTTGTCTTTTGGGGGGAATGGGTAGGATTACTCAAACATTGGTAATAGTAATGCCTTGATAAAGCAGAACTTCACTTTAATCTACCCTTGTACTTCAGAGCTTGTTAGCCACTACGATTTTATTCCCTTTAAATCTCCCACGATTCTTACATTAGTTTTCCCAAATATATTTCCAGAAGATACTTAAGTGATTTGGTCTGCCTTTGTAGGAGAAAGAGCCAGGACAAAACCAAGTTCATCACACACATTAAAAAAACAGCAGGGGATAATTTTGAAAGGAGGAGGCTTCCCCCCACTGCCCTTTGAGCTTACCAGCTCCTGCAGAAACAGGTCATTGGCCATGTGCACGATTCTGTCCACGTGGATGATGCCCCCGATGCTGTTCACCTCGATGTCCGAGAGGAACGTCAGGACAAGAATAGCTTCCACCAGGAGCTGCCTGTACTCGGGCTGGGGGACGTGGTTCAGCACCGACTCCACGTGCACTGCAAACTTGATTTCGCACGGGGTCATCTGGCAAGTTGGAGTGGAAATGGAAAGACAAACTGACAAATCCAAAAGACTAGCTCCTCACATCCTGCAAGCACTGAAACATATGCTCCTCTCCGCGCACGGGGGCAGACTGACTGAAGCGAACAAAATGTTTGTGCAGCTTTAGCACTTACAGAAAGTTTTCGTGTTGCTAGACCTGATTCTGCAAACAGTTACACAACGTCCAGAAGCCTGCTCCAGCCCTGCACCCTCACACACGCATCTCACTTACATTCAGTGCTGCTGGTGCTTAGCTGGCACATTAACTCTTTGCTCCTCAGGCTCTGGTCACACACACTCTGCCTTGTACATATCTTTCTGGCATTGCAGGTGAGTCGCAAAGCCAAACTTAGTGCTGAGTTTTAAAAACAACCACCTGCTTAGAGGAGTGATTTTTAAATAATCCCTGAGCTTTGCCATGCAGAATATCACAATTCTGTTTGCAGAGCGGCTTAATTTGCACTGGCATAGCTCTGTGGATGTTATGCTGCCTTAGGAAGTTTGTGCTTATTTTATTCAATTGCTTTAAACAGCAAAATTAGATACTGTCCAGGTCTGACAGGCTAAAAATAGAAGTCTCTTTATCTACACAATAGAGATAAATAAAGCTCCCCTTTCTGGGAAAAAAAGCCACAAACCCCACCATTTAAATTTGGCAGAAAATTCAAGCTCCTCTCTTCAGCTGTTACCACAGTTCCTCAGAAAAGAAGGAAGCCAGAGACAAATGTGAGAGAAACACTCAGGAGAACAGTCTTGGGCCCACAAGCACCACTCTTGCTCTGATGGATTCCTATTCACGAGAGTTTGTTTTATAGATGTGAATTCAAAATTTGCCAGTGCACCTGAATACAAAATCAGCTAAGAAAAAAATGCGAGAAAATATGGATTTAAAGAGCCAAAGCTTTGGTTAGAAACAGTCATCCTTAAGTGGTATTTACTTCTGAGACTGTGAAGCCAAAACACACTGCCTGCTGTTGCAGCATGTAAAAAAATAAGTGGTAAGTAACATGTCCTCTTTATTCCAGCAAGTCTGTGCTGCTTCACCTTCCCCACAAAGGGCTGCTGTCAGCCACCCTCTCTGGAGCCTCCAGTGGGCACAGGGGGACAGTCAGGGTGTGCAGAAGGCAGCAAAGGGAAAACCTGTCACAAACCTCTTCCCAGGCCTGCCTGGCAGGACTTTACCTGCACAGACCCAGAGAAGCTGACAGAGGTGCTGGGGGGAGGCCCAGATGTTCTAAAAGTAAAACCAAGGATCTGTAACAGAGGCCCTGCTGCATCTTACACTGTCAAACCAAATATTCAGGTATGTGACTAGAAAATCATGGGCATTTTACTGTACCTCTCTGGTGGTTGAAGAAGGAAGGACATACCCATCAATGGACAGACCATGGCACTGAAACATTTCAAGAGTGAACAGAAATTACAGTTCTTGCAAGTCAATCTAAGGGTTCTCCGTTCTAAGCTATCATGTAACAACTTTCAGTTAGGGAAAAAAAAGCAAAGCAAAAACCCCAAACGACACAAAAAGCCCTGTTCAAAAATATTATTTTATCCTTCCTGAAGAAGTTATTATGTAACTGCAAAGATTAGAAATAGCCTGACATGACACACCAGAGCATGCTGTGCTCCAGCCCAGCTAACGAAGCAAAGCACTTCAGGAGCCACTACAGCAAAGGCACACAAAGGAGGGAACAAATCAATGGGAGCATTCTGCTGGAAGGGATCTGGAAATAAAAGATAACACAGAAGCAAGACAACAGACCACAAAAGCAAGAATCTTTTTTCATTTTCACTAGAACAACATTTAGTTATGGGTTTCAGATCCAGGACACCACACCTCAGGATGTCAACCACTGGGGGAGAGAAATAACAATTGGTATAAAGGAAACAATGACAAAACCTAAATGGTGAAAAAAGACAGGTTAAGGAAGAACACATCTGGGTATGTAAGGTGTAGAATAGAAACACACCAAGAAGAGGAGACAGATTTTTATGAATAGTCCAAAAAGATTTTAAGAATGAAATATTGAAGATAAGCAGAATTCATTTTAACAGCCAGAAAAAACATACAATTATTTCCAGCTATTACATTAGGTCAGAAGTGATGCTTACTCTGCTGGAAGATCCTATTAGTAAATAGCCAAGAGGTCATATATGATTTGTCTTGGCTGACATCAATACTAACAGCTTCAGTGTAAGGGATTTTAGAAGGACAAACCAGCCTAAACTGGTGATGCACTCCTTTCCCAACTAAGCAAGCATGAACTGCTGCAAGGTGCCAAAAGCTGGCCTGTATCCAGCAAAGCAGAAAAAACAGGTGCATAATCACTTTAAAATAAGTTAAAATTTGTAATTTCCCTCTCCTCCTTCCTGGAGAGTTGCATTTTTTTTTTTTTTTTTACATTTCTATACCACAGATATCCATGGTGCTGGCAAGGACTTTCTTTTCACTTAAAACCAACCAACCAACCAAAAAAGGGTAAGAATGCCATACACCTCAAAAGAGCCAGCAAGAGGTCTCAATATATTCTGGAAGAGTTAGAGCAGTTTCCTACTTCATTTCTCACAGCCTTTCTGACCTGGAGCACAGAACTGCACTGCACTGCAGTGCCCTTTAGGTGTGCTGACAATGTGCATTAGGCCAGGGGATGCACAACAGGCAGTGGTGGAACAGAGTCATTCAGCTAAAATTCAGCATTGGTGGTTTCAGAGAAAGCCACACTCTCAAAGAAGCTTGAAACATGAAACACATGAACCTGAGTTAATGGAGCCCTTTCAAGTTCAAGAGACACCCTTCTACCAGCCACTCTGGTTTCCACCTGTCAACCAACTTCCACTCCTGGCAAGATGTCACCCCTGGACCACCACATTCCCGAGTTACAGCTTGCTTGCTTTCTCCACAGCATTCAGCTTACCTTCTGCAGGATTTTCCACACTTTCTCATAAAAGCCAACAGGAACTCTGTTAATAGCACCATCCAGCCTCCTCCTGCGCAGCCACTGCCCTTTTCTGTCACCCCAGCTCATGTCTCCGCTGGAGCCAGTGGGAGAAGCACTGGTGGGAGAGGATGGAGTACTGCTCCTCTGTAAGGACATCAAAGCTTTGGTCAGTTGCTTTCTACCATCCCAAGTGCCACTCCTGGCCAATGCATTTCTGTTATAATGCTGCCTCAGAACCAGGGAAAAAATACAGGCCTTGGTGTCACACAGGATGATGGGGTGGGACTGATCCTTCATCCCCATCTCTCCCCTTTGCAACAAGCTTCATTTCTCAAGTGCTTCCATCATTTCTCAACAAAACATGCAAGCACTTCAACGTGGCATAGCCCAGTCAGCTTCACTGCTTGGTTTAATGCAACATCTGACTATTTTAACAAGCATGAGCTGCTTCCAGGGCAGTGTCACTGGTGTGCAAAGTGGGGGGAACTGCAGGTAGCTCCCATTCACTTGGACACGGGGCTCGGTGTTGTAAAAGTATCAAAGAACTCTTAAGTCCAGCAAGAGAGGTCCTCATGCAAAAGCTCCGTTAAATTAAGTAGATTAAAAATTGACTTAATGAAGCCACAAAATCATCATGCCTGCCTCTCTGTAAGTATTAGTCTTGTTTCCTCTATTACCCTTGTTGCTCTATTATTTTACTCTACCAGGTCTGAACACTAAGTTAGGCAGCAAACAATTTTCAAAGTTGGGGCAATACCACCAAATTGCTGTTGTGGTTTTCACACACACAGTCTGCCCATTCCTTGCACTCCCAGAGACTGTACTCTTCTGTGTTCTCTTTCCTTTTTTGATACCTGTTACTTTCAGCCCAGAAAGGACTTCACTGAAAGTGTAATCTCAAATCCCCTTATCTCCAAATAAGAAGCTACCTGAGCAGTGTCATCGGGAAGGAGGAAAATGACAGCAAACTGCATGTTTGGAAGGCGCAGGCTCGTAGACTCTACATAGCCAAGCTCTGCAAGGAAGTCCCCAGCAAACTGTCCATTTCCACTGCTACTTGTGTCCATGAGGCACATGTGGTGTTCCTTTGATGTTCCAATGTTTGCTGTTCCTTTGCTCTGCAAACTGACCATGACAGACAGAACTTCCTGCTCTGTAGCTGTGTTTTTAGGGCATTTGGGAGGTGTGCCACTGACAGTAAGCCTGAACATGCAGACAGTGAGAGCTTAAGAAGAGCTACAGTTCTCTGCCTTGAAAGATGACTTCTTGAAGAGATACCCATGCAACCCCTATCTCAGCAACTTGAAGTTATTCTGGACCCTCCACCGTCCAGAGGCTGTCAGCATTTATCAACACTACATTACTTTTACATGCTGAAGACACCTGTAACAATCCACTACCACCAAGTACTAAATCTGCTATAGTACTCTATCTGCTACAACTGCTTAAGCTTCAGAAGAACTACGTGGATCTAAATGTGAGACTCAACTTCTATTAGAACATTACTAATAAGAATTGGTTCCCAATGGAGACATGACAAAGAGGTAGGGATTGAAAACAAGGTTTTAGACAGGAGAAGACAAGAGGAGGTATCTAGAACCAAGACCCTTGCATACAAACACACACAGGGTGAAGAGCAGGTGCAGAACTATAGATGGTGTTTTACCGTGGAAGCAAACATGCTGCTGGACATGGAGTGCCCCTCATGAAAGAACTACAAAACAAAACCAGACACCAATGTCAGACAGCCAGAAGAACAGAACACAGACAAGGTTAGTTAACACACAGGTGCAAAGACAAGAAATATGGAATAACCTTGGGTACCCAGGGAAAAGCTACAGCAACCCCTGGCCTGCCTGAAGTGCAGTGTTGCATTTCAGCTGATACCAGGGCAGCTGCTGCTGATTCCCAGGGTCACCACGAGGCAGAGCCTGCCATGCCAGGACCCTGTTTGGCAGCCCATGCCATCCATGGAGCTCCCAGCGTGGCCAGCACAAACCACCAGTTTAAGATGGAACCAAAAGCTTCCCTGTGGCTTGGGGATGAGATAAAAACTGAACTCCCTACTTCTATTCCCCATTTGTTGCAATGCCACCAGCTTCTCTTTGCAGGAGAAAGTCATCTTGCTGGAGAGACAGCAGGCTGCCAAATGGATGGGCAGCAGTAAACAAAAAGCTGCAAGGCAAATTTTTTGCTGAAATGTGGATGTATCACCTCAGACTTCAAGCACTTTCCTCTAATTGCCCACCCCAAGCCATTCCTTCACATTCAGTGTTAATGGTTCTGACTGAAGAAAGAACAGCCACAAAAGAGGGAGCTGCAGTTGCTCAACACTCCAGAGATGTTAGTACAAGTACTTGAAATATTCCTTGTAACAACAAAGTGTATTCTGCACCACCCCACCCAGCCCCCTGCCAAAGTGACACTACATTAGCTGCTGGTCAATTATTCAGACAATGCAGTGAGATGTGGCAGGAAGCAGCAGGAAAGGCAAAGTGGGGGGGTACAAAAATAAACCCAGCCAACTCCTCCTCTGTGCAAAACACCAAGTTTCTGTGGAATGTGAGAGCAACAAAGGAACTATGTTCCTAATGTCAAGAGAGGTCCAAGTATTCCAGCTCAGGCCCACCTCTGTATTTCAAACAAAATAATGCTGCCATCTAGTGCCTTGTCCCTCCTCCTTCCTGGAAAGGCCCTGAATTCAGACAGCCCTGTTTGACTGGGAGCCCTGTTCAGACTAACCTCCAAGGCCACCTCAGGGCCAGTGCAGCACAGTCAGCAGCACCTTCACAGCCTCCCCCACATCCATGATGATGCTGCAGCAGTGGCACAGCTCAAACACAGCACCCAGGTCTCACAAGAGACATCATCTGTTCCAGAGGGGTCTCTGCTTCCCTGCCTGACCACGTCCCATGAAGAATCCTTAACTGATCTTTACTGCCACCAGCAAATGCTTCAAGTTAAGACCATATAAAAATGCCACTCCTTTCTGAAGGCTTATTGAATCCGTTTCATCAATCAAAGGAAAGCATCAAATATTTCCTCAGATGAGGCTGCTCAAAGCCCCATCCAATCTGACCTTATACATTTCCAGGGACAGGACATCCACAACTTCATCGGGCATCCACTGCCTCTCCCCGTTCACTGTAAAAAAGTGTCCTTGAATCTAATCTAAACCCACCCTTTCCATTTCAAACTGTTGCCCCTTATCCTGTCACTACAGGCCTTGGCAAAAAGCATCTCTTCATCTTTCCTTTAAGCCTCCTTTATACATTGCAAGGCTGCAGTAAGGTCTCTTGGAGCCTTCTCTCTCTAGTCTAAATAACCCATGAGGAAAAATAAAACCATTCTTTAAAATGTATTTTATTTGACCACTACCTTCCTACTTATTTAAAGCAAAAGAAAATTACTAATAGAGAGACAAAATAGAGAAATCAAATCACTTATAATAAAACCATCAGTCACATTCATTCAGAGTATTTTGGTTGTGTTTTCTGTGATCTCTCCATATACTCAGTTGAAGTATAATTTAAACTATTTGACTTGAATATATATGTATAAATTCTAGCAGTAATCCTGAAGAAACAGAACTGGAAGAAAACAAAACAAGATTCCTTTCCCACATGGATCTTTTCCAAAAGGCATGTGATCCAGTTTTGCATCTTGGGCCAAGTACAAGAAGGAACTCTGCATAAAAGCTTCTCTTTGTACATCTGACTTTCCCTTAGCTAAACATGATAGAAGAGCTGCCTTTACTGTGGACACCATGAATGCATTACAGTTTGCTCAAGTTCTTCTACATTCAGCATATATGAAATAAGAACAAGAGGAAGAACATTTTTGGAGGAAACATCCCTTCACCGCCTTCTATTTAGTGATCAGTTTTAAATCAAAGCAAATTTGGAGATTTCTATTATTTAGCAAGAATAAAACCTAACGTACCACAGTTCCAGAACAGCTGTACTTTCTGATGAGCATTGATAGAAAACCCTCACCTGCTTCATCTCACTCTTCAATTTAGTAATACCACTTCTTTCTGTTTTGGTTGCTCCAGAATGCCCCATCTCATGAATAGAAATTGCAGGGCTGGATGAAGAAGAATCCACAGGTCGCACTAAAGAAGCAAATGGACATTTTTAACATTCTAAGGGTAGAAAAATAGATTAAATTCTATCTAAGAAGTTAAACACAAATAATTTCAAAAATGGGCAATTCTCTTGGTGACAGCATCCTTTCACAGAATCACATCAAGAGTTCAAATCTGATTGTATCAAGTAAGGGACCTAAATGCATTCTTGAATATAGAAACTGATTTTTCAAGACAGTGAGCAATTGTAAATGTAGTCAGAATTGCAATGAGTCTCTGAGGGTCTAAACAAGAGCCCAGGAGACAGCTGATGTGCCAGTCAGGAATATGTGGGCATCAAAAACATGCTTCTTAAAGGCAGGTTAGATATGACCTTTGAATGGCTTTTGTTCTAGTTCCATAAAATTTCTCCATTTTAGAAGTTTGCCTTCCTATTACTGAAAATTTGATACAATCTTATTTCAGTGCAGGATAGCTTCCACCATATGTGTTTTGTTTATTTCACAGCAGACATACACAGCTACTGGTCACCCATGATTAATACATACTATACATTTATTTTGCCTGCAGAAAGAATAAATCCTCACTTGTAAGACAATCTAACTTAGCATATAAAAATGAAAACTTACAGCTTCTTTCCACTCCAAACTCTTTCCCACTGAGAATATGATGTAGAAGACTTTTCATATCAAAGGGGCTTAGATTCATCAAGCTCTCTGAAGCTTCTTCACCTAGTTAAACAAAACAAAACAGAATACAAATCTCACTGGGAAGATAATCAACTATAAAGCTGGCTAAGGAAACTGTGAATGAAGTCCAATCACATTTAACTCTTTGGCTATCTCTTCCTTTAAAAAAATTAATATGTAGTCACATTTCATAGAAAATATATTTCAGGACTAAACCACAAACACTCCAGAGAAATAACATTATTTGCATTAATCTTTATTATGTCCTAGCTTGTGCAAAATTTCCTGAAGCTCATGATGAGAAAGCAGTTGGTTCGTTACAGAACAAGATCACTTGGAAAGGTATGACAGCCATCTCCCAACAGCAGATGACCATGCACCTAAGTTCCAGAGGCAGAGTTATTCCATAAAGAATACCCTCTGATATTCTTTGAATAAATGGGTGCTGGGGGGACAGAAATCTTTCATTAAGTAAAAAAAAAAAAGTGATTTTCAAGGTTTGTAACTGCACATATTAACTAAGAGATTAATAAAAGAATTCAACACACATAAATTAAAAAAGATCAACCACAAAGGGTAAAGAAAAATGATTCCATAAGTACCCTTACAATGAAACTGCTTCCTACCTGAGCATTTCAGACTTCGTGCCAGCTCAGTGGCCATCACCTGGATTATCAGACCGATGCGGAGCCGGAGCATCTCCACAAAAAGACTGGGCTGTGAGCGGACATACATCGCCAAGTACATGATTATCTCCTGCAAGGACAGATCCATAAAGGCACCCGTCAGAGAGGGTCTTCATGGCTTTCCCTGTCTCAGAGCAAGCACTGGCACAGCACTGGCACAGCCCAAGAAGCCTTTCTGCACAGGCTGCATACCTGTGTCAGGACTGCAATACTGATGTCTTGGCCACTGGCTTCGTAAATGAGATCTGTGAGCTCCTCGGGTGGCAGTGGGCTGCAAGAAGTCAAACCACAGGTAGCAGGGACTCAGCACAACCAGCTGTTAATTTCTTGAGCAAGCACTGGGATCAAATCACCCAGAACAAAGGCGCCTACAATTCTACCTGGGTGGCTGCAAATCCCTTTGAGGGCAAGGAGTAAGGTTTAAAGATGATAATAGCAGCAGAATGGTGCCAGCAGGAAGATGAAGGGCAGCCTGTGCCCGAGGCAGAGCTCCAACTTACGTGGTAATGATTTTCTCACGGGGTTCTGGTGGCAGGCCCACTGTAAGTTGCTTGTGGTGTGACAGAAGGTCTGTGCATGCCTGTCGTAAGGGGACAAAAAGCAAGAGACCTTTCACTGTGTCATGTGGAAGTGATATGGCTTTTAATTCACCAAATCAAATTAATTCTATTTATTTCGCAATATTTAAATGCATTTCTATTAATTACCAGACACATAAATCTAGCAGAATACTGTTAAATAGTTGCCAAAGATCTCCTGAGGTCAACAGGGCTACGAGAGTTTCAAAGTAGCCTGTTTCCCTGCTCAGTGAAATCAGCAGCATAATTATTAGATTAGGAACTCCAATGGGGCTGGCAGATCAATAAAGGCTTTCATCCTTTATCATATGATAAAGTTTTGTTCTTTATTTAAGACCATCATATTTTTAATCAATGAAAAGTTTGGCAGCATTAATGAAAAAAAATTCCTGTGCACTAACGTATCTCCTAAAACAAACACCCAGCATACTGCATCACATACCTGACACAGTCTGAAATAGGTACCTTCCCCAGTACCACAGTGTTTACTCTTTCATATTGACCTCCTTTAAAAGTCCATGTTCAGTTTACCTGTTTTAGTATCCTGAATCAAAAAACATCACAGAGCAATGTTCCTCTGATTTTGAAGAGTCTATTCTAACTCCCTTAACATGGAAGAAAACAGATAATCTCTGGTCCCCCTCTCCAATTCTTTGTCAATACCTTCTCAAGTTAACATCCATGGCTTTTTGTGAGCACATATGTACTGCTCATCCTTGTCTTGAGAAGGCAAAAAGTTCTGTCCTTAATGAAGTACCATGCACAGTGATTATCACAAACTGCTCCCCATAGACAGCACTGTCACTAAAATAAGGCATCCTAGATGTGACACAGAGCCTTGAAAATGGCCAGGAATTACAGAAAGAGCTTCTCAGAAATATGCAGGGGATTACCAGAAAAATTAAACAAATATTTTCAGAATACTTGAGAAGAAACCTTTCTGTAATGATCAAAATAATGTCTGTACTCTTAACAGTGGATTTTTCTTGTTACCACTTAATAGTCATGGATATTTAAATGGTTCCAAACATCCATTCACAAGGCAGACTGTCGACCCAAGGGGATGGAAATGGGCAGAACATGTTTTTGTGTCATCACTAGCACCCTGACACAGCAGTGCTCCTTACCATCACAACAGCAATAGACAATTACCAGTGACAACTGCAGCTTTCAAAGCACACAATTAAGCTTCTCCAATTAACAGAGATGAAATGAAGCCTTCACAACTATTTACAGTGTGCCGTTCTCAGTCCATGCCAACATTAGCATAGTTTGCAGTACAGATGAAAGACAAAGATGTAGTAAGATTCTAGATCAGAAAAACAACTAATATTTAATTTAAAATGCTGCACTATGTATGTTGTAAAGTAAAACCAGAAGAAGGGCAATCACAAACCCCAACAGCAAACTGGTAGTTTTATCTCTGTTCCTAGGCAGGAAGCTGAACCAGGATTATTGGTATTTCATACCTCAGCCAGGACTTCAACTCTCTTTTTGAGTATGCCAGAAATGTAACGGATTAAGCCCCACTCCTGATTGAGGCCTGCCTTTCTGTAGAGCTCGTTGAGGAGGCAGTGAACAGTGACACCATACTGTCCATCCAGCTCTGTGTCCCAGTCAGCACCTCTGCACAAAACAAACAGGAGGCAATTGTCATCAGGCACAATGCTAAACTTTACCACACAGCTGGATTTTGACTGCCTTGCTCACGTTGGTGATAGAATTAAATACCAAATGGGACATCTGTGCCTTCACCACAGATTCACTATATGTGGACAAAATCCTCTTGATACCAGGAACTTTCACACTAACTTGAGCACTCACTCAGCTGTGAGCCAGCAACTTGAAAAGGAACCACCTGAAGGATTTCCTACTAGACTTTAAATTGAGCATTCACATGACTTTTTAGCCATTCCCCTTTCTTAGCTATTAACTAAACTTCTGTGTTGCTTATGCCATTACTGAAAAAAGGCAAAAGAGATTTCTCTTCCTCTCCTTTGAAACTCACTTTTGAAATTGGCTTTTCAAATTCACTGCATTATGGCTTCTCTTTGGTAATGTTTTGAACTGTCACAGAATGACTACAACTCCTGCTGACAGAGTCCACCAGAGGTCCATCTGCCTGCCCAACAGTCTTCCTTGGTGAAATTACTGGTGTTACATGCAGTTAAACAACAAAACATATTTTTTATAGGATTCCCTTTACTCTTTAAGAGAGGATGCTAAACATTTTGCTTGGGAAATCAAGAAGATCAAAGAAGACGTCCACACAGGAGACAGACTAAAATCAACAAAAATGCAGTCTTTGTAGCAGTAGGGAAGACCATCTGTGATTAACACATACTTGTCTTTGCACCAAAAGCTAACTACCTGACAGGTTCCAGCAGTATTCTCCTGCACAGGAAAAAAACCAAGCTCAATAAACACACTTCAGAAGATGATTCTGTTGTTTCTATTTGCATTTTGTTCCCCTCAAACCAATTAAATAGCAGGTGTTTACTAACTCCAGCAGATGGGCCCAGACTGCTTCCAAGAATGTTTTAAAAAGTACCAAATTTTAGCCAGTTGTATACTTAAATATGCAAAGGGATTAGAGGAAAAATAGTGAACACTCATGAAAATTGCATTTTGCCTTCAGTTAGAAAATGACAAGATAAATTTTCCCTCCACTTTCATTCTTGTGTATGAAAATCACACCAAATCTTTGTGAACTTCAAATGGAGAGCCACAAATATAGCAGGGTGTGTTCCAATTCATGGAAAGAATTTGTGCATCTAATTTGTGAGCCCTGGAGACTTTATGTATTTGCAACTGTGCCAATCAACCCTAGAATCTGCACAAGTCTTCTTGTATATCCAAATAATTCCTGTAATCAAACTAACTGAAAATATGTGTGTTAAAGCACAAAATATTTCCACTGTCCCCCTCAAAACACAGCCTGAAGAGTGGAAACCTTTTGCACAAGAACAATCAGATAGCTGCGCCCAAACTGAAAGATGCTAAAGTTCATATTCAGGCAACTTACTTGAGGATATGCAAGATATACAAGATATCTGCTTGATCATGGAGTGTTGGACATTCCTTCAGCTGATTAACAAGCTTCCTGCAATCCAAATCACCATGAGCATCTTTAGGTAAGTGCGAAACATTTTCATGGTCCTGATAACAAAGATGGATGAAAAAAATCACAAGACATGACCTTGAAAAAAGCAGCAGATCTGTAACTTCCTGTAACTTCAATTAAAATGTCGTTAAAAAAAAATCACATCAGACTTGCAACAAAGCTCTGCACTTGAAATACAGATACATAATTTAGTTCTTGCCAGGGTACTGCAGGCACAGAAAGGAGACTAACCCCAAGAAACACAATCCCTAGAATGGAACCTTGTATCTATTTTCCTTTTTTGACAAAACAAAGAAATCTGGATACTGCATACTTTTATCTGCATACTTTTTCTGTCATCTATTTTCATCATTTCTGTTACTTGTAAAGAGAAAAGCAGAGAGACACTATACTTCTTTTGTTGAAATAATTTAGAACTTTTTGAGTTCCATCTCTAACCTGTATACAGAGTGGCACTTTAGAAATGCAAATATTGCCATTTTAATTTTTCCAAGCTTATGAAAGTAAAATGATAACTAATCAGATTATGTAATCCTATGATGAATTATTGGATGAAAAGAAGTTTTGTTCAACAAGCTGTTCAGCAGTTTATATAATCCTAAAATACCATTTCTACAAACTGAGCCTTGTGCAGAAACATCCCAAGACAAAACAAATTCCCAGCACAACTCCATCTTCGTGCCTTGAGGTGGGATTTGGCTGGTACCTTAAGGACATTCACACATTCCCTCTTACCCAGATGTTACTATAAGTAGCATTTCTTGGAAAACATCTCTAAAGCCTGTGAACACCCTGTCCTTTCCCTTGTGTTCTGCTAGAACTAAAGACAATGACTTAACTTTTGGCTTTTAAAAATAAGGCAATCATTATGTTCTTTTCTGTTTTGCACGTTCAATTAAAAACTTTCCACTTGATAGTGTCTATTTGACTAAAAAACCTTCATCCAGCCAAAAATATAATTTCCAAAACAAGGGAGTGCCTTGGACAGAATGGCTTGTCTGTGAAGAAAAATGAGACCTGGCATAGGGTTTGGAAGGAAAGCATGAGGAAAGGCATGAGGATTGCATCCTAAAACCACAAACAGCATAAAAATTCCCACACCTTACCTTTGTCCCAAAGAAATGAGGATTATCAACAAGATTCAGAGACTTTCGGTGTGTGTTCAGAACTTTAGTGGGAAGAGACATAGACACAGCTGGAAAGCAAAGTCACCAGAACAGAAAGAAAAATAAGGCTGCTTCAGTAACATGAAAATCAAAAACACCTACATGAAGCAGCTTGGCTAGGTAAAAACAACAGAAATACCTCCAAGAGTCAAAATACAGAGGCAGTGCTTCTGACATGCTGTGCACAGAACTGAGACAAGCTCATGTTCTGAACTTTATCTCCTTGCTCTGAGAATTTCTGATTTCAGCACGTCAGAAGCTCAGGGGCTACATGCTCAACTGATACCTCTTATTTGGCCTGTGACTCCAAAATCCTGCAGCACAATGACCTGACCCTGCCAAGTGTTTTAAACATTTCAACAGGAAACGAGTGGAGAAAATGGCCTAACTGGTAAGATTTCATAATTAAAATCATAAAGCTGAATGCAGGTTAATGCTCTGTTAACTTCATATGCTGTATTCAATGGAGGATCAGATGATGTGACACATGAAAGATGGCAGAAAAGAATAACAGAAAAGCTTGGAAGTTATTAATTTACACTGAAGTTAAGGGAAGTCTTCCATTGACCAGGACATTGAATACTACATATCTACCTATAAAACCATGCATATGTTGGAATCTATTTACAAATTCAGCCAAAGTCTTATTTTGGTGTATCCTCCAGTCAGGCTATCAGAAACGTGGCATAATTAGAAAGACTGTGCTCCCTCTCTACTCCATTTGTTCTTACAAATTTAGAAAGTACATGTGAATATTTATGTTTTTCTTGTATTGAAACATTTCATTTCACAGCAACTTTATTAAAATTAAAAAGTACATTTTGTCTGCCTTTATACAAGCAAAGACAAAACAATCAATTAACTGATTTGGGTTCTAAAATTCTATCCAACTAAGAAGCTGTAGAAGCTTCCATAACATTAATTTTGATTAAATGTTACATTTCATTGCAGGTTTTCTGTGTATACACCATGACACAGGATACTGGGGGAACATGACAGCAATAGCTTTAGTCATTCTTACTAGTAAAGGAATTTCTTATTTCTTCTCTATAAGGAAAGAACTAGTGGCACAAGTATGTCAAAAGGTATAATTTTTAAATACTTGAACTTACCCCTTGTAGCAGCCAAATCAGGTTTTTTAATTATCACTAAATAAACAACAGGGAGAAATACCTGGAACTTCCAAGCCCTTTGTCTTGGCCATTATTGACAGTATCTCTTCTGTGGAATGGTTTGCACTGAACACAGGTGGTTCACTCGTTGTCTTTGAAGTTGGAGGCAGATATGACTTTAGGGCTGTGCTCTGCAGGACATCATTTATATACTGATCCAGCTCATCCTGGCTATCTAGTGTAACATTCATAAATAAAAAAAAAGGTTTCCTAAAGGTAAAAATCACTAGTTATCATAATCACTTTCTTATTCAAACACACCACTATATTATTGCTTATTTATAAGGGCACTCAAATGTGCAAGAATAGGGTAAGGAAGAGATTTTTTAAACCAAAAAACTGTAAACAAAAGAAAAAAATGTTTTTGACATTGAAAACAGATTTAGAAACTAGCTTTGCCTGTGAAAGGAATCACAAGGGGTTTTATTTTGCTGGTATATCATAGAACACAGCTGGACTTGATGATTATAAAAGTCTCTTCCAACTTGTATGATTCTAAGACTCTGTCATCTCTTCCACACAAGCTCTTGTCCACGACTCTTCACAGTCCTTTTCCCTCTAAGCTCTTCCACACCTCCCCACCTGCTGACTCTCCAGACTCAGCTTTGCTGTAGCAGTTGCCAGTCAATGCCATACTACAAATGCAGGAAGAACACACATGAATTCATTCTCTAAACTGAGTCATGTAGGTCCTGTCCTCAGGTGGGTGTATGAGAAAACCAAATGACCATGGGCTGTGCACAGAACAGACTCTGCACTGTAGGAAACCCAGGCTCTGCCGATAGAACTTGACAGAGAAAAAAATAAGTGAAAAAACACTACTACCTTTCTCACAGAAATCTGCTGGGTAGTCTCCATATTCACTGTCAGGACTGTTACAGTTGTCATTATGGTCATCAAACAGTTTTAGGTCACAATCTGGATCCAGAAAGCTCAGATATGTATGAAAAGAGGTGGTAAGAAATTCTGATAGCTTGCCTATCTTCACCCTGCAAAAGGGGACACATGCCAAACAGCATTAACATCCACCATTCTGATACTGATTAATGCTCACTAAGCTTTCAACAGCTCCTCCAAAATTTAGGAAACCTACTGTTCAATCCACCTTTGGCAACTATAAAGCCACAGAAACTGACACTGAAAAATAAAAAAAGGAAAACAACAGTTGCAGATCCAGCTGGGTACTTACTGCTCTAGGTACTAATTGATTTTAACTGTGCTATGGTAACAGGCCTAACTCAAAGCCTAATTATGCAGGGTGTTATAGGTTCATATAAAGAGAGACCCTGAACAAAGACCTGAGCTCCAAGGATAATGCATAGGAAACTGGGGCTGAGAAGGCCCCATGAATGGCCTGAATGTGTTTTTTCACAGAACTGGAGGAGGCTAAACCATCTGTGCTGGTTTAAGCACAGGAGTTAATGATGGGGCTATGCTTTGGATTTGTGCTGGAAACAGTGCTGATACATTAGTTACAGGGATACATTAGTTACTGCTAAGCAGGGCTTACACAGCATCCCAGACTTTTCTGCTTCTCACCTCACCCCACCAGCACAGGCTGGGGGTGCACAAGGAGCTGGGAGGGGACACAGCTGGACAGCTGACCCATGCTTACCACAGGGACATCCATACCATAGCATATAAATCTGGGGGAAGAAGGATGAAGGGGAAGGTTTTCAGGGATACAGAAGTTTGTCTATCCAAGACACAGTTACATTTCATGGACTACAACTTTACTGAAGATGGTTGAACAATTGTCCATGGAAAATGGTGAATGAATTTCCCATTTTGCTTTGCCTGCATATGTGGTTTTTGCTCCACTTACTAAACTCTTTATCACAACTCACGAGTTTTCTCAGTTGTGTTCTTCCAATTCTCTCCCCCATCCCAATAAGGGGAGCGAGGGTGAGTGGCCACGTGGGGATGAGTTGTTGACTGGAGTTAAACCATGACAATATTTGATTGTCAAAAGAAAATAGAGAGGGATCCCTCTCTGATTGAGAGGGAAAGTGGAAAAAGAATAGGGAGATACTGTGGATCATATTTTACACATAGATGATTGGAACACACCAGGTTACAAATACTACATGCAATCAATGCTTAAAACATGTCCAGTAACTATAAAAGTAATTCACTTTTTAATAACAGAAGCCCAGCCAGATTCATATTTCAAGAGTTCATATTTACAAAGATTTGATGTCTGTTTTCTTTATCTATTAATTGAAGTCAGAGATGGTACACTTTTTGAGAGATAGATCTTTTCCATTGCACCTGAGGCCCAGCTACGATTTGACTGCCACATAATAATTAAAGCTGAAACTTCCTCCTCTGCAGAATTGTAGTACAAAGTCTGTGCACTATCACAAGTTCAAAACCAACACTTTTACAGGATTTCATTTTACAAATCATGGAGATAATAATTTGTCAATTCTAACATTACCTTGCACCTCCAAAATAACCATCTTCTAATTTTCTTATTGTGGCAAGAACTGCTGGATGAATGTCAGTACCATCATCAACTAAAAAAGAATAATGGAAGAATTGGAGCTCATCAACACATTCTTAAATTATCACATCCATATACAGTGCATTACTGGGTGTTGTCTACAATGTAAATCAGGCAAATTTAAAGCAGAATCCACAACTGCTATCAATACTAGCTTATTCAAAAATCCTGGACAAATAAGCAAACCAAACACAACCCCTAGATAAGTTCTAAAGACAAACACAACCCACTCAAGACAAGTTCCAAAGCAATTTCTATGAAATTTCTTTAGACAGAAATAATATGGAGATAGTCAGTGATAGAAGCATATGAAGAAGGAGCAAAACCAAAATTAAATATTACCATGAAATCCAAATTCAGCATACACATGAGAAAATTGAACTGTACTTCTGATGTTAGAAGTCCTGCTACTGTGTCCTCTCAAACCAACATCCATCCTATTCTTCTGCAGTAATCTACCCTGCTTGAAACAGAAGATTAAGTTTACCAAGCATTGTGTGGGTGATGGGAAACGTCAAGGTTGGTCTCCCTGTCATCCTCCAACAAGAAGTGAGGTAAGCCAGCTCTGTCTTAAGCATCTCCACAATCATCTGATTGTCTAGAGCCAGATAGAAGTGATGCTGGTCAGTGAACTAGAGAAGAGAAAAACACAACATAGGGGCAGTTGTTAGTGATTTCCTTTTTTTTTTTTTCCCTGTTTCTTCCCTTAAATTCTTCACAAAAGCCATATGAGCTACTCCTGACCACAACACAAACGACCTGAATTAACCTAACAAGGCCTCAGACTGTGACACAGCAATCCATGCTTGTGCAAGAGTCCATTTTCTTACGCCTGTAGACTGACCATCAAAGTAAGCTGTACAAACAAAACCTGGGCAATCACAGCCACGAAGCAGAAACTTCCCAATGATGAATTACACTGACCTATGATCTGGAAGATGGAAGTACTCTAAATGTGGAAAAAAAGCTAACAATAGTAACAAAACCAATACACAGGCTTAAGTGTACACTGGGGACTGGGAGCTGATGTCTCCAGTCACTGTATGTCTCTTGGGAACCATCTGAAAGTCAGGCAGAACACAGAAAAGCTGGCATTTACTGAGGAAAAAAGGCACATGAAATGTGCAATGGCAACGTGCTGCTCCCACTGCAGCAGGAAGCCAAGAACCACAGGAAGAGACTACTGTGGCTACTTCAGGAGCTGGAACCAAAGCAGCTGGACAAATAATGGAAAGAATGTGAAAGCAGCCACAACAAAAGTTAAGGAAGCCCCTAAGCCTTGGGATGGGGTAAGTGCATAAAGAACATGGAAGTTCAAGCTGACAAAATCCTGAGAAATTTTTTCATAGAAGGAATCAGGAACTAGCCAAAACAATCCTTGAGCCACTTACAGTTAGCTTTGGTAACTCAGGAAGAACAAGTCCCAGAAATCTGGAGACAAGGAAACACACTGCCCATCTTTAAAAAGGAAGAGCCATTTAAAAAGTCAGGCCAATTCCAGTGCGTGGAAGGAAAGGAAAACAAAGCCAATTTGAGACAGACAAGATAATTACTAAATGATAAAGTAAGATGGCCAAAAACCAATCTCAACAGATTAGTCCAGCTTCCTTCTTTGCAGCAACCAGATGATAAGTATAAGAAAATTTGCAGAAGCTGACACCTAAATTTTCACACTAGTGAGCTGAACTGACTTCCTAGGAAGCAGAACTACTTTTAAAATTATTCTAAAAAGGCAGTTATTAACCATTTTTTCAGAATTACTGTATCTGAATGAAGCTAGTCTTTGCCCCACACCTAATCAATGTTTTCACTAGAAAAGAGAATGAAATACAAATGACAAAATCACAAATTTTGTGGACATTAGTCAAAATCAACAAGATGATTTAATTGCTAACCTTAGGAAGGTGACATTAAACATTAACTCCATCCACCTCAAAAAAAATAGTCGGGGAAGTGTCTGCTTTCAAAGTGCAATGGAAAATGTTATGGAGGTTATAGTAAAACATGGAATAAGCAGGAACTTATTGTTCACTGTGTTGCTAATGTAAAGATAAATGCCATTTTGGAATATCCTAGTAAGTATGTCCTTATTTGATACATGACAAGATTTTAGCAGGAATATTGGGTCCTACTTACACAGTAAGATGTGAACTAAGAGGTATTTTGAAAAAAAATCACATCTGTGAGGAGTTTTTACCTTATTTACAAAAGTGAAAATTGGTACAGGGAAGTAACACAACTAACATTCTATAAAGCTGCTTGTGATCAACTGACATGGGGAAGAATGAGAAAGGATCTACATTTTTTGCAGTTAATCTGATTTGTTTGGACATTATGAAGCAATACAGAAGCCTTCTACAGAGTCCACTGACTGCCTTCAGCTGGAGTTTAAAGACTTCATTAGTCAAACATCTGTTTAGAAGGATGGATGCATTCTTTATCCTGCATCATTCTTTATCCTACATGCTTGGAGCAGGGGACTCCCTGGCCTTCTAGTACCAACTGCTGGAATAATTCTGTTAAATAAAGTCATTGCATTTCATTAAATGTATCAATAGGAGCCATTGATTCTATGAGGATCCAAACTTTCAGCAACATTGAGAAAATGCACTAAGGAAAAAAAAAAGACAGAACATCTATTTCTCAGCACTACTACACTTTCAACAACATAATGAAAAGATCACACCTTCACCTCCTTAGGGTTACAGTATCTGGCACACTTATATAGTACTAAATTTTTCATCAAAACAATTGGTAGGAAGATATATTAAGTGACCTATTTTTGCAGAAACTGTTTCATTGATTAGAATGTTGGTGTGGGCAGAGATCAGTAACAACTTTGTACTATTGACTCACTGTGTTCTCCTAAGCCAGAAGCCAAAGAAACCAGACTCTGTATGACTGAAAAGAGATTTATCAGCAGTTCTACCATGCTGATCATCCCATGCTCTTAAAAACCCTACAAAGTAAAGCACATCTGCTGTTTCAGCCCTGTTCTACCCAAGGGACAATGACAGCAGGGAAAAGCAAAGTGCTTCACTAATGATTCACCATTAAGTAAGGAGTGATTTTCCTGCCAGCTTTACATGCTTACCTGAGGGGTAAAAGCAAATATTTGATTTCTTATCACGTAGAGCTTGGAGGTGCCCAACACTCCTATGTGTCGGTGTGGTCGGCCACTTAATTTCATGTTCTTGTTCCGGCCTGGAAAGCAAAGGGAAGGGAAAGAAAAGAATCTCAGCTAACATCTTAGGTGCTGTTTTCCAAAATAACCACTTTAGACAGGAAAATTTACTGCACTAATACCAGCAAGGCAGAAAACCAGTAACACAGTGTGAGGCTACAAACTGATTTTGTAGCAAGCAGCAATATAATAACCAGAGTCCTTCAAAGGCCTGATTAAAAATTAAAATTTTGGCTTCATTGGCCATGGATTTGATCTTATAATTACAGTAATTGCTCAGCACCCAAAGCTTCCCCACCAAGAAGGGCAGGAGATGTGATATTACAAAAAACAAGGCCATGAACCTAACTCAGAAATTCCAGTGTTTTCAAACATAGGACCTTAAAAACTCATGCCTGCAGGCTAAATCAACACACAAAACACATCCAAATACAACAACAGATTTTCATCAGGCTTTAGTAAGCTTCACTTTTCTCAGTAGAGCTTATTAGCAATCATCCACACTACAACCTTTGCACCAGCAGCCAGGAGCTGACTTGGATCTTTCTGACAAGAACCAAACAACCACGTTCCTGAAAAAATACTACTGTGAACATTCCCAAGGAAGTCACTGTTTAAAAAAATGTATCAAATCATCCTACTCACACTCCTCCACTAGTGAAAGAAAGCTAATATGAATTATAATAAAATAAATGTAAGCCTCAGCAAAGCTCTGCAAATTTTTTTAAAAAATCTTTGAGATGAAGAGCCAGATTCTTTCACAGAAGCAACACATACAATTTCTCTGTGTAAAGGGCATACTTTCTAAAATTTATCTGGAGGCCCCATTACTTTGAATGATTTCAAAAAAAGCTCCCTGTCGAAACAAAAAAACTACCACAACAAAAACTACCATAACAAAAAAATGTTCACCCCCATGAGCAGCCTCTGCATTATCTTTAACCAAATTGCCATGGGAACGTGCTCCAGACTGACAGAGAAGCAGGATACAGCTCCCCTTGTCCAGACAGCAAAGGAATCTACCAGTGCTGAGTCACCCCACCTCAATTTTATTTTATATCAGTATCCACAGTTTTGAGCCATGAGTTGCTGGCATGCCTGAAGAAGTAAAACTAAGTTAAATTAGGAATGCATGTAACAAACTTTCCCCCAAGACCCAAATAATTCCAGCAAGGATTATCAAGAAGCAGTTATAAAAAGACTTAACAACTAGAACCAGTCAGAGCTTTGGAGCATTTAAGTCAATTTAGGCTCTGAGGAGGACTTGAGAGCCACTGCTGAGGAACTGGAATGTATTTAAAGTCCTGTGTTTAGAAAAGCCCTAAAGGCTTCTGGGTTTGCAACAGAGACAGAGAGTTTCAGCAGCTTATCTCAGCTCCAGGTTGGAAGGAACTTCAGCAAGAATCTGACAGCCCAAAGATGCTCTGATAGCAGCACAGCTTCCCTGATTTGGAGCAGAAAACTTCCCAGACTGCCTGCTCAGAAGATAAAAATTATACTGCCCAATTTCCAGACTCAAATGACTTCTCGAAGGAAAAATACTTGATTTTTTCTTCTATGTTTTACCAGACATTGTTTTCAAAAACCAGTTTCTCTGTGGAAGTGGTTTCTGGAGGACAAATCAAGAGTCAATTTTTGTCTAACTCCAATGGCACAGGGAAACTTGTATTTTCTCCACCATTTCCAATGAGATAAATAAGGAACTCAAAGAGGTGGGAAAATAAAGACAGAAGTTCTAAGTTGGTTAAGCTTCTTAAAAAAATACCTTGCCTGGCAGTAGAGAGGCTGCCATGTTGAAATACTTACCCAGCATGGTGTAGAGGTTGCTGAGGATGCGAGCTGGCTGCACCCTGAGTGGATGGATATCAGCAATGCTCTGAACGTTGATTCCACGGTCTTGCAACAGATTCTTAATTTGATTAGATTCTGCCAAAACAGTTACTGTGCAACAGAAAACAAAAACACAAGTAAAAACCAATGTTCTACTCTTTTTAACTATCTCTACTGTCACCTCTCAACAAATGCATTTAGCTAATTAAAAAGGCATGAAGACCACACTTTTTTCTTAAATTCTGGATTCATGAGATCAAAAGGGATTGCAATAGGGCACCTGACAGATTTTAATTCTCTGTTTCTCAGTATTTCTTGCCATTCCTGTCCACTTTGGACAACAGTGGTGGTCAGCAGGGTCAGAAGAGTCCTCTGAGGTGTCTACTCAAACCTCCTGCTCAAAGCAGGGTCAGAACTGCTGAGGTTAAAGTGGGTTCTTGGGGACTTAATCAGTTGCTTCTCATTTCTTTGAGTACCACTGGTTTGGATCACACAGTCTCTTTTAGAAGAGAGTCTCTTTTAGGGCTTTCCCCCCATAGAACAAAGGTAAATATGACTTGAAAATCTTTGTTCTTTTAATACAGCACACTATAACAGTGCAGCAAGTCACTGGGGAACAGGTGCTGTCACTTGTATAGCAATACATATTTCAGAGGACACAAAATGGCAGAGGTATGGAGAAAAAAAAAATCCCTAATGAGAGAAATTTACAATCCAGGCCCAGAACCTTGAGGTTTTGCCCATGATAATTGGCTTATTGATTCGGGACTAATAATGCAGTATTCTTCTTTGTATTGTGAATACTTGCCAAAGAATGCTAAAAATCAGCAAGCGCTTCTATTTCTGTTGGAAATTAAGCACTTCAGAATAATAAAATGCTACTCCTATGAGGCACCAACTGGGGGTAAACAAGCACCAGCCCAGGTCACAGGATCCTTGACAAAGGCTGCTCCTGATAAATGAGCTGGTTGCTCTTTCAGCGTGGTCCAGGCACCGGAAAAGTCTTTAAGACCTGATCTGCTGGTGTTTGCTCTCTACTTCATTTCTGGTTTTGGCTGTTTTTGCACAAACTAAAGGGGGCACTCCCTGCAGCAGCCAAAAGCTGGTAACTCTGGCTGCCTCACCTCTCTCACCTCTGTGCACAGGGATCCTCCTCACTCAGTGCTCTCTGGTTCCTCTGAAAAGGGGCTACATGAAACCTGGTTAACCTGATCCATCTCCTGTCAGTCCTGCTTCTTCTCTCTAGAAGCTGCCAAGATTTTCCTTTTCGCTATAAGATTAATTTTGCCACTCTCCAACTCCTAACAAGTCTTAATTTTTTTTTTAAGTGTCTTAAACCTCATCTTCCCTTCTGGTAAAAGGCAGCTAGGCAAACAAACTCTTTCTCCCTCTCACAGTGTCGTCAAAGCATCTATGCCCCATGCAAAAAAATTCCACATTATTTTTAACCACATCTTTAATCTCTCCTGTACACAGGGACTTTGCCACCACATGATTCAATTCACACAGAATGTTCACAGAATTCCCTCACCTTGTACCACAACATCAGGTTTAAATCCCGTGGAAAATCTCCTGTTTAAGGGATCAATTTCACCCGCAGCAAGAAATCCCTAAAACAAATGCAAAAGAAAGAAAAAAAGAAGGAAACAAACAGAATTGAAGAAAAAGGCTTCTGACATAAAGAATAAATCCTAATCAATTTTCATATGTTTTCAGGACAGTGGGACTTAAAGCCTGGTTTGTCTACCCTTTCCACTAAGTAGTACATTCAATAAAAACAATGGCTGCAATATTTTTTGGAAGAACAAGAAAATGGTTCTGACTGACACAATCTGCATTCAGAATTCCTACTTCAGAGTTACAGCAACTGACATAATTTTACCAGGAAAGTGATTTATTTTTGTAGCTCCATTGAGACATTTGTGCTTCTTTTAACTAGTCTGACTTTAATGTGCCTGACTAGTAGGTCCATCATGCCACAGAGCAAGAATAGCCTAGTAAAGCTGAAATGGCCCAGAATCCTGGCTCTGGAAGAGCCAAGTCAACCTGGGCATACTCCTCTATTCTAACCATATTCCAGACCACGTGACAACTTACTCAGCTTGATTAGAAACAGACAATTGCTTAGCTGTATTAGAAATTAAAAAAACAAAAGGTCCTGAAAGCTTAGAGTCAGCCTTTCATGGTTCATGTACATGTTTCTACTGGAAAACACACTGTCCTCTACCTGTCAACCAAACTGTACTTAAAGGCCAAGCCATCTCAAACAAAATTAAATACAAGTTTATCTGCTATGCAAGAAATAATCACCTCTGCTAACAGGCAGCTCAGGACATACAATGATTGGCCCCAAAGATGGGGCAACTTTCCCACTGGGACACGATCCACCGAGTGAGGATTTTCATACTCCTCATCCACCTGAAAACAAATACATAAGCAAGAAAAATTACCCTAAAGTTGTGAAGAACAATCAGTAACACTTAAGTATTTGCAGACATACAGTCTAACATAAACCCTTTCAAGCCTGCCCTAACTACTGAGATAGAGATGTAGTGGTTTCACTTCTAAGGCTACATATTTTCTGGGACAAGAATTATACTTTTTGTACCTCTTCCCACCCTTCAAAGCTGGAGGGTGAATGGGGACTCTGCATGCAATTACAGCTTTGGTATTAGCTCTTCCACTTTCTTCTCACCGTGCCTTTGCTGCCTTCCCTCTGGGCTGAGCATAGGTACCTGGGTGTCTGCTTTCCAACCCCTTCCAAGATGACACTTTAACTTCACTGATGTCTGCCCAGCTTTCTGAAGCAAAGGTGCTTTCCAATATTAAGATTATTTCACCTTTCCTGTGTTAGCAAGGATGGTCAACAGAAAACTGACTTACTAATTTAGAAAAACTGCCTTCGTTTTGCAGTACACAGATCTATTGAGGGTGGGGCAAAAACCCTCCCAGATCACATCTCCAGGCAGCCACTTCATATTTCTTTTATAGACAGACAAAATCTACCCTGTTGATGTGGCATGTTTTTCAGATCATTATCATCATATCAAAATCACAAGAAGGCTCTGGACTCTTACACGCTTGTTCCCACTAGGAAGGCAATTCAGTTTCCACCTCAGATCTGCGAGCAAGGCATCAGCTGAGCAACTCAGACCAACCCAGGAGGCTCCACACCCTTAGTGAGTGAGGGCTGAGAAGTCTGGAGTGGGAGAAGAAGTTGGCAGGGAGGGATACAAAGGCAAATAGCATGGAAGAGCACATGAGCTCGTCTGAATTTCCCTGTCACAATGGGAGAATGAGATAAACAGTAACAGCAAAGGTGGGGGAAAAGAAAATACCCAAACCAAAATCCCAGCCCAAACCCTAATCCATTTGAAACCTGACTCCCATACCTGCTCTGGAAAAGGGCAGCACAATCAATCAACAGACTAGACAGGCAGGACAGTCTATGCTTTATTTCTTCTTTGAGCTTCAGTTCCTAAACTAGTATCAACACTTCTTAAATATATGTCTTGCTCTAAGGATGTAAAATTTTAGACCTGCTGTAGTATTTCCACAGACAATCAAATTTACAAGTGAAAACTGCGACCATTTGGAAACCTAAAGTTTACCATTTCTCAGGAGGAGCTGTGAGAAGTCTCTTACTTTTTAAAATAATGTGCAGTAGTCTTTTTTATTGTTAGTTTAGATTCATCAGACATAGAAAAACAGTAAGACTGATATTCCTCTCATTCTCTCTACTTTGCATACTGAAGTGGATGCTGCATTTTCACAATACCTTTTCTGGAGGGACTGCATAAAGTTCAGGCATTAGCACTAATCCATTCTTCTCTCGAATAAGTATTCCTTCCAGAGCCTCTCTGTACTCTTGTACCTGGAATTATTTTTAAAAGAGAGTGGGAATTCACATTACAGTCAGCAAAACTGAAATAATACTTTTGAACAGTACTTTTTTACTGAAAGTTAATATATTTAAAAAAGAAAAAAAGGGGTGGAGGAATCATGACTTGCTGATGGAAGAACAGGGTTCAAATTATCAAATGTTCCAGAATCTCAGTGTTATCAGAAACACAAACACTTGTCTTCAAACTGTAACACACTGCTGCAGTACAAAGCTTCCAATATATTCCTACTGAGAAGTGTGGTGGGTCTAGTGCTGGCCAAACTCCAGGACACCCATTAGAATATACAAACTCATTTCCTGCTGTGAGATAGGATTAGGAGGAAGGCAAAGCAGGCTCAAAACTTTAAAAGGGTATAAAGAAAACTCTATTAACAGTAACTAAAAGAAAGAATAATAAGAATAAGAATCAGAATAAAATCTTTAGAACACTTCTCCCCCCTACAACTTTTTTTCCCACTAACAATGCACAGAACCAATTCAGTCAGTTTATCACTTCTAGAAGAGTCCTTCTTCAGTTCACTTAGGGAGAGGAATCCCTCTTGTCAATTTATGGAGATTTCTCCACAAGAAAACAGTTCTCTTGTGGCTTTTAATTTCCACAAATAGCAGCCACCCAGAAACCTGCAATTGTGAAGTCCCTCCCATTTTTCACAGCTTTTCCAACAGCCGTGTTTATGGGCCATGTCAACTTATGGGGTACTATTTTAATGATGAGCTGTTCAAGATCAAAGATTCTCTTTATCTGTATCTGAGATCATCTTCATCTCTGAGAAGTCTTCTTCTTCTTTCCCTGGCACAAAGGGTCTTCATCACTCTTCTCTCTCTCTTTCTGTTCAAACTTCTTATGGGATCACGGCTGCTTCAGCATTTGCTTACTTGAGCATAGAGGCCTTTGCTCATATCTACAATTTGAACACTATCTCCCCATACTTTCAACGAGTTACAGGGAAAAAAAAGAGTCTGATGCAACAATTGCATTCTTTTCCATAGCTGGATTTCAGCCCCTGAAAGAGGGGAGACCAAAGTATCTCCTCATCCCTCCCATCTGGGACTTGACTCTTCACTGAACTTGGTGTCTTCATGTTGTTCCTCTACGTGTTCTCACTCTGTCCTTTTCTCTCACCCGAGAGTGGATTTAAGGTCTGCAAGTTTCATCTGTGCACTGGAAGAGTTAATCTCCCACCTGGGGCCTGCAGATGGTTACATGACCCCAGCTGGACTCGTAGCTTGTGGCCAGAGCTGTGACTGGGCTGGGCAGGGGAGTGGCAAGGATCTCAGGAGCCAGGCCAGGGCTCAGCTGCAGCACAGCAGGGCTGATGGCCTCCCCTGCCTGTCACTGACAGCTGATGGGGCCCGGCCCCACGGCAGAGCCCACCCGGCTCAGCCCAGCCCAGCCCAGCCGAGACCTCCCATCTGCTCTCAGGGCGGAAGGAAAAAGGGGCTTCCCTGGATTTTTTAACATGTTGTTAACATGTGTATTCACAGAGGTGTGTCCAACTTCCTCAGTGGTTTAACAGATTGGCAGTCCTCAAAGCTAAGGTTTGGAGGAAACTGCTAGCAGCTTCTCTTAGCAAGTCACTTCCATGAATGGCTCCAATGCAAAACCAGCACAAGAAGTCACTGGAACAGATCCTACAAGGAATTTTCAATGGATGACAGTGCAGTGACACAGACATCAGACTGCAAGTATCTGTCAGAGTGTAAGGCGTATAAATTGTTAGCTGTATGCCATGAACATTTCTCTGTGACTTACTGAATTCCACTTTGCAGGACTGGGAAATCAGTTTCTCTTAACTGATTTGATGAAAATTTTGTCACAAAGAAAAATTAAAATAGATTTAAATGTTTAAAAATATCTAAGTTCACTGATCAGCAAATCCTCTTGTTCTTGTTATATTAGACAACATACTAGGAATAGGAATAGCAGATTGGTAAGAACATGTAATACATTTTCTTTTTACCAGATTCCTTAGTTTGGTCCATTTATTAACTCTCCATTCCAAGTTTTTACTTAGAGAGAAACTTTTTAAGCACTACCAGCACCTGCTTCAGAAATCCTTTTTTCTGCTATTCCTGAGTAAAGGGGATCACTCAAAATAAGATACCCACAGGTTCACATACACTGACATATTCAGTATCCTGTCCCACTCCACTTTTTTTGAGTCCTCAGGGTGCTTATTTTTCTAGCAAAACCATTTGTTTGCAGCAGTGACTGGGGACTAGGCACTCACCTGAGTGTCTCAGTGACTCATTCAATTATGTTTAAACAGTACAGACTGGGAGCAACTGCCCTGACCATGCCCTAGAACAGTCCATCTGCACACACACAAAAAAAAAAAAAACCAAAAAAAAACCAAACAGGTACATACTGTCCCAGATAATCCAACTAAGGTCTAGGGACTGCTTCAGGAAGTCGTATTTTATTACCAGGACTGAAGTTTCAGTAAACTTCCTGAGTTTCCCCCCTCATTAAATAATGCCATATCTCTCTTCATCAGACTACTTTTACTGTGTTGAGGAAAACATTTTATGTGTCTAGTGTCAGTAGGAATTTCACTTGATTTGCAACAACTGAAAGAGAAAGAGGGCTTTTTGGTCTGAAATTCTCTGAATAGTTTCTGATGACATTTCAATTTTTAAAGGAGCTTAGCAATCTCCTATCCCTCTGCATACCAGGCAATTTTAAATCACACAAATTTTAAATTTCTTTCAAGCTACCAATCTGCAGAAGTTCTGGTATGAATGTCCTGTTTACTTGCTGCTCTTTAAATCACCAATACTCCCCAGGTGCCACAGTAAACTTTGGAGGGCTACAATCAATTTTGCTCTACTGACCACTGGATGTCTGGCACAGTAATGGTATGAAGTGACTCAGGGAACTAGTGAAAATGAAATTGCCCCACATAAGCCAATCCCAAATCTCTTTGAATGTACAAAAAGACTGAAAGTACTACGAATCTTGTTCTCAGCAGCCAAGCCAGAGAGGTTGGGGAAAAAGAAGTTTGTCTCATCCTGAAGTAATTGTGAAAGGGGCATCAAGATTGGTGATAAGACTGAACCAGCAAAATAAACAATGTTTAGCCCAGTTTTACCACGCCAGCTAACAGAGCCATTCAACCTGGTATGGAGAGGGCAACCAGACCCCAGTGTGCACAACCCTGCTGCCTCTACCATGTCATGACCTCCCCAGGAAGGTGAAACTGGCTGAAGACTATTCCACTCTGCTAATGGGGTATCTAAATAATACCCAAAACAAACATGGAACAAAGTTACAAAATACTGTGGGTAAATGGTTTTGCAATTTGAAAGCAATTTCTTCTTTCCTCACCTGGATTTTGTCCTCATTAAATATTCCATCAATTAGGAAGTATGTCCAGAATACTGGCCACTCACATTCAATATTCTCGAAGAGCTTGAGCTCAGCAGGATCATAGTGCAGCCTGCTTGGATCCTAAAAAAATTCAACCACACTCATTAGTCACAGTGTTCAATTAGTCCCTTATATTCTAACCATAATGGTAGCCTATTTTATACAAATTATAGCATAGAAACCAATAAACCCACCAGAAATAGTTTTCATGCAGTCTCTTGACTTCTTTGTCACATTCACTCTCAAACTTATTTAATGTTCTCTAGACAAATCCATCCTTCCTAGTCTTGGGATCTAAGTGTCTCCCACATGATTGTTACTCTGCCTCAGTTCAAAGATATTTTGGGACGTTTCAGAGATGCCATTTCATTTTAGACACCATAAGCATATCTAAGGGTTAATTTCTTACAGAATTATGAATTAAGTTCTGTCCCTATTAAATGTTTCTTAAACCCTTGGCCTCACTCAAATATGTGTCCTTTCCAGGGGGGATACCCGGATTACCCCCAAATTCATTAAGATGTCTTAGCAGTGATGGAGAACTTCACCCCCATCATGTAAATAAAAGAAAATATGTCTGTAAAGAAGAGATAAAATTCTTCCCATGTCCTTACTGAAAATATACATCATAAATATTACCCCAGAAGTACCTCTCTGGGTGTCTTGTAACCATCTCGGAGAAAGCGACAGCAGCCGTAGCGGCCCTGTAAAAACAGACAACCTTATAGAAAATTTCCCATACACTTCTTCCTCACAGACTAATATCAGCATAAAGGTGTGTGCTGAGTTTTATGGGTCACTTAGGGATCTTCCTCCCTCTCTTCATGCACAGATGAGCCAACCTGGCAACCCTTGTTTAATTAGGATTTTTGGTTTAATAAGAGGTTTTGCTTCTCTCTTTGGAAAACAAAAATAAAGTAAATCCTTACCTGCAATTTGGATATTATTTCACTCTTGGTTACATTAACAAGGTTTACATCCTCCACTGCAAAAGCTGGGTAAGAAATAATAGACAGAAGGCCAGCATCTATCTCCTTTGACGTGGATGCCCTTGGCAACATGGAGTACAGAATAGACTGAGCAAAACAAGAACAGGAAAGAGGGATTTAAAATTATTTGCCTGCTTCAAAAGCTATGTCAAATGCAAATGAGACTACACTGTTTGCAAACTGACAGAGAAGTCTGTGCAGTTATTTTTAACTGAGTTAGAACGAGAATGCTTCACCCTATTCAGTTTAACATGATCTACTAGAAACAGGATAAGCAGCATAGCCTGAAGCCATCCTTATTATGTTACATTCTTGGCTTAGTTAATCAACACTTCATTTAAAAACAAAGGGGAGAGGGTGTTAGGTTTTCCCATAGTAAAGCAAAGAGCAGACTAATTTTTACCTGACAGTGTTCTACTTCATCAGGAAGAACATGAATCACTGATTTGTGTCCTCCATGAGCTCCAAAAAGATCTAGTTCATCAATTGCTTCCAAAGCGGCCTTCAGAAAAAACCAAACCACAACTCAACATTAATAAATATCTTTTAAACCAAGTATATACCCTGGCCCCTGTACTTAACCTCTGAAAGAAATTACATAAAACAGCAGTTTGCCCCACTGATACTTTTTTCATCTTTAAAGAAAAACTTAGCAATATTTTAGAAAAAGTAACTGTTTCAACGAGTAGGATTGATATACTGGTGATCCTTCCTACAATTTAAAGGCAATGCAAAAAAAATGGGAGCTGGGTTTCCAGAGAGACATCATCTAAAAATTGACGTACTTAGTAAAAAATGCTTGTCCTGCCCTACATTTCAAAATAGCCTCCTGTATCAGTGTGGGGCCAAGACCAGCAGTCTCTCTCTCTTGCAGTGCACACAATATCTAACAAATCCTGCTGAAAAGCAAATACACCTTTAACCTTAACGATATTTGTCTTCTGTCTGTCCCTCAGACACCATGTAATGAGGTAGTTGTCAATTACACATTTACATTTATGGCCTTCTGAGATTCATTTAGTATCTCTGTGACCTTGAGCTGAGGGAACCAGAAATATCCACTTTCTTTTAAGTATATCTTCATTTATTTTTCTCTCCAAACTACTTGGAGAAAATTTCTTAAACTAATATTCTGGTGTTTTTAGAATTTACATCTGACTTAATCTTATCATGACAACACATATGACTGTGAGGCTGAAGAATTAAGGAGGAGGAGGGAAAGAAAACCAGAGGCCACTTTATAAGACTGCATCTTACTGAATCTGTCAGATTAATGGTTCAATTAATCTGGTACCCTTCTTGCAATCCCTGGAACAACTGTTCTGAGGTCCTTCAATGAGAGCCATTATCTCAAAAATTTTACACTAAAAATACTCACATCTAAACAAAAGTTTTTATACAATCAGCTAACTATTGCAGTGGCCAAGAAGACCATACAAAGGAAGCCATCAGGTTTGTCAGAGCCCTTAAGCATAACACAGCAGCCATGAAGGAGGTGTCAGGAAAACATTCTCACTTTGGCCATCCCTACGGAGCTCGCGTTCAGTTCAGGGATTCCTTGGTTTGTCTTATCACCACGTTCCCAAATCCCATAATCCTGCAACAATACCATCAAGAAAAAAAATGGCATGATTATACACAAAAGCAATGTTTTGCCCCGTCCCACAACAAATCCTCACCTCTACATTAAATTAGTTTATTATTTCCTTAAAAAAATAGAAAAAAAGGGGCTCCAAGTCTCAAAAGAGACCCTCCTCATGTTTGAATACACCCCAGCAGGATCACGTGTACAGTCACAAATCCCTCCTGTGCATGTTTCTCCCCACGTACCTTCAACTTGGTTTGCTAACAACCTGCCCTTTCTAGAAAGGCCCACAAGACTTATAATTAGACATAAGGAAATATTACTAATTATCAATAAAACCCCCTATTATTATGATAGAACAAGTATACCTCACCCACACAGCAGTAAATCCTCCACAGCCCTCCCAACATCTCCAAAGATGCTGCTTGCACTGTAAAGTACTGAGAGGTTCTGACATCGTCTTGTGGAAAAAACAAGTCCCTATTTTACTTCTCCAGCAATAAATAATTTTCCACCCACACTTGAGCAGTGTTCAGATCATTTACATATAAATAACTACTTACAGCAACTTTGTAGGCAGCTTCTATGTAAAAAACAAGATTCTGGATAAAGGTAACTTCATCAAGGGTGAAGATAATACGTAGCCCTGATGAAAAGAAGGAAAGAGAATAATTATATTGTATCAGAACTGCAATAGCTACTCTACAGTGAGTTTCATGCTTTTGTTTATTTGCTACTAACCCCTGCCCACTGAAATCAAAGGAGAAAACTCATACTGATTTCTAAAGGTCAGGCAGCAAGCCTCAATACTTGCTACTGACAAAACACTTCAAACCCCACCAATACAGACTGTTTCAAAGAGCAACCAAAAACCACCTCTGTGAGAGTGACACTCAGACCATGGGTAAAAAGCAGAGGCAACTGAGCCAGCTCTGGCTCTCCAGAACAGTGCATATCAATTCCTGCAGCCCCCCAGCCCCCTGCCTGCTCAGTGCTCTACCTAGGAACCTTCAAGATGATCAGGTGTCTGCAGGGATCAATTGCAAGGGGCTTCAAGGACAGAAAAACATGGAAGGAAACAAATCTTCCCCCTCACAAGAGGAGTATGATTAAGAAGAACATAAGATAAAACAGCACCAGTAAGACAAGAACACTGATGGCACAAGTGCACCTGACTTGATGTTGCCACTCTCTGAAGAAATGTGGTTGACCCTATGAAGTCTTTAAACATGAGACTTCTCTGACGAGATTCTAAATATCTCATGTATTTGATGCCTTGATTAAAGGCATAGACACTGCCAATTACTATAAATATGAAATTCCACATAAGGCCTATCTCTTTTCCAGAGAAACATGACTTGCTTCTGAGTAATAATTATGTAAAGACCTTTGAAGCTGAATACTACATTTTTTTCCTTTTTAAATAAAAGCTGGACTAGAAAAGGCTGCAACAAAAGGCAAAAATATCTTCTGCTTACCTGATGCAGTCATCTGTGCCAAGAAGAGCAGGTAGAGGGAAGTTGCATCCACTTGTAGGTGCCCCCACTGGTCGTCCCCAACCACCGTGGCACAAGTTGCAGAGTTATACTTGGCATGGAGGCAGTCCTTGGTACTCTGAGTGCGTTTGAACTTCTCTACTTTATCTACCTAAAAAACATCACAAATCTCAAATCTGAAACATTTTGGAAGAAATTCTCGAAATGATTTCAAAATTAACAACTTTTCTTAGGTGAGGACAATCTTGAGGTCTTAATCCTGTTACTACACTCAGTTTTGATTGGTCAGAGGGCTTAAACACAACTCTTGACTTTAGACTCCAGTGAAATCCACATCTCTACAGGAAAGAATACAATTAAATTACCTTATTGAGTTCAGATCTAAACTACAGACATCCATCTTGGTGAAGATCAGTTTGCAAAGGCAAAACTCTGACTTGCTACAAGCATAGTCTCAAAACATTACTTCGACAAGAAGTGGAAGCAAGGTCAGTGTTTTGCTCAAGAGTTTTAAGAAGACTCCCCACACCATCATTGGCACACACACAAAATAAGTCACTCCACAGAATACACTGGAACTACACACTTCCATCAAATGCTTTGTAAATACAACATCTACTAACTCAATCCTATGGCATTACCTGTCTCATCATGCACTGCAAGAGTCCCCGCATCAGCTTCACAACATTCTGCAGGAACAAAACAAACCAGTGATACTTTCTGCCTCATCAGCTCTTACAAACAACATTCAAAAGTGGCAAAGTTCACACCCTCTACTATTGTCCTGCCAAAGGTAAAAAAATGTATATTTGGCCAAAATGTTTTGCATGCTTTTCTTTTTAATACACTGATCAGATTTTATTCCTTCATCCCTGTCTAGGAGAAATCTTTTCCCAAAGTTTCTCTGTAAACAGTGGAACAACTCTCCATGGTCCTTCTATCCAGCCTAAGGAAGTAAGAAGAATGCTATGTCTTGTAAGAATATTAATACTAACAATAAATTTTTTGAATGACAGATCTAGGGAACACTGGTAGGTGACATCAAGGCATTGACGTGACTGTGAAACCTGCAGAGTTTCTTCCACTCTTTATAGAGTACGGCAAAAATCAAGTGACCCATAGAGAAAGGGCTGTAAGTGTGAATGTAGAGAAGTGCAAGACTGTGCATTAAATAATCAACCCTACCTTTTCACCCCAAAAATACAGCCTCAAAATCTGATCATGTAAACTGAGTCAAGCTAATTGTGTCACCATGAACCTGGTTCAAGTAGGACATAGCAGCAAAAAATTTACCCAGTGACTCCAAAACAACAGTAGGACACCAACAGTCCCTCACTTCACATTTAACCCACCTCTGTTTACATTCTCATTTCATTTCATTCATTTACATCTCATATCACATTTACATGTGATACTCACATTCCCAGCTGCAGATTTTAGTATTTAACTGTGTGAGTTATGTTCCCTTCCAATTCTCCAGCACAGGTCCCATCAGTCTGGAGGTTGTAATGCTATGTAGGCGTGTTTGATCACAGCAGAGAAGGTATCAACCTCCATGCACACTCCAAAGACTTCTACTTTAAATGGCATGCTTCTCTATACCGGAAGAACGGTCTAGCAGATAAATTGATGCAAGATCCAAGCAGCCTAGGCCTGATTTTCTGTACCACAACACATCTCATGAGGGACCTCAAGGTTTAATTAGAGAGAGCCTTGTAAACTGGGGCACAAAACCTCTCAGAAGCCTCATTTTCAGCAATCAGCCAACCGATGGAAGTTTGACTTCTACATACTTTTGTTTCGTTTGTAGTTAAATTCAGATGTTAGCCTCTCTACCATCCAGTTCTTCAAATCCTCCTTGCCAGAGATACTGCACACCAACACTGCATGGGCGTTGCTTCCTTTAGAGCACATACTCCAAGGTGAGAAAACCCTGCTGGATTCCAGACACAGCAGCAGTGCGAATGCACTCTCCAAAAACACGACAGTAAGAAAGCCCAAACGGTGGAACTGGTTCATGCTCAGCCTTACGCACCTGCTCGAGCTCGTAGGCTTTGGCTTTGTCCTCATCGCGGTCGGCGTTCTTCCGATACGCCATCCCCAGCCCCCACACGGCCAGGATGCTGTAGATGTTGTCCCGTACCCAGGCATCCTTATGGTCGGCCCCGGCTGAGAGCAGCCCCGTCACTGGGTTCTAACCATGGCAGAAGGAATAAAGACCAAACATTACCACCTCAAGTCCCATCTGCTGTGAAGCATCACTTCTTTCTGTATGAAGGGGTAACAAAGTAAAGATGATTTCCTGCTAAGTGTACACTGCAGCTGCTCATGATTTCTCAACAGAAGTGAGATCCCATCCTTCTTTCCCAAACTCACACAAGTGAAATGCAAAATTCATCTGAACGCTTCAAGTTGTAAAGTTTACAGCATCCAGTCGGACATCTTCATCCACTCAGGGTTAGTAGCTAAGTCACTGAGTGAAATTCAGAATACAACAAGGAAATAGAAATTTAAATTTTACATATTTATGAGGAAAAGAAGGTACTGAGTTAAGACTAGAAACTGAGTGTGGGATATATGCTCCTCTACATAACTGGTCTGTGGCATAATCTTCAGAAAGTAAAAAACCACGAGTGATCTTCTAGGAGACTAAAAAAGTATTTCTATACATCTGCCCACTGGGTTTATGACAGCTAAATGAATGCAAAACCTTTTTTATACCCTCCTATGGAAAATGTACAGGAAAAAATTTCTGAAGATGTTGAAAGGCAGCACTGTCTGAAAAGCAGAGCACTAAGTAGTCTCCTGCATCCCAAATACTCCATTAAATTTTTTATTGCATCATTAATTCCCATCACTTCACTATCCTTAATTTTTTTTTACACCATCTTTCTTGGCCATATATTCTTGACTAACAAAAAAATGAGACAAAGAGGCAAAAAGTCAATAGAACTTTCAATTAAATCAAACCTTTACAGAAAATTTCAGTGAATAAAGATCAGTTGGTAGGGCTGGTGTGACAAGGGGTAAAGATTACTAAAGACTACTCTTACAAAAGCAAAATTTAAAATGACACATCCACCAATTTTTCATTTCTCCCACACACTGGTTCATTCAACTCCTTATTTTTAAAAAGCTGATTTGAGGGGGAGGGGCTTTAGTTACAATTTCCTGGACTCTGCCTGTGAGCAGCACAGGGGTGACAGCCTGACAGACATGACCTGGCACAGTCAGCCCATTGTTATGGCTTAATACAGCAATGCTTAGTGGCTCCCTCAGAGTGGAAATGAAATTCTGCTGCAACAGCCCCACCTCAGCAAGGTCTTCACAAACCAAGCAACTACTGAAGGACTCTTACTTGCCTGTTTGATGGGGAAAGTAGCACATATGAATGCAAACAGCTTAAAAAGCTTTGATCTTGAAAAGTCAAACAAGGAGTAACAGAAGTTCCAGTTCAGCACTGTGCCCACATGATAAAACCCAGGGTCTCAAAAGGCAGACCACATACTCCCAACATTCCTAGAGGACAATTTGTTTCCCTCCCTCCAATGCAGGACAGTAAGTGTTTACTCACCTGCAGCCCTGCCTTGATAGAGATCACTCTGCTGTCTGAGAAATGATAATTTTGGTTTATTTTTCCCTGCTTTCCATGCTGGCTAGCTGCCAGTTGAAAAATAAAAGTTTCTCTGTGTACCAAAATGGAATCCCAGAGAAAGGGCCCATCCAAGACTATTCAGCTCCCAGGGAGGGACTTGTCTAGATAAAGAGGTTGTATTAAACATATTCATGGGTAGTTATCACCATTTCACCACCTTTGACTGCTCTACAAGTTGGTCCCAGCTTTTGGGGTGCACTGGGGCTGGCTCTCATGAACTGACAACACATTAATGTCTTTCCTCATGCACATTCAGAATGTTAGCAGAACAATGTAATATACTAATTAATATTTTAAGTGGCTTTGTTTCAGCTTTTTTAGAAGTGTTTTCTCTTAAAAACCACAATTACTTTCTTCTGTTACCTGCTGACACCATATGAAAACTACAATGTTTACAAGGTGCTAAAGAACCCACAGAAACATTGATTGCACTTAATCCTCATGATGTCAAAGGGATTTTAGCTTAACTAGTACTTCAAGCATTCCATCTATGCAGTGATGGCTAATTAGACTAGCAGGTCTCATCCTGCAAATCACATTGCTCAGAAGATCCAGGGAGCAAAGAATTTTATCAGCACCATGCAGCTGAGAGCACTGCAACAGAAAGCTGATTGCTGGACTAAGACTTTAAACTCTCGCATCGTGCCCAAACCTATTTTTAAATCTATCCATCAATCTGGAGAGAAAAAGGCCCCTCAACAACCCAAACAAAAAAACACACCAGTTCCTACAGGGCAGCAAGTGTCAATAAGCACTTTGGCAGCACATGCACAAAACCAGTGGGGTTCTAAGAAGAGCAGCAAAGCAAGTAATTTAGCCTCTTGCTGAAAGGTGCAAATTAAATAGATTGTCAAATTGATCTGTCAGGTGAAAACATAGGTAGCTCTAGCAAAGCTTGTAGATTTGCTTGTGAAACCAGATGTAACATGATGTGAGTGAGTCTTGGGGATGGTCTCCTGCAGGACCAGGAGCTGGACTTGGTGATTCTTGTGGGTCCCTTCCAACGTGATTCCGTAATACAGCTGGGGTTACCCATAAAGGTATGAGCTTTCCTTATCAGGTCCATATGCTTTTCACTTATAGTACCATAGCAATACTTAAAATGTACATAGATGTTGTTTTGCTATTTCCTAATCTTAAGATTCACATTTTTTTTCCTATGTCATTCAATTCAACAGGTGTAATAAGCAGCTGAGAACATCATTCTGGTGGTGCTTTTCAATGTCTGCTCTGCTTCAGCACCAAAGCATCCCTCTGACCCCTGTCCCTTGGGGTACATGCAACAGATGGCAGGCACACAGGAGCCAGTAGTCTGGTCTTACCCTCCTTTCAAAACCTTTAACAGGATGGAAGCTATCACTGTGTATGCTACACGGACGAACAAGGACAATGCAACATCTGCAAAACAGGAAAAGAAACCTACTGACCTGATCCTGCAAGATACCACAGAGAAAACTGTCAGCCCTGACAGTTGAACCTGTTCTTTGAACACATCTGCCTGGTAGCACAGATATCCTGCATTAAAAATTGCCTCTAAAATCACATTGATCTAGAGTGATTGGAATGAGCACAAGATCAATTGCTGCTACTGAAAAACCTAGCTCCTGGTGTATTAAACACCTGATCAAAGCCCAGTGTTTGTGCACACTCCCTGTTGTCCTTGCTGCACCTCACAGAGGTGAGCATGTCACTGCCCTCTGTCAGGGCACAGCAGCTGATGTGCCAAGGCTGCATTGCTGCAGCTGTGCATGTGAGGTGCAGGGGCACACTCACACATCAGCCCCTGCTGAGCAGCAGCACCTCAGAAGAATTTTAAACACCTTCTGGTTCTTCTGCCAGGCTGCTCCTGGGCAAACCCATGGCTAAAACTCAATTCCCTGGCTCCTTCCTGGGAGGCACAAAGGCAGCACCAACAGCAGTGAAGCAGCAGCACCCAAGCCCATCCAGCCACAGACTTTCTGCACCCAAGAAAGAGACAGTTGCATGTGGCCCAAAGACAACCTTCCTAACTTGCCCAAGCACTGCATCTCTTCACCTGGCTGAACACAACATTGCAGTGAAAAAACCAGGAAGAGTATAAATAAATATATTTTAAAAATCTAGAAACGTGTCTTGAGCATTTCTCTGGGTCCTTTTGGGATACCACTGATCCTCTGCCTTGCTGCTAGCCTGTGAATTGCTTCCCACACAAAGAAGAAAGCTTACCTCCTTTCTCCCACTCTGAATTCTCCCAGACATTGAGCTCTAAGTGGAAAAGGCACAGTCATGAACATTCATCCTATTGCTTTAAATAGCAATTACAAAATTTTTGGTCACCAGTATGAACCCCTGTATTACCATTTACTTACCCTTTTTACTATTGTTAAATATTAATATCATCAAGGCTTTCATGGGGCATGTTTGAGCTCTGAATCTCAGAGGCTCCATATCTCCCCTAATGGAAGCTGTTATCAGCATCCTCATCTTATAAACAAGGAAATAAAGGCAGGCACTGGAAGCCAAAGTGACTTGCCCAAGGTCATCTTGCTGACAAAAGGCAGAGATGGGAACACAACTAAAAGCCTCTCCTGTACATCAGAACAGGAAGAGTCAAAAACTATCTTCTCATGCCACATATACCAATTCTTGCACTTGTTTCTACTGAGTCTACAATAATTTAATACACAAATATAATTTCACAGGTATTTGGACCCTGTGCTCAAAACAATGGTCAGTGACTAAAATCTTACTGACCAAAGTGCATATGGGTCCCAGCCTTTTCTTTCACTGCTTACCAGTTTCTCGCAACTTTCATCAACAAAGCATATTTGGTAACCGATCTGTGCAAAAATCCCTGCTGCTCATCTTTATATACTGGATTGTTTGGTAACTTGTTTAAGCACTGCTGAATACCTTTGGAGTCCTCAGTGCCCACCTGGGTAAAGCAAGCACATTAAGCCGAGAGCACTGTGCTGGCCAAAAAACACAGAGTGCACAAAACCCCCGCCGGAACCACCCCTGCAATTCTCGTTCTTTCGCTGCTCGCCTGCGCAGGCAGCCCCGCCGGACGCCCCAGAGCCCCAGCAGCGCGGAGAGCGGGAGAACAGCCTGGAAGCTCCGGGAGAACAGCCTGGAAGCTCCGGGAGAACAGCCTGGAAGCTCCGGGAGAACAGCCTGGAAGCTCGGGGACGTGCCCGGCCGCACACACGTGCGGCGGGGGCACACAGGGACCCGCACCGCGCTGTGCTGACACTGACAGGCTCGGCACAAAGTCCTGCCCCGAGCTCTTATGTCACCGCGGTGGAATGCTGCTGTTACCATGTGTGCGGACATATATGTATACATGTATATACACACACACATATATATACACACATATACATAGTATGTAGTGTGTATCTATCTATCTATCTAGATAGATACAGTGTGCACAACGGCTGGGTGTGTATCATACGGCCATGAGACATTGTACACACAATACCATTATAATTTACAAGCTCTGACTCGCTGTGTTTTCCACACGATTTCCAAGGTGCACTTACACAAGCGCCCCCAGGATCCGCACCGCCTCAGCATTCCCCGCGCTGTTCCGCAGGCGGGGGCGGGACATGCGGACAGGACGCCGGAGGAGGGATGTTCGTGTCCCTCCTGCAGCCCCCGGCCCCGGCAGCCGCCCCACGCCCCCGGCACGGCCCCGGCCCCACCGCGCCCGGCGCCCCCAGCCCCGAGCAGGCGTCTCGGGGCGGCGGCTGCTCCTCACCTGGTGGCAGAGGATGGTCCGCTGGACCAGGCGGGCGTAGCCGTCCAGGCGCACCCCCGAGTTGCTGCGGCTCCTCATGGCCCCACGGCGGGCCCGGCTGCCCGGCCCGGCCGCGCTCGGGGCGGCGGTACCCGGAGATGGCGGCGGCCTCTCCCCGCCCTCACGGCGAGCGGGGCGGGGCGGCAGCGGCCTCCGCCCTCAGGCACCGCGGGGACGCGGGGACACCCTGCCCGGGGACCGAGCAGAGGAGGGGCCGCCTGCCGTGACAAAAACCCGGCTGTGATTGTGAAAAATAGTGTCGATTATACAGAACCTCTTCGTGAGTTCGTGAAATAAAGCTGAGAACATCAGAATACTTGCTGGAAGCTTTTCTTTCCCCTAGCCTTAAAAAAACCCCACCGTTTTCAGATCTGATCGAATGAAACCACGGAACAGATGTTGCAGAGTAGCTGAAAGTGTGATATTAACTCAAAATTCGGAAAGATTTTTTTCCCCCGTTGTCTTTTTCATTTTTTTTTCTAAGTGAACTTGTAGCATTAACAGAGTTACTATTGTAACTTTTCCTTGCTGTTCTCCCTTCATTGCCCACAGCGGACACTCGTGGTTGAGGCAGCAGCGTTCACAGCCGCGTTCGTTCCTCCGGTGGCGGTCGGACCCCACCTCTGTAGGCTCTGCACAGCACATGGGGACAGAACTGGGAGGTTCAGCATCTCCCTTTGCCAGAGCCAAAACATGGACCAGCTCCCTGCTGCCCTGGGCTCCGCACCGGCCTCCCCCTCCAGCGCACCGCCTTGTAGAGAGACTGCACTTAGGCACCAAGTTTGCTGAGCAGGGCGGTGCCGGCTGTACACGGCAGGTTACTCTTTATCTTTGACTAAGCTTAAAACCTCCTTACAGATGCCCCGGGTTACCTATGCAGCCACAGACTAATGCACAGAATTTTACTTAGTGCTCTGGGCGGGTGTTGCAGCTTTCCCCGAGCTCTGGGCGTCCTGGCTACACAAAGTCCGACAGCCCACGTACCAAAAGGCTACTGTAACACCCAGCATAAAAACACGTTTTCAGCTAGCTTGAGGATGAGCTAAAATATTATGCTGGTGCAAGTGCAAATTTTTACTACAGTATGAGCATGCTATTAAGTGGAAAAGTCAGAAAGGACTCCTATCCCCTAGGAATATATAAAATAAAAAATATATTTTTATTTTGGTGTGTAAAAATAAAAAAAAGAAGACTCTGAGTAGGTCAGTGGAATATGTGTATTCACAGGGAATTTAATTACTGAAGCTAAACTCAGCTATGTGCTTTTGCTTACAGCATTCCTTTAGGACAGCTTCAGCAGTCTTGAGGGCAGGCATTGACTGGACTAACGTCAGGGTTTTCTCTGCTAAAATCCAGATCTTTTAGAACCATGCAAGGTAAAATATGTAGCAGAGAATAAATGCAAAAGCTGGGTCAGCTTTTTCTCCAAGAAGTGACATACTGTTGATCCTGTAATCTGAAGAATTGTAACGCAGCCCAGTATTAATGACACATTTATCTAAAAGACAAAGTTGATATATTTTGTGTTGTAGTTGCTGCAAATTTATTACTTTTTTTACAGTTAAAAATATAAATATAAGGACATTAAATAAATTTACAAGAAACACTGCAAAGGCAATTAGCCAAATAGTTAAAGCATTCACAGAAATGTATTCCAGCTACTAGCATTCCAGGATGGGCTTTTACCAACATGCAGCTAAAACCCTGTGGATAAAATCAACAAATACTTTAAATTCTCACCTTAAAAAGCATAGTCAGAGTAATTTTGGATGTAAGTGACTGAAAGAACTGAAAGAACCTGTGTTGCCCACAGAACCACAATGGGGTTTGAGCACTGAAGAGGTTCAATTGCTGACTCCAACAGAGCCCTAAATAAGAGGCCTGTGATTCATGCTTTTTTGTTGAGGAGAGTGTTTGCAGGGCACCCAACTGAGCCTTCCCCACCAGGAAGCAAAGCCCTTGCTCCCCATCAGCATGCACCTGCTTCATGCAGCCCTCTTTACAGGGCCTGGTACTCTGCAGTCTGGCACCAGTTTGTCCTAGCTTGCTTTGGGAGCATCCAACTTTTGCCCAAGAATGCAAATTGGAAAAGCAGTGGCCATAGCTGCACGTGTGTGTGAGGAAGAAGAGGTAAGACCAGGACTTAGGCCAATTTCTGTGCAGGAGGAATCTTCACAATGTTGCATGGACTTTCAACTGTTTTACACGAAGAGCCCAAATCAAATTTTTTCCAGTAAATGTCATAAGAGGAATGAAATTTTGCTTCAGGAATTACTGAGCTAGAGCCTCAGTATTTGGTTTGCCAATCACAAGACAAAGTACCAGCAGAAATACTCAACTCATTAGAATAGCTCAAGAGCTGCCCCTTAAAAAACAGCCATGCAATGAAACAAAAAAATTCTCAGCTACTAAATATAGCAGCTGTCATTTATTATTTCTATTTTTTCTTCAACTTGCCTCCCCACCCCCTCCAAACTTCTCTTCTTCCATCATTGCAAATGAAAAATGGCAGTGTCTCACCACTCAGTATAAATACTGACCCTGGTGAAATCAATGGCAAAAACTGATGACTTCACTCAAGCCACCAACACAACTTAGTTGTATTTAATAACTTACTGACTACTTTATTTAATACACCATTCATGGCACTGTGCTTGAATTACACCCAATATCTATCCCTCTGTGGTGTACTAGAAGGTAGCTGAAGGTTCAAGACCGATTGTGTTTGTTATTTACAGTTCTGCATCTAGTGAATATATTCTAAACACTGTAAGTGATCCACTTACTGGACAAATTAAGTTTTATAGCATTCTGTGTTAAAGATAATTAACTAAAGAAAATGCAAACTCACAATACTGACTACTTTATTTAATACACCATTCATGGCACTGTGCTTGAATTACACCCAATATCTATCCCTCTGTGGTGTACTAGAAGGTAGCTGAAGGTTCAAGACCGATTGTGTTTGTTATTTACAGTTCTGCATCTAGTGAATATATTCTAAACACTGTAAGTGATCCACTTACTGGACAAATTAATTTTTGTAGCATTCTGTGTCAAAGATAATTAACTAAAGAAAAATGCAAACTCACAAAAAAAGTTACAAACAAAATACCAATTACTTTCCTATACATAGGTATATTTAAATTTATATTACAAGAAATAAATATAAAAGTATAATTGAGATGCTTAAAGGTTGATATTTTCTGCTTATGTACATTACTGCAGTTTCCTACTAAAACGTACAAAAAGTTGAAGACAGTGCAGCTAACATTTTTAAAGTTAACATCGTTTGTATGCACAAATTGTAACTTTCTACATTTATACAGTACTACTAAGCATTATATGCAGATAAACTTAATTATAATGAAAAAAGTCTAAATAAAACTTTTGTTTAAATGTTAAAAAACCCCTCAAAAAACCCACTGTGATGAAGAAACAAAATGGAAGTGTGCCATCTGTAATCTGACATCCAAGACCTTGTCAAAATAGTAGGTTCTTTTTCTTTTTTTTTTCTTTTTTTTTTTTTTAATAATTGACCTTGTCAATCCATTGCATGGCTGCCTTGAAGTTCCAGTACCATATATTAAATAAAACCAGTTCTTGGTCTGCTCACATTATGTAAAACTGCTAAAGAAAAACTCTACTTCACACTGTAAAACAATGTGCTGTTTAAAAGGAAATCACATTTTCTCCATAGAACTTAGGCTTCCTCTCTTTGAAGTCCTTCTGAGTGAGATTTGGCTTTTTTGGCTGCCAGTATCATCCTTGTCTTGGAATACAAGTTGTTTGCCTGAAAAGTCATGGAGACACACATCACCATTCTGTACACTGAAACAAACACCATTCTTCTCGCTGGAAAGATGGCCTGTTGAAACAAAAAAGTGCATTCCCTATCAGAAAGGTTCAGAATCAAGCCTCTCGTGCTTTTTTTAGTCACTATAAGGAGTTCATACACTCTCATTTTATTCCTGCAACAATTTTAAAATGTGTATTGTTAGTAAATATTTTGTATAAATTTCTTTTCCTGTGTGAAATCCTGATATTTAAGAGATGTTAATATATTTATGCACAATGATTCCATATTTTAAGCAATGAAGGTCACAATTCTCAAAATGTAGACTTGACTTTGGAATAAGTATCACTAGATAACATGCAAAATACTCCTCATTTTAATGATTTGCTTTATTGAATTAAGTTTTAAAGGTATCAGGTGTGCCATGCCTCTGAAAGAAGAGTGTTTGAGTACAAGGAATTCAACTTACAGCATTTACTTCTGAAGGACAATCAGAACAAGGCCTAGGTCTGATCATGAGTCAAAACCATACTTAGACTACAGAGAATCTTACACATTTAGGTGAATCCACAATGAACACATCTAATAATACCATTTCTGACTGAAGCCTTTTAATGAAATGCTCCATAAATGTTTAGTTCACTGAATAAATCTCCTGCCCCTATGCATCACATTCTAAACATTATTAATGAGAATTTTGGTGGTTTTTTTTTTTTTTTTGTTCTAAGTACTTGTGCAAACACTTCAATTTAGACTTTTAAAAAAATTACTTATTAATTTAAGCAGCCATCAAGCACTTAAACAGGCACAAATATAGATAGGGTAAGATGAGCAGGAGAGCTTTGTTCATTAATTCAAATAAGAAAAAGGTTGAAATGATAGAAAATAACCATGCTTCCTAACACTGTGATTGTTTTTTAACCCCCTGCCTGCCTAACACTGTTTTATCTTAGGAGTGTTCAGAATAACTGTGCCCTAATGTTGGGGCAAAAGCTGAGAAGAAAATAAGGCTTTTCTGTGAACAAATTCAGAAAGGTGGTTTGTGTTCCTCAGTGAGGAAATCTGCAGGTTCAGTCATGTGATACCTAATTGTAGTTTCTGAAACATGCAAATCTGCAAGAGAAAAACTGAAAATAAGGAAATATTAGAATGCCATGAAAAGATGAAGTGCAGTAGGAAAGCAAAGTCACAGGCTATACAGACATTCCAAACTTACCACAGTAAGTAATTCAGTCCTGAATCTGAAATAGCATTTTAGTAGAAGCAGTGAGGCTAAAACTGTCAAGTGTTTACAGCTCAGTGTATTTGTGACAT